AAAGTTTTGTTTTCTCCCTCTCCAGTCCCTGGTGTGGACATAGGACTGTAAATCTGTTTAACTTGTTTCACTATTGACAGAAATAGGAAAAAAAAAAATTTGCTAGTCAACATTAGAAAATTGATTTGGACTTTGAAGAAACAGGTTTGGCAATATTTGGTTTTTAAAATATGCCCAATATGGTTTACAGAAGGAGAATGGAGCGCATTTAATATAAAAGTTTCCTGCTGGTTTACAGAAAGGAAATACCGTATTTTTTGCTCTAGAAGACTCACTTTTTCCCTCCTAAAAAGTAAGGGGAAATGTGTGTGTGTCTTATAGAGCGAATGCAGGCTGCGCAGCTATCCCAGAAGCCAGAACAGCAAGAGGGATTGCTGTTTTCACTGCGCAGCGATCCCTCTTGCTGTTCTGGCTTATGAGATTCAGAATATTTTTTTTCTTGTTTTCCTCCTCCAAAAACTAGGTGCATCTTGTGGTCTGGTGCGTCTTATAGAGCGAAAAATGCGGTAATTTACAATCTCATTGTGTAAAGGATTATGCAGGGCTTCCCTGTGCATTTAGAGAACTGTATGTCTGAGGGTAATGAAACCCATAGCATATGAATCTAGTGCCCAAATATAACTTGCAGTTTTTAAGCTTTTTCATTTAGGAGTTAAGTGGAGAAAGAAAAAGAGAATAAAAGCTTGTGGTACCTAGGGCAGAACAAGTACTTTGCAAAAATAACCCCTGGAGGCAGGGGAACCTTTGTAAAGTAAAAAGGAGTTGGTTCATTTATCTTTCCTCATCTCCCTTCCAGACCATCAGTGTGCCACAAACTGTTAGCATAAGTATATACTGAGATAGTAGGTCTAATATTTTTTAATGCATATTGTAAAGGTTTTGAGTAACTTTTGTCTGCAGAACATCACAAGTCCTTCTGTGATTAAGGCTGCAGTCCTGTTTCCACTTTCCTGGAACTTTGTCCCATTGAACTCAGTTGGACCTAGATGTTTATAGGATTGCACTGTAAGGCATTCTTTGCACAGGCTGTAAACTGATAGGCATTCAGAGATGGTCTTTGTATGCATCTTTCTTAAGCCACAAGACTAAAAATAAAAAAATAAAAAAATGGTGCTTGTGGGTTGCTGTAAAACTTGTTCAGTACTACAGAACCAAGTCCCAAATTTGAAATTATGTATTATAAAATAAAATAAAAATCCCCAAAATGCAATTTCTATGGAAAACAAGTGCTAGTACAATTATATTATATATTTGGATTTCTCTTTTGTTCTGGTTAGTGTTAGATCAAAGGCCATTTATTTACTGTGCCTTTTCAGCTGCGAGAGCTAGAAATCTAGGTCAAGATTGAATGTTGCAAAATTGGGCAGCCACTAGTGCAACAAGGCTTCTCTTTCCTTTCTTCCTCAGTAACCCCTTAGGCGACCCCAAAATCTGATCCAGAAGGTTGAGAGACCCCCTGGAGCAGATTTTGAGGGTACAGTATATGGGGGACTAGAGGGGATGAGAGAAACTGAAAGTCCTGTTGTACCTCACACTTGTTGGCCTGTCCCCTGGCTCCTGATCTAGTTCTTCCAACTCCGCCAGCAACTGAGAGATACTGCTGGCGCCGGTGAAGGAACTGTTGAGTGGGGAAGGTTCCTCCTCACTGGTGCCATGGAACCCCACAACTCACTGGACTATTTCCCCAAATCCTCCTCCTCACTCTCCCATTCCTCTGCCTGCACATCCCCTCTCTCCCCAACCTCTTCATCCTCCAACTCCTGCCAGTCTCTTGATATGAAGCAGTCTTTCAGATATTTGGGGTGTTTAGGGCTTTTAACACAAGCACCTTGAATTGGTCCTAGAAACAAACTGGCATTCAACGCAGCTGTACTAAAATAGAGGTTGTGTGAGATCTAAATGGAACCCCAGCCAGTAATCTGACCACTGCGTTTTGGAGACATTTAAGTTTTTGAGTCATCTTCAAGGGCTGCTCCACATAGATTGCATTGCAGCAATCCAATCTGCAAATAACCAGAGCATGGAGTACTGTTCAGAAGGGGCCATAGTTGGTGGGCCAGCCAGAGGTGGGAAAAGGCACTCCTAGCCACCTGAGCTTCCAGTGGCAGTGTTGAATCCAAGCAGACCCGCAAGCTGTGGACCTGCTCCTTCCAAGGGAGTGCAACCCCATCCAGAACAGGCTGTCTTGCCACTTACTGGACATGAGAACACGGGACACAAAATTCCTCTGTCATGTCAGGCTTCAGCTTCAATTTATTTGGGAAATTTGATTGAAACTCCTGAAATTTATCAGGAATCCCAGGGCGGGTGATGTACTAGACATTATGAAAGGCACTTTATACATAAAAACTGACAATATTTGATCATAGCTCCATCAGTACAGCATGAGACTCTTAATCTCAGGGGCATGGGTCTGAGCCCCACAGTGATCAAGATTCTTGCTTTGCAGGGGGTTGGAATGGATGATCCTTGTGGTCCCTTCCAAATACAGTTCTATATTTAGATGGAAATGGCTAGAGAGAATTCAGCCAAGGTTATGTTTCTTTAAACAGAAAATCTATGTATGTAGGAAAATAAGAACATAGTCAAGAAAGCACTTAAAAATGGTTGGTTTCCCCCCCCCCTTTCATCTAAAGAACAGTTAATTGTATATTTTGAATGGAATCCAAATACGCCCAGATGTATAGTATGGTCACTCCTATATTCACCTGAGAGGATCTACTTATTACCTTTCCCATTTGTAGCCCCTCAACCTGCATTGCATACAACTGTGGAAAGGCCTCTGAATTTCAGCAGTTGCTTTTTAGAGGGCACAGGGAGAATGGAGAAATTGAAATGACCCCATGTGTGCACAAAATACCAGCCCGTGTGCAGTTAAATGTGTGCCATTTGAGGCATATTTTTGTTTGTTTTTTATCTCATAGATATACCCTTTCAAATATGGATACAACATTTGAGGGAACACCAGAAGATGTCACTGTTGTGGATGCTGTTTCTTTAAGACGACAGGTAATTAAAATGCTTCAACTGTTATAGTGGAAGTTTGTATGCCTCTTTCCAGTCTAGTCAGTGCAGAACGTAATAAGATAAAGGGGGACAAAATTAAATTTGGAAGTCTGAATACCACAACTTTTTCTGTGGCATGATGATACAATTTCTTTTCTTTGAATGTTAATATGTCTATGAATAAAACTTTGTGCATTCTCAACTCCGAAACATACTAATAATATATAGGAACTGAATAGTGCATACATGATTGATGGGAGAGGAATTGAGAAAGAAGAACCCACTTGGATGGAAAATATCCAGGGGTGAGGTGTGGCTGCCAGTCAATGTGTTTAAGGTTTAGTTTAATGGTAAACAAACAAACAGGACGTGGGTGGCGCTGTGGGTAAAACCTCAGTGCCTAGGGCTTGCCGATCGCATGGTCGGCGGTTCGAATCCCCGCGGCGGGGTGAGCTCCCGTCTTTGGGTCCCAGCTCCTGCCCACCTAGCAGTTCGAAAGCACCCCTAAGTGCAAGTAGATAAATAGGTACCACTTTCTAGCGGGAAGGTAAACGGCGTTTCCGTGTGCTGCGCTGGTGCTGGCTTGCCAGAGCAGCTTCGTCATGCTGGCCACGTGACCCGGAAGTGTCTTCGGACAGCGCTGGCCCCCGGCCTCTTAAGTGAGATGGGTGCACAACCCTAGAGTCGGACACGACTGGCCCGTACGGGCAAGGGTGCCTTTACCTCTTTAAACAAACAAACAAACCATGCAGCAGAATGGAATCTGTTTGGTTTTGTATGTTCTGTATCTTATTTTTCTGTTAGGTTTCTATGCTCTTTTACTGGTTTTAAGCAGCTGAATTGATTTGCTTGCTTTACATACTTGTTTTGGTTGTATTGTGATTTATTTATACTATATTGATACATGGGCCTATTTGCATATCATAGTAAGTCATAAACCACCGCTTAGTGTGAATTAGTAGGGTGCTAGCGCACACTGTTTAGATGCTCCTGTTTTGTTCTGTCCTAGCTGGATACCTATCAAAGTTGGCACACAGACTCTCCACCTCTAAAATGAGAGATCCAGCCCACACATTTTTTGCATTTAAAAAGGACAAGAGATGTAGACTGGAAGGACAACAATCAGAAATGGAAACTGAAATGAATAAAAAACCCCAGTGAATTTGCCGGAAGTAGGGATTTCTAAACCCAGCATTGATATAGGTATAAAGAGCCAGGGTTTTGAGGCTGGAATCCATGTGTGTGGCATCAATGTACAGAAATATTATACTGTATTAACAAGAACTGCAGACTTCCATTACTAAGTCCCCCATGTGAGCAGACTTTTGGGGTGAGAAGTGATACAAATCTGAAGTACATGAACGAGAAAAGTCTTGAAATAATTAGTAAACTTATAGTAAGCACTAAATTTGAAAGGCATTTCCTTTTTCTTTTTTAGATAATTAAACTTAATCGTCGTCTACAACTTCTGGAAGAAGAAAACAAAGAGCGTGCTAAACGAGAAATGATCATGTACTCAATTACTGTAGCTTTCTGGCTACTAAATAGTTGGCTTTGGTTTCGGCGCTAGAAATGGTCACAGTACTTCAGAAGATTTGTCAGTGGAGAAACATATAGAGAATTTGCAAAGTCCTTTGTTTCATTCTCTGAATTGTATGGTGATTTAGGATCCATGCACTGGATATTTCTGACACAGTAAACAGCTGTAACATAACTTTACAATGTTAAAGGGATGCCTGGATGATTGTGTATATATTTTCAGAATTGTTGTATCATCCTATTATCTTCCTTTTGCATGACATGTACATTTGCATTGAATTATTTTGCAAAGGGAATTGCCTCCAGGTAACAAAGGTGTACTGCAGACAGTTCTCTCTTGTGTAGAAAGAAACAACTGGGTTTTGGAATTATCTGCAAAATGGCCTAACTTATGGTTTCTCATTGTTATTCCATAATTAAATGTAGCACCTTTATAGTTCACCTTATTGCACTTGTTTTATTTTAGCCAAATTTCAGGTAGTAGAGCAGCAGATTAAAAAACATCCTGAGTATCTCTCATTCAAGCACATGTACATATTGACTAAAATACATTCTTTGCTAAGATAAGTCAGCAGATTATCCAGAGGTGTGTGTAAGATGTATTTGAGCTTTAATTTTGCAATGTTTTTTCTAAAAAAAAGATGGTTTTTAAGCAAATCTGTCCATGAGTGATCTTAAGATTATGGAACAAAGTACCAATGTAATGTATTTAATAAAAGTCAGCCCAAAGCAGTATTTAATTTCTTATTTTTCCAATTAACTTTACCTTTTGCCCTTTGGATGTGTGGAGCATACAAAAAAAGCTTTTATATCTCTCTGTCTAGATCAATATACTGCATCTAAAATCACCACTCCCATTATTGATTGTATTTTTTTGCTTGCTTGTAGATTTCTATTCAATCCAACCATTTGCACAACTCTTATTTTCTTACATTAATACACACTTTGTGTTGGATTTTAAAATATCTGTCTTCTTTGGGCAAATAAAAACAAATGGACATGAAAAGTATTTGGGGGGTGGGGTGGAATTAAGCCCTGCTCCTAAATACTTTTATGAGTAAAAGCTAGGTGAGCTGAGTGCTGAAATCTTTAAGAATAGTGTATGCTAATTTGTTTAAATATCAGTGTGATAGGCACAAATGGACATCTGGATAGCCACTTTGCCCAATGGGACTGCTTCTTGTCTTCCCATATCCCCCATGTCCTTCAAAATCAGATCTGAAGAGTTGGGGAGTAGGCAAATGTGTGTGTGACAGGCTGCAGGAAGAAGAATATGAAGTCTTGTTGCATAAGTGGAAATCCTGTGCATCACTGGATTTCACCCTTAGTTTCCAAATTGAAAGTGGAAGGCACCAAAAGACATCAGGCAGAACTGTGTTTGGAGTTATCCTTATACAAAATTCAAATTGGTGTGTTACCAGCAGTGAGTAAGTATTGTGGATGAAGGTGTTTGCAGAGCAAATAGCGTGGCAAAGGAACCAAATAGTATATTTTCTACATATGCTTATAGGCTCTAGTAATAGGCTTTCTTAAAGTTAAGAATGAATGGAAAGGTGGGAGTAAAATTTTGCAACTTTGTCATGCTGTTTCTTTGTTCACCCTACCCCATTTTTCAAGTAGTGTGTGAAGTGAGATACTGCCCATAATGTGACCTTTCAGCTATTTCACCACTAGTATGGGAGAAGCAGCGAAAGAAGCACACATTTTTTGTTTCATTCTTTTTCATGGAAGTTAGACTAGACCTTACAACATTTCTCCAGTAATAACAGGACAGGAATTGCCTGACTCCACTCATAAGAGTTAAGTCCATTGCTTGTTGTTGTTTAGTCGTGTCCAACTCTTCGTGACCCCATGGATCAGAGCACGCCAGGCACTCCTGTTTTCCATTGCCTCCCGCACTTTGGTCAAAGTCCATTGCTACCTAGTGACTAAACTCGGTAATGATACAGCTTCTCTGTGATGTGCAAGACAGATCAGTTAGCATCTGCAGTCCTTGGCCTGGTTTGCATGTCATGCTTTATTCTTGGCTACAGCTAATGGTTAGTGACGAAAGAGCTTAACAATCCTGGGCCTGAACAACACATTTGACTGAGCTCAATATGGGGTAGGAGGAAGAAAGATTGAGGAGGATAAATGCAGCTGCAAGCTCCTCTCCACAAGTCTACACATTCATGTCCCAGTAAGCCATAGTTTAGCTTACCATGATGTTTGAACCAAGCCATTGCTTATGGCTAAAAGAAAAAGAGTTAATAAGCTTTGTTCAGGATAGTTGTGGGAGCACTGTAGCAGAACTGTGCAATATTTGTAAATTACTTGCTTTGGCTGAGTAGAACCAAGACCATGACTATTTGTCCTAGCCAAATTGGATGCACATTTTACTCCCAAACGTAATGTATTTTGATCAAAACAAACTTTTTCATAAAGAACTTGGGAACTCTCAGAAGTTGCTGATTCATTTGTTAGACGCCCGTATAAAGTAGCTAAAGAATGAGTTTGGGGATTAAAACAAAGCACCTTTTAAGATAGGCCTTTGCCTAGAATCTCAGGCAGTTAATAGTGATGTAGGTAATAGAATCTCAAGGTAATAGTGATGACAAGGCCAGAAGAGTTGATTAAAATTCATGTTGGAGCACAATAGCACCCAGACACCAATCCAGGGCCTACACAGCCATTCCCAATTCAGATGTTAACAAATATTTGAAATATCATCAATGTACACTGTGCTCCAGATCTAATCACTTCCTACAGATGTTAAGTAGCATTACAGACAAGATATGCAATGCTATCCTCTGGAACGGTTCTTGAAGATAAGACCTCATCTGAATATCACAGTGTGGTTCACAACCTAAATACAGAAAATGAGAACATAAAATACATAATAAAACAAAAGCAAACCAATAACCACACTCCCAAAAATTATTCAAAACTTTTCCACTTCCTTCTATATCAAACAATTTTACTTAAAACAACTCAGAAAGGCTTACATTCATCACCCGGTGTTTTTTGTCAGTCCTCCCTGCAGCCCAGTGAGGTAGGCCGGGCTGACAGATAAGGACAGTCTGAAGACCACCCAATAAATTTATGGCTGAGCAAGGATTATAAATATGGAACTGCCCAGTTCAAGCCCAGATTTCTGGCCTCTTTCTCTGTATTGCCCTTCATCTGAAGATCACATGGCAATTCACAACGTAAGAACACAAAACGAGAACACAAAATACATAGTGGAACAAAAACAAATCGATAAGACACATGTTTAAAAAGGCCACAGAACATTAATCAACCTCTGGACCTCTTGAGGAGGCACATGAAGAGCCTCAGAAGATGATCTTAGGATCCAGGTCGGATCATATGGAGAGAGAGGCAATCCTTGAAATATTGCAGCCCTGAGCCGTATAAGGTTTTATCGGTAAAAACCAGCACTTTGAATTGGGCCCAGGAACTAACAGCCAGAGCTATCAAGCCAGGATTGGTGAAATATGCTCAAACCATCCTGCCCCACTGAGCAACTTGGCCGCTTGAATTCTGCACCAGCTGAAGTTTCCAAACCACCTTCAGTGATCCAACCAGTGCCGGATTTACATATAAGCTAAACAAGCTATAGCTTAGGGCCCCACTTTCTTGGGGGCCCCAAAAAAACTTAAAGGGAAAAAAACCCACTGGATGTACATTTCCAAAATATAAGATAAAAACAAATAAAATAAAACCTACATACAGCAACAGTGTTTTGTGTCGTGTAGGCTCCTATTATGTAAGTAATGGGCCCCACCTGCTAGCCTGCTCCATAAAATATCACTGGTTTGCTCATTTCTATATATAGGGTGCCTACATTCTGCATGTACTGGTTGCATGGCAACATGTGCAAATGGCTTTAGATACCTATTAGGTCCATAAATTACCATCTAGCAAATATTCAGCACAAAAAACAGCGACAATTTGTTGTTGACAAAGGACAGCTGGACGTATAATGGGCCCCATTACCTTCAGTAGCTTAGCGCCTCATCAAACCTAAATCCGACCCTGGATGCAACCTAGAGGTTACCAGAACATCGGGAACACTGGCTTTCCCTGTCTAGATGAGGACCACCGTGGCCACACGTCATTTACACGTCATTCGCCTTCACCTGTTCATAGTGGCAAACCTGCCCTACACTTTTCTCATTCACCTTCTACAGCTAGGGAAAAAACCCCAGTCCCGAACTTGGCCGGAACAGAAAACGAAGCGGCGCTTGTTTCCGTACGGCGGGGCGGCCGGTGCGCCTGGTCCCCCGCTCCTTTCCCTCCCTGCCTTCCTCCCTTCGATGGAAAATGGCGTCCGCGCTGCTTCGGCCTCTGTTCCTTGAGGGCTCCCACCGCTTACTCTCTGCCGCGCCGGGACGCGTCGCGCTCCGCCCTCAGCCGCGCCGAGATAAGCAGCGTTGGGTCCGCGCGTATGTGGAGCAGCAGCGGCTGCTCGAGACCCCGAGGCCCCGGTGAGAGAAGAAGGGGGAAGGAGGATGCCTGCCTGCCTGTTGGGAGGATGGAGGCTTAGAAAGAGCGGGGACGAGGGCTGCTCGCCTTTCCCGCCCGTCTCCTTCCCTAAGGCAGAGCTTTGACCGTCGGCTAACGAGCATCCCTGGCCTAGTAGGGCTGCTGCCTTCGCTTGCTTCTGGGGTTGAGGAGAAATCAGGAGCCGAACGGGTTTCTTTGGCGGGATGCGTGTCAGAAACTCTGGAAAGGAAGAAAGGAACGTGGGAATGGCAGGGTTTTTGTCCCCCGCCCCCAAAACAGGCTGTTTCAAACAGCCCCGTCTTATCTCTTTGCCGGGCTTGCAAAGTGACTTCTTTTGAGGAGGTGGGCTGGCGAGAGAGACGGGTTGCCGCGGTCAGTCGTGGAGTATTTTATTTTTAGTTATTTTAATTAATTAATTTCATTTTTTTAAAAATTACCACTTGATTGTAGGGCGGGGTAGGGGTGGGGAAAGAGAGAAGCCTCAATGCTGCTTATGAAAAAATAATAATAAGGTTATATTGCTAAAACCTCCGCAGCCATAATTTGAAACAGGCAGGAAGTTAAAAAGCATGATAACGTAAATTAATACTCACACATTTTTTTTCTAAACCTGTGGATAGGCTTGCCTAAATAAGAATGTCTTCAGCAGGCATCAGGGCAAGTGCCAGCCTGATGTTGTTGTTTAGTCGTTTAGTCGTGTCCGACTCTTCGTGACCCCATGGACCAGAGCACGCCAGGCACTCCTGTCTTCCACTGCCTCCCGCAGTTTGATCAAACTCATGCTGGTAGCTTCAAGAACACCATCCAACCATCTCATCCTCTGCCGGCCCCTTCTCCTTGTGCCCTCCATCTTTCCCAACATCAGGGTCTTTTCCAGGGAGTCTTCTCTTCTCATGAGGTGGTCAAAGTATTGGAGCCTCAGCTTCACGATCTGTCCTTCCAGTGAGCACTCAGGGCTGATTTCCTTAAGAATGGATAGGTTTGATCTTCTTGCAGTCCATGGGACTCTCAAGAGTCTCCTCCAGCCCCATAATTCAAAAGCATCAATTCTTTGGCGATCAGCCTTCTTTATGGTCCAGCTCTCACTTCCATACATACATCACTACTGGGAAAACCATAGCTTTTACTATACGGACCTTTGTTAGCAAGGTGATGTCTCTACTTTTTAAGATGCTGTCTAGGTTTGTCATTGCTTTCCTCCCAAGAAGCAGGCGTCTCTTAATTTCGTGGCTGCTGTCACCATACTGGTTGGTAAAAATATGGTAGGGAAGGAGGGCTGTCATAGTGTCTAAAATGAGAGGCTCCCCATACGTATAAGAGTGCATGGGTGAAACTGGGATTTATTTTAGGGGGGGCGGCTTTGTGGAGGGGCACAAAATGTGAGTTATCTGCAACACAATTGGTCAGTTGTCTATTTATTTATTTAGTTGAAGGGGGTGCAGCTGCCTCCCCCCGGCTACACTCATGTAATAGTGTGTACTGTATGTATTTCCTCTGCATCCACAAAGGCTTCAAGGTGGCTCCCGCCCTATGACATCAGTTTTTGGGGAGAGAACACTTATAATCAGATGCATGGAATATCAACTTGAGTTGAGATGACAGGTATTTCAATCAAAACCATAGCTCATCACAATATAGAATAAAAAAGCCATAAATCATCACAGTACAAAATGCTATAATGAGGGGATAGGTAAAACTGGAATTGATTATAATCTATAAAAAGTGACTTAATTGAAAATTTGTAGTCAGCCTTTCAAATGGCATACTTACCAACTGGCTAAGCTGGACTTACTTGCCACACTTGTTCCAAATTTTAGTGTGTAAGTAACTATTGACCATAGTGAAAAATACATGGATTTCTCCCATTATGGACTAAAAGTCAATTATTTCCGATAAAGCAATGCATCATTCACTTACATTTTAGCCAGTAGTTAAATACCTGCTGAGGACTCATGCTGAGGATTCAAAGTAAGGATTCAAAGTAGAGCAGAGTGATATAAGGAAAAGGTTAAGAAACACTATACTGTATTGCTTGAGAGTGTTTTTTCATTCTTGATCTGTGGGAAGAGGCATGGTGTCACAGTGAGGCAACTCCAGCAGTATGACACTGCAAAGGCTTTCAGAATGTCTGACAGGGAGTGCAAAGTAGGCAGGAGTTAAACAAGCCAACCGCATGAAACAAGCCAAGAGCTGTTTGATTGTATGTGGGGTGACTTGTCCTTGTTTAATAAACAATGGCTTGATTAACAATAGTTTCACTTTGGCTTAGCAGGATGTGCAAACCAGACCGAAGCATTTGATTTCTACATGAATTTTATGCCTGCCTTTTCGCCACTTTGTTCAACATTAGACAGTTTACCCTTGCATAAATTAATGTACAGTAAATTAAAGCTTATGTAATTAAAGATAGTGGATGATATTCAACTAAGTCATAATAAGAGTAGAGCCATTGAAATTAAGGGACTATGGGTTCATCAGATTCTCTCTTCCCAAAATGTTTAAGCTAACAGCAAATAACTTGTGTTATTGGGCATAATGCATTATTAAGCTTTGCATTCTTGCACTCAAGGTTTTCCTAAACTGTCAGAAACAAAACATGGAACAATTGGGAATGTAATATTTGTTTTGTAAAATCTAGTTCAGAATGATCGGCTAGAGTTGGGTTGGACAATCTGTGGTTGGACTCCATCAGCCCCAGCTGGCACGGCCAGTAGTCATGGATAATGAGGGTTGTAATCCGACAACATAGCAGGGCCACATGTTCTCCATCCCATTCAAATGCCTGTCATTATTGTTTTCTTGCTTTTTGTCATTATTTAGCTCTGAGAAACCTAACTGGGATTACCATGCAGAAATACAGGCTTTTAGCCACCGGTTACATGAGAAGTTTTCATTGGAATTCCTCAAAACTGCATTTGTTAACTGTTGTTATATTAAACAAGAAGAGTCGAGACGCCAAGAACTGGGACTAGACAAAGAAGCAATTGCCCTTAATCTCAAGGATAATAATGAACTTTCTCTGAAGGGTGTCTCTTTTTCACGATCTTACCTCACGCGGTGCTTGGAAGAAGCCTATCCAAAAATTCCACAAGCTGGCATTGAGGCACTTGTTAACTTTCTTACCAGTGAGGAATTAGTGTCTTATTTGGCCAGAAACCTGTCTCTACAAGACTTCACACTTTGCGCAGAATTTCCTGTGCCACCTAATGTGCTTCAGAAGACTTTCTTTGCTGTAATAGGAGCATTGCTTCAAAGTAGTGGCTCTCAGAGAACAGAGGTCTTTGTGAGGGTAAGTTATTGTGCAATATAACATGGTTATGTATAGCGTAATTAATAGTTCTTTGGCACCCATCCATGACTACAGTGCTCTCTCTGTCATAACACTTAAAAGAATGATAAATTGCATTCTGCTGCCCAAGCGTATAGTGTGTAATCTCCTACAACCATCCTCTTAGCTTTAACTCCATGTGTGTGATTGAAGTAGAGACAATGCTGCAAGCAGCTTATGGCAGGCGTGTTTGCAAATCATGCCCAATAAAACCAATGTTGCACCTAGAAAATAGAACCTATATTACATTATATATTACTGTATTACCCAAGTTGTAGTTGGGAACTGCCCTGAGATCTATGGATATACAGTGGTGCCTCGCAAGACGAAATTAATCCGTTCTGCGAGTCTCTTCGTCTTGCGGTTTTTTCGTCTTGCGAAGCACTGCTATTAGTGGCTTAGCGGCTATTAACAGCTTAGCGGCTTTAAGAAAAAGGAAACAAACTCGCAAGAACTCGCAAGACGTTTCGTCTTGCAAAGCAAGCCCATAGGGAAATTCGTCTTGCGGAACGACTCAAAAAACGCAAAACCCTTTCGTCTAGCGAGTTTTTCGTCTTGCGAGGCATTCGTCTTGCGGGGCACTACTGTACAAATTTAATTAATTAACAACAATATTAATAATAATTCAGGTACAGTGTTTTGACCTCTATGACCCAGTCTTCTTTTGGCATGGTGCTTTCATGCATTGATATCACTCCAACTTACTTTTGAGAATTGGATTACGTATACAAAATACTAACAGGGATTTTAAAATGTATTATTTTAAAAATGTTAAATGAAGCATTAAGGTTTGGAAGAGACAAAGGCCTGCATATGTACATTTAATACAGACATCTGAAAACTGGAGAGCTCCCACTGCTAATTACAAAGCATGCATATCCAGCTATATTAGTAGAACTTTAATAGTGTTATGGCATTGTTTATTAGTCTGCTTACAGCACGGACATGTTTGACTACTGCAATAAATAGGGTTCTGGCCTGAGTTTGGGGCAAGGCACTTCACAAATATGTGGTTGGGTCTTTGCACTGCCTTCAGGGGTCAGAAGGACCACTAGCTTAACTACCTCTGTCCTTTTAGTGGGTGATTTCAGAGAACATGTGATATAACTAGCAGGCTGTCTTGTATGCTTGATGTCTTTATCTGCATGCAGGCCTGTTGGTGGGAACAGGCACCAAATCGTAATGACTAGCTTTCTCTGTCCCCCAAAGAGTATTGCAACGTGTTCATCTCAGCTGCATTAATCTACAATAAACTTTTTCCTATTAATATGCAAATAAAAAATGTCCTTGATTGTGAAGTGTCTTAGTTCATCATAAACAGCATGATGTATCAGCAGTTAGCCTTTGCAGGAAATGCAGAGATGTATCCAACTAGGTTCTACTCAGAGCAAGCTAGTCATGCATTCATTAATTTTAGTGGATCTACTCAGAATATGACCAACATTGGATACAACCCATAGCCACGTAATTCTTAACAGTTCTGTTTGACTTTAAAGGATTGTATGTTTTTATTTCTTAACATTTATTTTAAAATATTAATCTGTGCTCTGTATTACTCCCAGCCTGTTGGCTATCAAGTTTTTCTGTCTTTGAACAATTAGAATTAACAAGATACATTTATAACCATGGTTCTTTGTAACAATCATTATCAATTAAAAATACATACCAGGAATCAAAGTGAATTGACATCTGAAAATTTTCCATTTTTATATTCAGGACTTCTTTATTCCTCAAATGATAGGAAAAGATCTGTTTGAGATGTGGAATGTTATGAACCCAATGGGCTTGCTGCTGGAGGAACTGGCCAAGAGGAATGTGTCTGCTCCAGAACCAAGACTAACTCGACAGTCAGGAGCTAGCACTGTATTGCCCTTGTACTTCGTTGGATTGTATTGGTTAGTAAGACCTGAGACTGGTTTGAATGACCTTACTGGCTGTGTATTGTGAGATCATACCTGTCCTGCTTCTAGGCCCACAGGTTGTATGTGTGGATGTTGCATTTGAATCAGTGCATGAAATATATCACAGCCTAAGCCCTGACCATGCAATCAATGTAATCTGGGAATCAACCATGGCATATTGGTGAGTCAAATGTGATGCCCTCACAAGTAGATCTGCTAGGGCCTGTGATGTGGCATTGGCACTCCTAGTGGGCACTTCTACCCCACTTAGTTGGTAAGATAATCAGAACTGGCTTTTTATGTAGTCACATTTTTTGCTAAGGTGTGAGATGCATCTTATAAAAAAGCTACATGCTTCTGTTAGTTTCCACTCTCCAAAAATGTTAGGTATCAGTGTACCGATAAATCTTTCAGCTTGGCAGTTGTACAAGAAATGTGTGTCAGACTGTTCTGACAGGAGGAGACTTGTCTGGCATTCTTTAGCCTGATTCACTGTTCACTTCCTTGAAATGTCAGTACAGAAAGTGTAATGTCAAAATGTTAGGTTGCTGTGAATGCCTCAGATTTAGTCTGATGTATTTTTAATCTTTAAAAGGGAGGAGGAGGAGAATTTAATTACATAACCAAGCTTTTGTCTTGACTTTATCTTAGTCCTACTATCGGCTTTGTTATCACTACTGTTTTATAGTTCATTCCTATCTCCTTGTCTTCTCTGAATGCTTGGAGTAATCTTACAAATGCAATTCTTGGTTGTATAAACATGACTGTTGTTTATTTCCTGCCAAGTACTTAACTGGACTTCATTCTGAATTTGTTAGATCTTGTTACTCAGCATGTAAGTTGAGGCTCAGTGAATTAAAATTGCCTGTGAATATTTATCACATGGCCCATAGGGACTTGGACATACAACTTAGGAAAAATGAAGGCAGTATTGTTGTTTCCTTCTATATTGTCATATATACATAGTAAATGCTGTTTCTGTGCACTCTGGCTTCCATCATGGTGTTCTGTTGCACCAGAAGCGGTTTAGTCATGCTGGCCACATGACCCAGAAAGCTGCCTGCGGACAAACGCCGGCTCCCTTGGCCTGAAAGTGAGATGAGTGCTGCAACCCCACAGTAGCCTTTGACAGGACTTAACTGTCCAAGGGTCATTTACCTTATTTACCTTTATCTATATGCACAGTATTAATTAATTAAGACTTCTCATAAAAATATTTCCTCTTTTTCAGCGATAAGAAGCTTCTGGCAGAAGGTACTGCTGAAACAATATTAGCAGCTGAAGAAGAGGCTGCACGTGTAGCCCTGCGGAAACTTTATGGGTTTACTGAGAACAGAAAGCCATGGGATTATTCTTCTCCAAAATGGGAGCAGAAAGCAGAAAATGCTATTAGCAGCAATTAGGCAGAAAAGGTCACTTCTTTTGTGTGCAAGAATGCTACATTTTAGAAGAACAAGATTTAATGAGTGAACTATTAAGAAACTAAGATTTTGAAAATACCAGTTTCCCTTACTGCTAATAAACATGTTTGTGGTACATATTTTTTCTACTAGTTCATGCATTATGGTGTGCTGAAAGCTCTGTTAGACCTTGTGTTGCATAGGCTCAGAGGAAGTGTGGAGTACTGAGGGAAGTCTACAATACAAAATGCTAATATAATTTAGGCCAACACTGTATTTCAGATTCCCCTATAGCATAAAATTAACTCATAAATATGAGTTATATAACAGCTAATACTGACTCTGTCTTCTGAACATCTATGTGCCACAACAACTTTCAAAAGTTACCCAGCTGTATATATTTTCTCATATTACAAGGAACAAAAAAGGGAAGAAAATCTGCTTTTAATTTATTCATGTATCCCAAAGAATCAATATCGTCCATTATCCCAATCTCTAGAGTCATCTATTTCCATTACTTCCAAAACCCATTATGAAAAATATCTGCTAATTTCATCAGGCATGCTTAGCATTAATGGAACTGAGTAAAAAGCTACAACAAACATGTTAACCTTTGCATCCCATTTTTCTTTCCCTTCTACTTAAAATTCCTCTCGGTTGATTAAATCTGTTTGAAAAAAAGAGTAATCAATATGTAGCAATGATTCACATGAGCTACTGTCTTCAGCATTCCTTTCATTGTGGAGAGAGGCCAGTTCTTCATTCCTTTGTACTCTGTTTATTTGAATTCCCATACTTGGAAGAGAAGATAAAGTATCTCTCTTGAAGGGGAAGTAAAACTGAGATTGTGTCATCTTCCTTGATTACTCAGTGAATTCATGACTGTGTATACTTTTATGACCAGGTCCAAGTTCTGCATTCCAGTGGGCAATGCTGGTTTGCAACACATTCTTAAAAAGGCTTCACTCAGTTTCAAACAACGTTCCTTTTTGCTACCTGCCTGTTGTGTGCTTCTGCAAATTTCTACTGGACTATTACTGTGTATGCATCTCTCACTGGAATGAACAAGAATTGTGCAAGACCAAGCATTCCAATGGAGCATGCAAAAATATATTTGCCACTGTGCTATGCACATAGGGATTTAGAAATGAAAATGACAGCTGATCATAGCTTTCAAAAAACATTAACGCATGCCCAAGCATGCTTTTAGTTCCTGGTTTTTTATTCTGAAAATGGAATGCATTTGTGGCATTAAAACCTTGAATTAGCTTCTTAAAGTGAAAGTAAATGTTAATTCTAAAAGCTGCTATTAGCTATAGAGAGCTTTTAGAGAGCAATTCTACACACCAGTTATGCGCTGGTGTGTGTGTGTGGCGGGTGGGGGGTAGATATGCTGCTGAATGATATGTACGTAGCCCAAGGAGATCCGAAAATGCAGAAACTAAAAATGGAATACACCCACCCCCAATCTCATGGAAAATGCTGCCAGAGCCACCAACTGGACTGCTCCACTGGAAGTCCAGCGATCCATTTGAACTCATGACCACAGGGGCGGAATCCCTGCACCACCTCATTCTGCCAACCCCTTCAGGAAGGGGTTCAAATGCCCTTATCTGTTCACAGCCACAGTTTTGTAGCAGCATTCTTAAGGGAGGGAGGCAACTTATCTGAGCAGAATGCCTGCAAAGACCATAAGCAGCCCTCCTGGATGAGGGTTCAAGACACACCCAGGAGGGGTCAGTAGTACTGTAAAAAGGAAGGGGCCAGACGAAGGAATCCACAGACATAGCAGAAGACAGGTGTTTGAGCCCTGGTATAGGGTAACATGTTCACATTCACATTTCAGATGCCTAGCAAAAACAGTGAATGCATGGGACAGAAGAGCTTGTGGGGCTTGCACAGGTCAATGAGCTCTTTCTGCCCCCAGCTCCCACCTCTGGGAACCAATGAGACCAATCCTTTCCTTTCTGTTGCCTGAAAAGCAGGGGCGTACCCAGGGGTTGGCACCAGTAAAGGGCGTGGACCCACAGGAGCACAAAAATTGCACCTCTCTATTCTGGCTCGGCTCCTCTGGCAAGGATGCAAGAGACCGAGACATCTCCTTGCCAAGAGCACAAGGGAGCCTTGGTATGCCTCTGCTGATAAGCCAGCTCTACTGGGTAGCATGCCAGCTGGACTCATTGCTCCTCTCACACCAGCCTTTTCTGCCTTGCCCCACACGTAACTGATGTGTACATGGTGATAGCAGCACCCAACCCACCTGGGTAAAGTCCAAAAGCTCTCATGTGCTCCAGAGGAAAATCCTTTCCCCTTAGAGTCCTCTTGCCAGAATTCCTCCTTGCAATTTCTTAAGGGAGCGCAAAATATCAGGAATTTTGCCTAATAGGTAAAATGTCAGGGGAAACCCAGAAGTATGGCAATGTGATGTAAAAAGCAGTGGAAACGGCCCAAAAAAGTTCAACAATTTTGGGGTCTTCCTAAAGAGAGCTCAACAACTTTTCAGGGTGTCAGGAATTTTCCTTTTTGAAAATTGCAATCCTAGCCACAGTATGCTGTGCTCGCTCTCAGTCAGAGTAGACAATGCCCTCATTGACCAGTGATCTTACTTGGAGAAGCACTCAGGCCACCTTCCAACAACAGTGAACGTGGATAGCACTGCTTAGGGCACTGCTTTGATCGGCATACTGATTAACTCTGTTGGATCGGGGCCAGTGGATTTAAAGAGCTGCCTTGTAGTGGTTTGCTCGCATAGAACACACCCTCGCTGTGCGTGGGTGCAACACGCACACCCTTTCTCTCTCACACACTTTACCTTACCAACGAAATAGCGGGGTGGCTATATACTGCCTCCAGCTTCGGATCCTGCCTGCTTCTGAATACAAGCAGCGGGGAAATAGCCGCGGAGAGGGCTATGGAATTATCGTGTCCTGCCTGCTGGGGGCTTTTTGGCAGGCCACAGCTAGGAACTATGGACTAGACATGCCATGGGTAAAATATTTCAATAAAATCAGGCAAAATTGCGGGGACAAAATCTCAGAGGGGGGGTCATTTGCTGCTTATTGGCCGCCAGTTGCCCCATCTGTCTCCATCCCTTCCCTTACTCTGACATTTCTATCTTTGACCTCTTCTCGCCACCTCCCCCTGCAACTGGGCCATGTTGTTGTTGTTGTTGCCCCCACTCTTCCTTCTCCTTTCCTATTTACTTATTTTTAACCTCCTGCAGGGTCACGCCAGGTAAGCATCTCCCACAGGGCGAGGTGGGGGGAGAGAATGAGGTAGAACGGGGAAGGAGCCGCTCGTGGAAAGAATCCTCCCATGCGGGAGGGGGCGCTCGTCGTCAGGCGCCTTCAGGGCGCAGGCGGCGGCTTATCGCCGAGCTGCTCTCCACCTCCTCCTCCTCCTCGCTCCCCCCCCTCCTCCTCCTCTCCTTGTCTCTACAGAGAAAAGGTGCCGCGCAGGTTCCGCTTCGGCTCGTCATCCAGCCGCCCCGTCCTCCTCGCCGAGGGCCGACGCCGCTCCCCTCCCCCTCCTTCCCTTTTCCCCCTCCCTCCCCTTCCTTCCGTCGGTCCGTCAGTTGGGGTTGCGCGCGCGCGCGCCAGGGGCGCGGGCCCAAGCCTCGTCCCCCTCGCGCTCCCCTCACGGGCGTCTCGGAGCCGGACGGGTCCCGGCCTCCCTCCTCATTCCCCGGCCGGCGTGAGCGAGCCCGGGGAGCGGCCTCTATACCTCCGCGCGCGCTCACAGACACACACACATTACCCGGCCGCCTCCTCCGAAGCCATGGCGGCGAGCGCCAAGCGGAAGCAGGAGGAGAAGCACCTGAAGCTGCTGAGGGAGATGAGCAGCCTCCCGCCCAACCGCAAGTGCTTCGACTGCGACCAGCGCGGCCCCACCTACACCGACATGACGGTGGGCAGCTTCGTGTGTACCTCCTGCTCCGGCATCCTGTGAGTTGAGGAGAGGAGAGTTGAGGAGACGTAGAGAAAAAAGAGACACAGAGAAAAAGAAAGGAAGGAGGAGGAGGAGGAGGAAGGGTTGACCTCCTCCCAGGCGGGAGGAAACAATCGAGAGCTTTAAGCAGGCGATGGGAGGGAGGGGTGGGTGGTGGAGCTGAGGAGAAATAAGGGGGGCTGGGAGGGGAGGTTGGTGAAGACTCCCCACCCCACCCCGCTCCTGATCCCATATGGGAATTGGCAGCGGTCTCGGGGAGGGGGGTGGGTGGGTGGGGAGAGGCTGAAGCGTAAACGAGACTGCGGGCAGTTTGCGGTGGGGGGGGGGGATTCATTTTTTCTTTCCTCTCATTTCCCCCATAATTGCTGGGCCAGACCCTTTGAGAGGAATGGGGCGCGTGGTGTTGGGCGGAGAGCGGGGGTGGGGTGGGGGTTGCTCGTGTGTCTTTCAGGCGAGTGACAGGGGCACACGGTGTGCAAGAGGGCTGCGCATGGGTACGGGTGAGAATTGGGAGACCAGGTTGAAGAGATCCCCGGAAAGAAAAGAAGGAAGCTGATGTGGTGGAGGATAGATGGTGTGGGGCTTGCTGAATCTTCCAGCGTCCCTTAAGTGTAGAAGGGGTGGGTTTTATTTCCTCAAAAGTGGGAGGAATATCGGTAATGAAAAATGGAGGGTCTTAACGAGCACATTCTCTCTGTATATAAAGTGTGCTACGCTTTTAGGAGGAGGGATGCAAACTTTTTCTGCTAGTTTGATCAAGTTCCCTTAGAGCATATGAAAGGCTAGAGGTGGACAGGTGCCAATTGTGATATTAACCCAGGAAGTATGTAAAAAGGGTGGGGAAAGCTTGACAAATACTCTGCAGATGCATTTTTATTTTTTGGTACTCGTGTAATTAAGATGGCAAATACGCTTTTGCCTGAGTGTTCCCTTCATGGATTTGAGTTTATTGAGCACATTAAAAATTTGCCTTGAGGGTTTACAACAGGAAACAGATTAATGATTACTGGTTAACCTCTGGATTTGAGTTCACCATGCCAGTTGTTTAGTTAGCATAATTTGGTCTTTTTTCGTACCCCAATTAATATCAAACTTGCTGTGCAAATGGTTTGCAAACTGTGCAAATTGTCCCTCATCATTTTGAAGCAGTTGCAGTTTTCTCCAGCATGTTATCCTTTTTACCTTGCAAGATTTGTTTTGTTCAACCACATGGTGTTGCACATGGAACTTGATTTGCTGTGACAGTTACTAAAATGAAGGTACGGCACTTGTCAAATAGATCAGAACTGTTGACTCCTGCTCATAGAGCTCATAGGTAGAATATGTGCTTTGTATGGAAGGTTCCAAACTGACAATTGGATATCCAGTTTAAAGCGTATAGTAAAGAAAGTCACTGGAAGGTCTTATGCTAAATAACTTGTAGAACCAAAGTTATAGTGCTCCCTGTGTGACCATGTTTAAGGAATCCATCACTTGCCATCCATAATTAGACACATGTGCATGTAAAAAGTTGTCCATAAAAATTATATGTAAAAAGACTTGCTGTCAGCACCATGTACTTATATTATATACTCACAAATTTACTCTTAATTGATTTTTACTAGTTCACCATTACAAGTACACATGAAAGTAACTTTAGCCATATCACTATTTCCGTTGAGTCACTAATCCTTCCTGCAGTAATCCTTATACAGAGGTGTAGCTTAGATGTATTGCTGAAGTTTCCTATTTAGTACTTGCAGGAATCATTGGTTCTCTCACTTTCAGACCTTTGGGTTCTATTTCATACATTATAGCAGTGGCAAAGTTGCTGCTGAACTTTTGCAGTTGAAATTAGCATAACCATTCTCAAACTGAGACGACCATGTGTGATATGACAAGGGATGATGGAAGTTCAACAGTGTCTGGACCGTAAATTTGCCACACACATTTTAAGGAACAGGTTTGATTTTAAGAAGGCTGAAGAGACAAATATGGAGGGAGGTGGAGCAAATAAACTTCTTCCTGTTTGCTTGTTTATTAGACTATATTGCTTGGAGATTTTTGAAATATTAAGCAGTTTAAATAAATCAATTTCTTGGACATATGTGCATTTTTAGAGTAGAAAAATCTGTTAAATTAATAAAACTTCAATGCTAGCAATACGATGCTTAAATAAATTTCAAATACTTTGATGATGCTATTATTATTATTTATTTATGTGCTGCCCATCTGACTATGTTACCCCAGCCACTCTGGGTGACTTCCAACAAATTAGAACACAGTAAGACATCAAACACTTAAAAATCAAAATAATATATGAAACCTCAGGTTATCTAACATTTTTAGCTTTCCAGATCTTAAGTAGGTAAATAGTAGGGAGAAAATGTCACAGATTCAAGGCAACCAAGTGAATCTGTATCTTTACAAAGTACTTTAAACCATCCAGTTCCTTAGTCCCTTCAAAAGATTAATGTCCTTAAGAGAAAGGGCTATGGAATTGAGATCTGATATTCTTAATTGATTCCTGTCAAATTATAAATTCATTAAACTAAAATTATTAGGCCTAACTTTTCACTGCTCTTGGATAAGTACTCCAAAACAAGTACTAACACTTAGAAAAAGGCAATTTTCTTTCATGCCTAAGATTCTTCAGAGCTAGGATGGTTTCTTTGACCAATTGTAGCTTCAAGGTATAGTAGAACTTTATTTTCTTCTTGAAAAGTTTCTAGAATGACTTCCTTCAATTTTCTTGTTTTATAGACGAGGTTTAAATCCACCTCACAGAGTGAAGTCCATTTCCATGACCACATTCACACAGCAAGAAATAGAATTTCTGCAGAAACATGGGAATGAAGTAAGTATTACAGACTTGTTTTTAAGGGAATAAATAGTCCTCAAATGAATGTGATTTATCATTCTTCAAGAAGAATGATAAACCACACTGATTTTGGTGTTGGTAAAAATGGAGTGTTAAGTAGACATGGTGCAGGATGGTCATAGATTTATAACCCACCCTGCCCAGCACCCTGATGGGTATTAGAAATGGCAAATTATCATCAGATTATCATCACTTGATCAGTGGGGAGGATGCAGTGACCGTCATCCTGAGCTGAGTGTGGACCAACTGGGGGCTGTGTGTGAGGGTGTATCTTGTGTGTGAGGGACAGTGGCCAAACCCACCCACTAGCATGTGCACCCTAGAGAGATAGCCAAGGATGAATACAGCCCCTAAGGCAGAAAAGGTTAGCCACTCCCATTGCTGAAAATGAGAACTGAAATTTTCTTTGCTGTTTGTAGCAAAAAAATAGTATTTGAGAACTATGAAACTTCAGACCCCTCCAAATTGGTTTCTGCAGCAGGAACGATGTCTCATAGCCTTGTGCCAATTGTGTTTGTTACTCTTTTTCCTTTTTCTTCTACAAAACTGTTTATTGTTCAAAATACCGCAGTGCTACATTTTTCAGTGTGGGTAGAACTGCTGTTAAAGATGAGTGGTCTTTCCTCAAACCACTTAATTCCCATCCATTTTACACAGGGCAGCAGTAACTTGCCATATGTTAATTATAGGGAGAAAGGAAGAAGTTGCTGCATGTGGGATCTGCGAAATTACCAGAAAATGTAATGGTTTTGTAATATAAAAATTGAAAATCCTGGAGGAAAGAAGAACCTAAGTAGAGCCTGTTGAATCAGGCCAGTAGCCTGTCTAGTCCAGCATCCTGCTCACACTGGTGAAGCAGGTGCCTTTGGGAAGCCTGGAAGCACCTGCCCACCTGCAATTCCCAACAACTTGTAGAACAAGCAGCTGTTGATAGCCTTGTCCTCCACGAACTTATCTTAATAGTCTGTTAAAGCCATCCAAGTTGGTGGCCATCACTGCTTTCTGTGGGAACCAGTTCCATTGTTTTAAGTATGAAGAAATACTTTCGTTTATCTGTCCTGAATCATCCAGGGTTCAGCTTCAGTGGATGTCGACGAGTAGTGGTGTTATGAACAGGGTTTGAAATTAGCAGGGTGCCAGGCACATTTTGCACCTAAAGAGTCTCCATTTGTGAGCACCTCCAAACGTCTGGGTGCCATTTTTTTGTGCCTGGCTGACATTCAAGGATTACTGAAATGTATGTGATTTGAAGCTTCGAAGTCTATGTTAAGGACAGACAATATGTTAGGGAGTTTAACAATAAAGAGTAGAGTGTTTTGTAAACTGAAGTATGGTACCAATATTTTTATTGTAAACACAGAAATAAACAGGTATTAACAATTTCTGCTAAAAATGTGGTATCAACAATGTGTCACTTGTGTGAATTGCGTATTAATTCAGGCTTATCAAAATAATAAATAAAAAGTGTTGCTTCCACAACCCAGGTCCCAGGAGCCATTTGGCTCCTAGCTTTTCTATTCCAGTTTCTAACACTGGTTATGAGAGGAGAAAAACTCTTCTCTGTCCATGCTAAAGCTGCTTCAGCAAACCTTGTTCTTCTGTATGTTCGGCTATTTTATCTTTAACAATACTTTCCACCAGTTTTCCTAGGGCAGATATAGCTAACCAGCCTGTAATTTCCAGGATCTCCTCTAAATCCCATTTAAAAAATTGGTGTTACATTGGCTACTTTCCAGTCCTCTGGTATGGAGGCTGATTACGAGGGACAAGTTACATATTTTTGTTAGAGGTTCAGCATCTGAGTTCTATGGGCGGATGCCATCTGGACCCAGCAATTTGTCAGCTTTTATTTTGTCTTTTAAGCCTAGAACTTCATCTCTTATCAGCCACTATCTGCCTCAGTTCCTCAGACTCCCTTCCTGCAAAAGTTAGTTCAGGCTCTGGGATTTGCCCCATGTCTTCTGTTGTGAAGGCAGATAGTTATCAGATTACAGGCATTGGTTCTGGAATCTTCTAGAAATAATCTCTTAACAGCATTGTAAAAGATCTAAGTAAATTTGGCATAAATTAGGGGAAGACTATGTTTTGAGACTTGACACTGAACACATGGCATCTCATGAAATGAGTACTTCATTTAGGCATTAGCAGGGTATCCCAACTACTTTATGAATGCCATAAAGACACCATAAATAATAAAATTGTAGGTCTTTATAGTCAAAAAAATAGTAGGTGATAGCTAATACACATGGATGGAGCCTGGCCCATGACTCTGTCTTACATTATTCAGTCAGGTCATCTGCTTGCTGAGGAATATAGTTAACTTACATTGGCAATAAACTTTTCCATTCTTTGGCAATCAGTTAAAAGTTATTTTTAGAAAGGGGTTTATAGCACTTAGTTTTTCTGGTAGAGCATAGTGAAACATAATTATGCTTGATTAGAGGATAAAAGAATATCACTTGTGCCAATCTATACTTTTCTTGTCTAAACAGGCAAACATAGTTGGTGTTTAACCTTCAAAATGGGATTAAGAACCTGGTTTTGATTCTGTTTTGCTACATAACAGGATTGGAGTTATTAATTTCCTGATGCAATGGGACGAAGCACATAAAACCAAAGCTCCTTAGGCCTTGTTCTTTTAACCCTAAACCTTTTGCAGCATTAGGGCAATAGAATTCTCATAGTCTGACAGTCTATCCCATGTGTAAGGTGGCATGGTCTTCATTGGGAGGGTTGTCCTCTGCAGTGCACTAAACTTAATGTTTCAAGGCTTTGACCCTTTGGTGTAGTAATCTCCCTCAAACTTATGTTATATCTAGGATGACCAGGGCTATGTGTGCCAACCTTTTCTGCAATACAAATTCTTACAAATATTGATGCCCCTATGATGCATGTGTAAGCTAATTGTGACGCTATACGAATTTATCATAGGTGGGAGCCAACATCAACATAGCTTCCCTAAAGTTTGCATATTTGTTTACTGTATTATTGTCCTTTTTTCTATTAGTTATTGTCTCCCAGAGCAGCTCACATCAGTTAAAAAGAGAGAAGGGCACTTATTAAGCCACAAAAGGAAAGTGGAGGAAAAAGGTAGGGGTGGGAGATCAGTTCTTTAAACCCATAACAAAGTGGTGAGAAATAAATGGGCATTTATATCCTCTTGGGACCAGGCTAATCAGTATATTTTTCTTGTTTCTCTATATTTTTCTTGTTTTATCGGAAATGTAATATGAGCAGTTGTGGTCATAAGTTACTGTTGAAAGATGCAGAAACTATTAAAGGGTCTCTGTAAGCAGTTGTGGTATTTAGAGCAATTCCTTACACAAATACTTGACAAGTACAACCTTCTTACATTTTGATAAATTTATTTTGGTCTACTTAATATTTTTTATTGTGTGATACACAAAAGTTGTTCCCATTACAGTATTTGCAAAGGAATAAACTGCTGCAGATGAAGAGATACTGTGCCATAATGAATTACTATGCTCACAAAACAGGAGTGAGGCAGTTCCTGTAGAAATAGAATAGAATGTAATCAAGTAAAATGAAAGTGGTATAGAGGGAATATTTAAATGTCTTATAAAGGCAGCCAAGCAAGTAATTCCTGACTGAAGTGCAATTATTATTTATGGAGTATCTAAAATTGTGTTGGACTAATGCTTTCAGTTCTTGCATTTCTAGGAAGCATATATTAGCCAATAGATCAGTGACTAAGACAAAGGAATTAGGGTATTTACTGAATACAAGTTACTGCTTGCTTACTCAGGAACACCATTTCAAAATCCTTCCTGTGGCAAGTTTCGCTTGTACTATAGTTCTGCTTTGTTGCTATGTCAAATTGTAAATCTAGTAATTGGCTGCTGCAAAATATACGTTATTCATTCATTGTATGGCATATTCTGAAATGTTCATTATCTTTATTACCAAACGGTTTTCATACAGAGTAGTCTACAGATGAATGAAATGTGACTTATTTGTAATTGTGTATCAGACCACCTATTTTTAACTAGAAGTTACCCAAATGAGCTCTGTGCCATAAGGTGGAAAATACTGGGATACAGGTTTTTAACCAGTCTGCATAAGCAGTAATGTGCAGTTGCATCTTGAATGAAAGCTAAACTGGCACTCCAGTCATTCCATCCTTGCATCAACTGTGGAAAGTCTTTTCTAGGAAATAGCAGGAGTGTACACGAGGAAGCTTTCATAAATCAAAGCATGCTTTTCAGTACATTAACAACTTAGTTGCTTTAATTTAAATTGGTTCACTTTTTGCTAGGATTTGAGATATATACAGCTTATAGCTCTCTACCTGTATTATCCATTCACTTGCAAAAACCTATTGATAATTTTCTTAAGCTTAGTGTTAATATTTTGTTTCTAGAAAGAAAATTAAATTATTGTGCCTGCCTGCCTGCCTGCACTTAGGCAGCTAGCTGTTCCTGGCCAACTTCCTGGTTTATATTAGTCAGGGTGACCCATGGGAGTCCTCATTTTCGTCATTGCTGTTAAATGCAGACTGGCAACAACAATCTGCATGCAAAATCCCAGTTTCGTTGCATTTGCTAGGAGGGAATAGATGCCCTTATCCCTGAACACATTTATTCAGCTTTATGCAACAATTGTCCCATCCTATTGCAATGAACTGAGCAACCACTTGGTCTCCTGCTGTAATATATGGGATGCGGGTGGCGCTATGGTCTAAACCACAAAGCCTAGGGCTTGCCGATCAGAAGGTCAGCGGTTCGAATCCCCGTGATGGGGTGAACTCCCATTGTTGGGTCCCAGCTTCTGCCCACCTAGCAGTTTGAAAGCATGTCAAAGTGCAAGTAGATAAATAGGTACCGCTCCAGCGGGAAGGTAAACAGCATTTCCATGCGCTGCTCTGGTTCGCCAGAAGCGGCTTAGTCATGCTGGCCACATGACCTGGAAGCTGTCTGTGGACAAACGCCGGCTTCCTCGGCCTATAGAGCGAGATGAGCGCGCAACCCTAGAGTCGTCCGTGACAGGACCTAACAGTCAGGGGTACCTTTACCTTTATCACAATGAACTGAGCAACCACTTGGCCACCTGCTGTAATATATACATTATAAAAAAAAACATTTTAAGTCCTGTGGGTCTCCTTATGTGTTGCCATTATGCCAAAAGGCCTTTTGTGTCCCCAATTTTAAGTTTATCTATTTAAAAAAGTATTAGTTTTTTTTAAAAAAACCAAAAAACACACATTTTTTCTTACAGACCACTCCCATGATGTGATTCTGTGATGTCAAAAGGCTTTTGTGTGCTCCCCTCAACACCTAATCTGTGTCCTTTTTAAAAAATGGCCCCCAGCATCCTCTTCTAGAAAGCCATAACCAGTTTGGAAACTGTATGGTTTGTTTCGGAAACCTTTTTGTACCAAATTACCGTATTTTTCGCTCTATAACACGCACCAGATCATAACACGCACATAGTTTTTAGAGGAGGAAAACAAGAAAAAAAATATTCTAAACGAAATAGTGGATATATGATTTTTGTGGTTCATGCTGTGGCCACAGACATGTGATCTGACAGTGAGTTTGGAGTAGCCCAATGCAAAAATCTTGAGGATCCATGTGGATCCATGCTTTGTAACCACGGAGGAGGGAAGGAAGGGGGTCCATGGATCCTCTGCTCACGACTGCAGCAGATCCCCCCCGCCACCCACAGGCATTCGCTCCATAACACGCACGGACATTTCCCCTTACTTTCTAGGAGGAAAAAAGTGAGTGTTATGGTGCAAAAAATACGGTATATATATTGGACTAGAATGCATCTTTCAATTAACCATTGGTATTAATTTAGGCATTCAAGGTCTTTTGAATTACAAATAAAAATTTAGATGCATTTTTACAGAAATGTATGTAAAGGTTTGAAACAAAACCCCTCAAAGAGGTAATTTGTAAATTGCAGATTTTTATTTGGGGTAAAACCTGTTGTATACTGTTTTAGGGGCCTTTGTTTGGGTTGAAATGCAGGATAAGAATAACTGAACGTCATGTTTTGGTGATACTATATTAAACAATTACACTGTCATAAAACGGATGGAGATTTATGAAAAGCACTGATATGCACACCAGTAAATTCTTAAGCACAATGCTTATTCTGCTTCTTGATATAAATAGTTACTATTGTAGAGGAGCTAAATGGCCTTGCAGGTATGCATAGCAAGATCAGATTACTGTGTCTCAATGCACACCTATAAATGCTTACTCCTAAAGTAACCTGGTTGAACACGGTGGGACTTAACTCCTTGGTAAGTGTATGTCTGCACTGTTTATATGAATTAAATGATCAAGTTGAAATTGATTTAACCTAATACTGTATTGTGTTTCCTCCACAAGGTGTGTAAACAGATTTGGCTAGGATTATTTGATGATAGATCATCAGCAATTCCAGACTTCAGGGATCCTCAAAAGGTCAAGGAATTCTTACAAGAAAAATATGAAAAGAAAAGATGGTCAGTACACACCTTATTTTGCTAGTATTTTAAAACAACTTTTTTTGTTGCTAAAATTGGTGTTTCTTATTTTTGCTAGTATAACTATCATTTAAGTATATACATGCTCTTATCTGTATTGTTATTTACTTTGTCTGGATGCTTTGCAGGAAGATAGCTTCCCACGATTCATTTCTAATTGCCAAATCTTGATCACTAGCTTAGAGATTACACTGGTCAACAACAAATTTGTTGTCTGGGTTTTTTCAGCTGATTTAGGATGAATCTGATGCGCTGAATCCAAAAATCACATTGGTTTTGCTCAATCAGGTCAAGTTTTTGAGCTATGGCCACATGTCTTTTTTACGTTTTTGTTCACATGTACGCTTGTGTGGAGCATTTTAGAAGAAGTTGGTGGGGGTAAAATGCCTTGTCAAATAATTGTTTTGATTGGAAATGATTATTTTAATGACAAGAAGTATTCAGGTCCGATAGTTCTGGGTGATTATGTCAAAAAGGGATCAGTTTGAAGTCATAAAACCTCGAAATCTTCCATAAATTGGTCCAGCAAAGCATAAAGTTGGGGGGATCAAAACTAAGTTAATGGGGCAGCCGCCCCACAAAATATCCTGATCTTCAATCAGCACGTCGTCCTATAGCTCATTGTGATGAAATTCCAGTGCCTATCTTCGAAGAACTTCCTGACATTAGTGACGAAGATGCCTCCAGTGTTGAAGGACATGAAGAAGAAGAAGTGGTTCTTGAAGATGATGCTCTACATCCATTTTCCCAAAAGGAGTTGAATGATCTAGTTCGCGACCTCAGCTTGTCAAAGGACTCTGCCGAACTGTTGGCATCCAGATTGAAGGGAAAAAAACCTCCTCTCTGACAGTGCTCGCATCAGCTTCTTGCGCAACAGGCATCAAGAGTACCTCCGTTTTTTCTCGGAAGAGAAGGACTTGGTGTACTGTGCAGATATTGCGCAGCTTCTGCTCAAGCTTGGAGTGCCACAGTACAAACCCAACGATTGGAGACTGTTCATTGACAGCAGCAAGCGATCACTGAAATGTGTTCTGCTACACAACGGCAACCAGTTTGCCTCTATACCCCTGGCTCACTCGAGTACACTGAAGAACTATGAAGCGGTGAAGTATGTGCTGGAGAAAATTGGTTATGATCAGCATAAGTGGTTTATTTGTGTTGACCTGAAGATGGTGAACTTTTTGTTGGGACAACAGTCTGGCTTCACCAAGCACCCATGTTTTCTTTGCATGTGGGATAGTAGGGACCGTGCTCAGCATTACATGAAGAAGGACTGGCCTGTGCAGGAGGAATTGGTGCCTTGCAAAGAAAGGAACGTCATCAACGACCCTCTGGTGGACAGAGACAGAATACTCTTCCCACCGCTGCACATCAAGCTCGGCTTAATCAAGCAGTTCACCAAGGCTCTGGACAAGGATGGTGACTGCTTCATTTACTTGTGCCAGGCTTTTCCAGGATTGACCATGGAGAAGTTGAAAGCTGGCATCTTTGACGGTCCTCAGATCCGTCAGCTCATCAGAGATCCAGAGTTCGGAAACTCAATGAACGAAGTGGAACTGGAAGCGTGGAAGGCATTTGTTCTGGTAGTGAAGAACTTTCTTGGCAACAATAAGGCCAGAAACTATGCAGAACTTGTCAACAACATGCTGACTGCTTTCAGAAACCTGGGCTGCAACATGAGCGTCAAGATGCACTACCTATTTTCACATATGGACCGGTTTCCTGAGAACCTGGGTTCAATGAGTGACGAGTAGGGGGAGAGATTCCATCAGGACATGAAAGAGATGGAGACCAGGTATCAGGGTCGCTGGGATGCAGTCATGATGGCTGACTACTGTTGGACTCTGAAGAGAGACCTCCGTGCTGCTGAGCATTCCAGGAGTTCCAAGAAACAGAAGTTCAAGCCCTGAAGTTTGAAAAATGGTGAAGCAACATGCAATTTACGTGTACTTACCTTTATCAATGCCCACCATTCAGTTTACAGAAAACCTGACCTGATGGAGAGAAACGGATGCCATTTCCTGATTCAGCAGTACAAAAATACCCTAAATCAGTTGTAGAAGTTGTAGACAACGTTCAAAAAGTAAAAAATTGTTGCCCAGTGTTATTCCTCTCGGGCCCCTGGAACTACTTCCTTTCTCCATTATTATGATGATGTTTCATTGGGCTTGGGCTAGCATGAGGGTTGGCACTTCTCCCAAAGAATACAAAACTATTGTTCCTGACCACAAGGAGCAGGGTATTCTAAAACGATCCGTTAGGTAGTATTGAGGGTAAGACTGGACAAAGGAAAATTTGCCAGGAAGCAGTTCTTGTGGCATAGGAGCATGCGTTCCCTTTTTATAGTAACTTTCAGGCAGGCTTGTTGACAGTGCCTATGATTGACTAAGCCAGTCTGTAGGTACTGGACAGAAGCAGGATGAAGGTTAAGACTGCAAATTCAAATCCCAGTGATGGGACTTTTTGGAGGAGAAGCGACATAGCTCAGTGGTAGAGCATCTGATTTGCATGCAGAAGGCCCCAGGTTCATTACCTACAACCTCCAGTTAAGGCAGGAAGTATCTCCCTTCTGAAGCAATGGAGAGCCTCTCCCAGCCAGGATAAACCTAGCTAGCTGAACCAGTGGTCTTCTGTAGCATGAGACAACTTCCTTTCCCCACTACTTATGTGGCAAAATAATTTATTACATACATATTGCTTCCACAAAGGTGGAAAACATGACAAAAACATACTCTTTGGTAGGTGTACGTGAAGTTAAAGAGATGTACAGGTTTACTGTATATTCAATGAACACTGGATTTTCCTCAATGAAATAGACACTGATGTGGGAAACAGTCTTGTATGAGCAGACCTTGGGGATACTTCAGTTTGGGATTTAAAATGTCAGTAGCATTAATTGAGAATTTAGTTTGTTTAGTGTACCATTCAATGAATTCCTTAAAGTTTAGTATGCTGCCAAAATACTGTAAATTTTATAACACATTCCCAAATGTGCAGCATGTTTGATTTGCTCTTCTTGAGGTTAGTGCACCTTAGCAGCAGTTGACATAAACATTAAGAGCTGTACAGTTACAGAAATTGTACTTGAAACTGTTAGATGATATTGCCCACTGCCTCCATTCATTCATTACCTTATACTCTTAAGACCAGGACTGGCAAGTTATCAGAGTATTTGAGATGGATTCTAGGGCAGACAACTGCTGGTAGTAGCTTAACTGGAATTGAATTGAAATAGTCTTGCGAAATAACTGTTCTACTCTGGGGTCTCTTGTCATAAGACTGCTATGGGGAGATTTGTTGAAACTGTATTTGCATGGCGGCTGTTTTGTGTTGTAAGCTGCTATAGTGCAGTGGTTCCCAACCTCACCACCTCCTGGGGCACTTGAAAATTGCCGAGGTTCTTGACAGACCGCTTAATGATTTTTCTGCCCAATTTAACAGTTGTAATGTACTGTGTTAGATACTATATGATATTTAATTTTATTTTTATTGCTGCTTTTGTTTCTTACAGTATTTTATTACAGTTTGAATTCCATAGAATTCCAGTTTTAATACAATATAAGAAATAAAAGCCATAATATACAATTAGAAATCAATATACGTATTTAAAGGAATGACTTTGCCACCTCCCATCTTCAGCCACAAATCCACAGACACACCAAGACCACCTGAATGAAGCTCATTCAGGGGTCTGTGGACCACAGTTTGGGAACCCCTGCTATAGTGCTTGAAAAAGTAACTTTGGGTTCTCTTTCTTCTAACAAGATATATTGGGACTGTGTCTATTAAATTTGTAATATATATTTGTCTTAGGTATGTTCCACCAGAACAAGCAAAAGTTGTGGCATCTGTCCATGCATCTATATCTGGCTCCTCTGCTAGTAGTACAAGTAGTACTCCAGAAGTCAAGCCACTTAAATCTCTTCTGGGAGAGTCTGCACCGGCACTGCACTTAAATAAGAGCACACCTACACAAGTGAGTAGAGGGGCAAAAACTGTTCTTTCACACCCTACAGTTCTCCCGAATTTCTGATTTTTCCTCCTACTCTCATTTCTTTTAGCCATGCTGAATCTCAGCCAGCCTTATTGCTTGTTCAGCACTCGTATCTCTTCTCTCAGATATTTGGATCATATAACTGCTATTCTGGCTGGATGCATTAGCTGCCTGTATATTCCCAGGCCTAATTGAAAATGCTCATTTAAACTTGCAAAGCCTTACATGGCTCAGGACTCCAATATTTAACAGAATGCCTCTTCTGCTATGAACCCAACCATACTCTTAAGTCAATATTTGAGGCCCTACAGTTACCCCCTCTGAGAGAGGTTCAGAGCATGATGACAAAGGGCCTTTATAGCAGTGGACCTTTGTCTGTGGAATGCTCTCTCCAGCTAGGCATTCCTGGCACCAACTTTGTTATTCTTTCTGTGCCAGGTCAAAACCTTCCTCTACTCGCAGAGAGTTGGAGGGATGGAATGGTTGCACAGATCCCTTAGTGCATTATCAGATAGAATAACTTAATCTGGGTGAAAAGTAAAATGGTGTGTCCTTCTACATCAGGAATAAAACCTTGGATTAATCTCTCTTCATGTTTGTTTAGCCAACTTTAACTTGTTGTTTACAGTCTCCTGTTGTAAATCGATCTCAAGGACAGTCACAAGAAAAGAAACAGTTTGATCTTCTCTCTGACCTTGGTTCAGACATATTTGCTGCTCCTGCTCCTCATTCCACAGCCACAGCGAATTTTGCTAATTTTGCACATTTCAACAGTCATACAGGTAATAGTCTTTTCCATTCCTGGATTTGTTACCGATAACTGATATTGAAATCCAGTCCCTACAAATGCACGTAGTATAGTTTTGTGTAGTTTTTTAAAAAAACTATTTACCCAATTTGCTTCAATAAGAATGGTTAAATTTTCCACTTAGCTGTTACACTGAAATTGCCACTTTCCCTTTACTGTTAAATGTAAGCAGGAAACTTAGTCTGAAAAAGTGGACTGATTTGCCTGTCATAATTCTGAAATAACTGGCAAATGGCATTCCCTCACCATTATGAAAACCTTAGTTATTGAAATTGTGCACTATTAATTGTTTTAAACATCTGGCCCTTCCAATCTATTATCTTAGGATCATAAATTGAGAATTTAGTACTGGTAGTATAGCTTATATGGAATACCAAATCTACAATTAAATTGTTCATAGTGTTTTGCATACATTATCTCAATAATCCTTACCACAACCTTGTAAGATAGGTCATTATTCTTATATTGCAAAGGGAAGGTTGAAAGGATAACATACTGAGTAGCCTGATAATCAAGCACTTGACAGTTTGTATAACTGAATATATTATACCAGCTCTCAATTTATTCGTTCACTTCTGTTTATGCAAATAGTTATGTATGGGAAATGAGTACTATTGGTTGCGTTTTAAGCAAATGTATTGGTGTGGCATTCTGTGGTGAGTGGCCTTTACAGAATGGGTGGAGAGCTGCCAGACCTTGAGCCAGATTGGGCCTATATCATATCTGGATCCTTTCTGCATGGCCCAACCCCATGCTTGTTTCATTCATATGTCCTGACTGCAGAGGGAGACAGGTGACCTGGAGAATTGCTCTGTCCCTCTTCCAGCAGCTTGCTCTGCTTCTGTACTGTCAGTAGAGGAAGAGAAGCTTCTTCATCACTGGATGAAAGTGAGCAGTAAGCACAGAATGCATACTAACTGCTTGGGATTTCTAATCCCATGCTGATTATCGGGAATTCCCTCTCAGGACTTCTCTCTTCCTCTTCCATTCTCTGTGTGTGTATGTGTGAGAAATTAAATATACGGATCGTAGGTGAATTGGGTACAATTTTATAAGTGAATGCTTGTCTGACTGCTCACATTTGGGTCTGGCCACTGCTTGCATGCATTTCCCAACACCCCTGAGGTGTTGACTCAGAAGCAAGGAGGTTGGATGAAAGGAGCAGAGTAGGCAATGAACTAAGAGAAGAACTAGGAGGGAAGGATAAATGGAGATTGTGCATGAGGAGAGAATAATGTGCTTTGTTGCAGAAGGAGAAAGGAGTGCATATCAGACTTATGAAAAGTCAGGGCAGTCAAAAGGAGTAACAAATAATGCAGGAACCAAAGGAAAATAAAGTTGGATACTTTCTACTGAAGAAAGAAGCAATGGTGCATGATTGATGGAAGGGAAGAGGCAAGAAAAGCTTTGAGGGCTGGAAACTAGAATTGAGAGTGCCAAGGGTGATAAAAGTTTTCCAAGTCCAGGCCCTGATGGGAATTCTATGAACTCTGTTTTCTATTGTTACTGAACCTCTGTGATCTGGCAGTCTAATGGAACAACAGAAAGAGGTGCTGAATTTCAGAGTGGTTTCAACTCACTAGTTAACTCTTTGATTGCATGTTTCTGGAAGTGATTATAGGAACAATATATTCAAACTTTGATTAACCTTGTTGCATCTCTGGACAACTTTGTAATGTGTGCACTTTGTTACTTGCCTTACATTCTCAATATTGTAAAGTGATGGAAATACTAAAAATCATAATTTCTTTTGGCCCAATATTTGACAGTGTTGTTTGCCCTTCCTTTTGGATTTTTCTCTTAAAATTTATATTGGCTATCTTGTCTTCTTTTACGGCTCAGTAACTTCTCAAAGGCCAGGACCCAGAGAGCTACCTTAGGTGAGCTCAAGGGGCTTGTGTATACCCAGTGGGGTTACTGACTTTCCATGGCATATTGCACAATGCTTATGAAACTCCTTCACAGTTTCAAGAGCTATTTTTTTGTGGCATGGATATTTTCTGTTCAAGAAACACCAAAAGCCTTGGGTGCACAGAACTTCTTGTAAGATCACCATGATACAAGATGAAGCTGTCTTAAATGGATGCCATAGTAGCAGTGAACAAAGATCCAACTGGCCCATCACTCTATCCAACAGAGACCAGGAGTATAGTATTGCAGTATGATGACATCCTAAAAGAACTCCAAATTGTGTGAGCTGGAATTTGATAGCTGTTTTTCTATTTTTTAAAAAAGTGCAACTTATTTATTATCAATTACAAAAAATGTGTGTTTGGAGGTATTGTGATCAGCAGAAGTGATCTTTTCTGTGTTGCGGACCAGCATGAGAGACAAACATCAGTTCTATGTATCTTGCACAGATCCCATGGAAATAACTATATTCCCATTTGGAGGTTATGTTTTCAAAATTATTTGTCCCATACTTCATAAGTGACAATTTATGTCAGTGGCATGTTTGAGGTGCAGCTTTGCTACCCTCAAAGCCTGCCATAATCTGATTCAGTTTATGACCTATTTTTTGTTTTCATACCATTAACATGTTTTGTTCATTTGCAATTTACAGCGCAGAACTCTGCAAATGCAGGTTTTGCAAACTTTGATGCATTTGGACAGTCTAGTGGTTCGAGTAATTTTGGTGGTTTCCCCACAGCAAGTCAGTCTGCTTTTCAGCACCAAAATACAGGTAGAAATGCTCTAACATTGTTAGCTTTCTTAATGTAAACTAATCTGGACACAATTTAGAATATCTTAACTCTTTTCTTCATCTAGTTGTCTTAACACACACACTTTGAAGCTCTGGGGAAACCTGTAATGAATGCTGCCTTTTGTTTGGTGTGGATTGTGCTTTTTTCTCGCATGAAGTTTTTGCCCTGTAGCTTCTTAATTATCCCTACACATGAAATATTTGTGTCTTGTTTGTTGGCACTGTAGAATATTGGCTAAATTAAAAAATACTGCTTTCCATATTCCAAGTTGGTGATAAATACACTGCAACTAGAGAAGAAACTAATTTAATGTAGCACAAGTACATTATTCGATCACGCAAAAAAAATAAATCTCATGTGTAAGGGCTACTGCTTTGCTTTTTCTTTAATTTTGGTCATGTTGTATAATGTTTGCTTGTCTTGATCTATGGCTGACTTATTTCCTTTTTTCCTTTTCCTTTTTTAAGTGTGTTGTCTTAAGATTTTCTTTTAAAATTTTGTTTTTCCCTTTTGTTAACTTTAACCCCTCACACAATTTCTGGCTGTCCAGCGTTCAGAACGCTTTCATCTAGCTGCAGTTTTGGTGAATTTACTACTTCCGCTTTCCCTCTCCAGGCTGTGCGCAGTAAGTTCCACCAAGGTGGGAAACTCAGCTCACTTCATTTACAATTCCTTTCTTTCTTCTTTTCATTTTCATGTCAAGCTTTTCTTATTAGCCATTGAATTAAAAGATGTTAGCTTGTAGTTTACTAGAGCAGCACTTGATTGAGACCTCCTAATATAAACAGTTGGAGTCAAAGTTAAAATGGTTTTCTTTTTCCTGCAAATTGAAAATGTCACTGAACTATCAGCATTTATGAGAATCTACTAACTTAAGGATAGCTATATGAAACCTGGTCAGTATCTCATAATTGGAGTTTTGAGGTATTAAGGATGGAAATTTTAATGACAAATTTTGTAGAACCCACACAAACTGATCTCTCAAATGTTGTCATGAGTCAGGTCACCCAGTGGCAGTCTTTTGTGAGGAAAGAGGCTGTATATGCTGTTACCTTCAACAGTGGAATCAGATATTCGTCAGTAGTTAAGGACCACTTGGTGGCAGCCTTTGAGTGGAATCTCTTTCAGTTTAAATTTGTAAACATTAAATGCATGGTTGTCACAGGTACTGATGTGGATTTTATTTTATTTTTAAAATGTGGTGCTCACTCCTTCTACGCCTTTCAGCTATCTTTGTTCATCAAAGATAGCAATAGGATGTGGGGTGCCCACAACAGTAGTCCCTGGGAAGAAAGAAATTAAGGTCACAATAAAGCCTCAGGATCCTTTGTGTTTACTTCTTAACTTGATATTTCTGCTTCCCTGTCAGAAATAATCAAAGTATGATTAGTCAAAGGAATTCTTATTTAACTAAATTTGCAGCAGGAGAGACAATATTAAAATACTTGCTGCTTATGTGAATCGTTGAGGTTAGCCTTGTTGCGACACCTACTCTTGCAGCACTCTGCTATAGCACTGGTAAGCTAGGGCTTTTAGATTTTGGAAATAAAAACCGGCTATTTTAACCAAGTGAAAACCTGGCCATAGGAGAAGCTTCTTGAAATTTGTGACCCTTTAAACATGTCCGCACATGGCCACCAATAGTATTTGAAGAGACATTCATTGAGCTTGAAAGTATCCATCATGTTTAACTTATTTTGTTACAGGTGGGAGCGCTGGATCAGTGAATGCTAACTTTGCACACTTTGATAACTTCCCCAAATCCTCCAGTGCTGATTTTGGAGCCTTCAGTGCTTCTCAGAGCAACACAACTGCAGCCAGTAAAGCTGCAGTGAATAAACCGAACCTCCAGTCAGCAGATAAATATGCAGCTCTTGCTAATTTAGATAATATCTTCAGCACAGGGCAAGGTACTAATTCTTATTCTTTGACCTGTTCTCTTACACTATTTATCTTGGCAGTAGTGGTGTTCTGTTATGTTCTAGTAGGCATTTATTTATGAAACGTTTATAGACTTCCTTTTGGCCCTCTTAAGGGCTCCCAAGGCAGTTTGCATAAAAAAAAACCCTAACCCCCCTAAAATCTTGATACAATAAAAATATGAGAACAGTAAAACCACTATTAAAACAAATGAAAAAACAATAGACAGCAAAATAAAAACTAAAAATAAATAAAGTCTGATGAAATTAAAATGTTTTGATTGTTTACCTAAAATGTTTCTGATTGCTATACACCATATAAACTGATAGCCTATTGCTTGAAAATGTGATACACTGGCAGTCGTGCAAGCATTGTAGATCTGGAAAAGGAAAATTAGTGCAGTAATAGTGGTCCCTACTCTATTCAGTTGTTTCCTCCATCCACACCAGGATCCAGAGCACCATTTATATTCTGTCAGTTATCTGGTGGTGTTATGTCACTGTGTATATAGGTGATGACGCATTTGATTTGACTGAGGACAAAGCTTCCAAGGAAATACATCTCTTTCAGTGTAGTTAATACCATCAGAGAACTCAAAATGTGGTCAAGTTGGTGATGCTAGAAATAGAGATCTTAGAACCTGAATATTTTTTCAACTTTTCTTCTACTTTCCCTGCTTATTTTTGTATCAATGTCACAATGTATTTTTGATCCACAATGCATAAAAAACCCTCTGATGCAGTTATAAAAATGAACTTGTGGAGATTTATGAGTTGCAGTTATTATATCTCATATTTTCGAAAGGCAAAGTAGCCTTAAAGTTCACAAGGGACCATCCAGCCAGGTTCCCTTCAAGCTTAAAAAACCAGAGTAGAAATGTCCACTCACAACAGCTGCTGAATGGTCACCCATCATTCGGAAATTTGTGCACCAAAACTGCAATTTCCAGAAATAGATGACTAGCTGACTTCATGTGGTACAATGTTCCAGAGTTTCTGTCCATCTTTTCTTCCAAGCAGGTCAGGGTAGCATAGATGGATCTCTTGCTCCTGCTCCCTTGCCTCTCATTGCAACCTTGTGAGCTGGGTTGTTTAAATTGTTTTATTGTAATTTTAACTTTGTAAGACACCCAGGTATCAATCAATCAATCAATCAATCAATCAAAGAAAGAGGGTTGTGAAATCAGATAGAGAACTTGATGGCTGAATGGGGATATGGCAGAATAGGTCTTCCTGGTTCTAATCTGACACTACAACTACTGCACCACACTGGCTCTTGGGTCTCTCATACCCTTATAAATTCTATCGAGTTTCAAATAAAGTAGAAATATGCCTAAAGCTGAACATCTATAATAAAGGAGGTGTTTGGAATGCAGTACAGTATTTCAAAATAAGTTCAAAGTCCTCTGTGGGATACATTTCTCATTAACCTAGAGCTATGGGTCCACTAAGAATCAGAAATACTCTATTAGCCCAATATGATATATAAGCAAAAAAAAAAAAAGGCTTAGGGTTATAAATATATCTTAAAAATATAAAATTGCTGTATTCCTTTTATTATGCCTTCTGTTTTTTGTGTTGGTGGACCTTGTTGTACACTGCCCTGATATTTTGTATGAGGGGTGTGGTGTATAAATAAATAAATAAATAAATAAAGGATAATAGTACAAGTTAACTGTTAGTATTTAATATCAGCTTTTCCCTGGCCAGCTCTGCAACCATTTGGTTTCTTTATTTCCTGCAGCTAAGCTAGGAAAAAGCCTCTTAACAATGAGGAAACTAGCCGAAGCCTCATCCTGATCTCATTGGGCTCTCAAACAGTGGATTGTGTCCAACTAAGTTTTTCCTCAGAGTAGACCTATGGAAATCAATGGACCCATGTTGGGCATATTAATTTCGACAGGTCTACTTTGAGTAGGACCAACATTGGATACACTTGCCCTGGGGTCCTTTGAAGGAATGTGCAGGATATAATCTTATAAAATAAAGTTCAGTAATTTGAGGAATGTACCCTCCAATTGAGGTTAAGGACTCAAAGGCTTGTGAATGTGCGTATCCTAAGCAAAAAATTACAGCCTTTAACTGTACTCTAATTTTTAAGATTTTCATGATGTTAGAAGTTTAACACTACAGAGAATAACTTGTGTTGAACTGTTTGGGATGGAAGCTATGTAATTGATTATTGGGTATGTAGGTTTCATTTTCTTTGTTCAGTATCATATTAAAGTTGCAATATGCTAGACACAGATACAAAAAATGATGCACATTTATTAGGGCAAAATCCAGTGGTGTTTGTGTGTCAGCAGAAGAAACACCACTATGCAATGAGATTTCTAATGCCTCCCTGCGAGCCTCCCAAATTTTCTCTGGAGGGTTCAAGGATGCTCTGGAGCAGACGAAGGGAGCAGGGCGGAAAGAAAGGAAGGCCTGTTACATAATCAGAAACCTGCTTGTGTAATGCTGGAGTTTGCCACAATTTCTTTTCATATCTTTAGTCAATCATCTTTTTGTTTTCTAGATATTAAATATAAAAGGGTTCACTTTGAATGGCTGTTACCATGTGAAAAGCCATTCACATGCAGTGACTCTTCACTTGTCTCACACTACCACAGCGATTTTGGAGGTAGTGTTTGATCTGCTTACTTAGGTTCTACATATGAATAGCAGTTAAAGCAAGCATCCACATGGCATTCCTAACATGTATGCTGGTCTTGCATGAGCTGATTGTATTACATTGAACAGGTCAGCCTATGTCCATGTGTGACTTTCAGAAAGTGCTCCTGACTTGGGACTCTCTTTTAATGTTCATATTTCTGAAAATGAGGTGAATACAAGGTTTGGTTTGATACAATATGTTGAATAAAGTTTAATGCTGCCATGGAGAAGGTTTGCATTTGCTGGGAGCATGACTTTCTCTAATTTTAAAGAAAATGGAAAAGCATGGTTGCAACTCTCTAATAGTAGGTTGCTCAACAAAAAAATGTCATCTCAGTTATTGCTAACTTAAGCTCTAAAGAAATCTACTCTGTGCATTTTTAATCTGGTCTCTTTCTTCCTAGGTGGTAGTGAGCCAGGAAGTGGCTTTGGTGCTGCCCATACAGTACCAGCAGGTCCCACTGTGTCAGCCCCAAGCCAGCCAAGTGCATCTTCAGACAAGTATGCAGCTCTAGCAGAATTAGACAGTGTGTTCAGCTCCACAGCAACCTCTAGTAATGCATATACTTCCACCAGTAATGTTAGCAGGTACTCTTTCTTGATAGAAGTTGTTGTAAACCAGTCATGTTTACAAATGGCAAAAAAAATGAAATGGTAAAATTTTGAAGTGCAGACATTTTGTGAAAACCCATAGTTTAAAAATTGCAGTTGCATTGGGAGTTTCGGCTTCAGTGGGAGGTTGAAGAGGTTGATTGGCTTACTCAGATGAAAGGTTTTAAACAAGCTATAAGTATCGCCAACTCAAAGTAGGAAGAATAAAAATGTAACAAATATTCTGGCAAAAGGGGAAAACGCTTTCAGTATTCTCAGTGCTTTAGGGCTGCATTCCTATAGACACTTACTTGGAATTAAGTCTTGTTGAGTTCAGTGAGGCTTACTTCCAAGATAAAATTAGGATTGCTTTAAATTGTTTTCAGGGATAAGCCATTTGTATGAATATTTTTATTGGTTATAATGGCATAATTGGTTCAAATCTTTTCATAGAGAGAGGTTTGCAATGTCAAAAGAAATTAAATATATTATTATTGTAACTGTCTAGAAGTGCAAGTTTCTGCTTGAACCGTAATTAAGTTTATTTTGTTATACAGCTGTGACTACTTTTGGCTACTGGGGAAAACAAATTCTGATCTAGCACCAGTTAGCTTTTGACTTGTGGTTTAAGTTGAACGAAATGGAACCAACCCCCCCGCAAAATGTGATTTAACAGCCTCCTATGTTTTCACATGCAGTAATTAGCTGTAGGTGTCTTAATTGTTAAGTAACTGACTCTGATCTTGATGAATGTGAATTATTTCCAGTAATGCTTTTGGAACAGTACCAGTGGGTGCTAATACACAGACACAGCCTGCGTCATCAAGCGTTCCTGCTCAGTTTGGAGGTATTGTAAAACATTACTAAGCCATATTGCTAACCTGTGTTTGAGAGATTCAGCTGCACGACCCCATTTTTCCTGTTCCAGTAGCTATGCTCTACATCTTGAAGGCAAATGTGCCTAGCCGTGCCAGGCTCCTCTTTAACCAGGAAATGATAAAAATATGTCTTAAACATAAGAGTTATCATGCTGTTTTCTTTTGATAGGCAATTTGAGGGATGTATAGTGTGTTAAAAATGTCCATTCTTAATTTTTCAGCAACACCATCCACAAATCCATTTGTGGCTGCCCCTGTAGCCGCAGTAGCACCTTCAACGAACCCATTCCAAACCAATAGCAGAGCAGCAACAGGTTAGAAAAAGAAAACATGCTATGCATTTGTTTGATAGCAATTAATGTTTACCTTCTGGTACTATAGAATTTTAACTTTGAGGCAGACTAACATGCTAAATATAGTTAAGCTCTTATGAAATCAAATGCAGGCGTCTCCCCACTTATGCGGGGGTTATGTTCCCGGGGACCACACATATACGTGAAATTGCATAGAGTGGGGAGCAGCATCTAAGAAGCCTGTAAACACTGTCTAAACCACTGGAAACCCTTGAAAAACCTCCCTACAAACCTCCTTTCTCAAACTCAACTTTCCACAGGCCTCATAGGTTGGTGCAAAGGCTCATGGGATTGCTAGCCATTTTCCTGATCTTTTTGCACCATTTTTGTAGTTTTCCTGCTCTTTTTCAGGATGTTTTTGCTCTTTTTACACCTTTTGTGGTTGAAATCAATTTATTTAATTATTTCCCAGTGTCATGCACATACACAGTCGCATGTAAGTCAAATTTGTGTAAGTGGGGAGACGTCTGTGCTTTTGTTGTAGCTTTATCAATCTGGGACAGACAATTAGGAGCAGGGAACATAGATAAGTCCAGATAAAAATCTTCCACTTCCTGCTTTTTAAAGTATAAATTGAATTGTTTATATATTTGTGTTTCAGACATTTGCATTGTGTTGCTACTTTTAGAACACTTAATCTTTGTAGTTCATTTAACATATATAATGTATGCAATAAAATTTACACATTTATCCTTGCGGCTTTTGGGCCCTTGTGCACATTAAAACTTGTATAGTTTCTTTATTAGAGGAATGAATTTGACAAGTGACTTGCACATAGTCTATGAAGTATTCTGAATTTTTAAACGGTGTTTAAATACTGGCTATTTTATCATGCAAAAATATTTCTGCGAGAAGTTGTTTATAAATCATTTGACACTGTCTGGTCTCTTTGTGACTTCCCATAAGGCCTCTCAGGAGCAATGCACTCTCATATATTTCCTCAGGCTCACTTTGGTAGGTGGCCACATTTTATATGAGCTTCATGTGGCTAACTGTCCATTTGCTTGTGATAGCTTATTGCCAGTTACTGGTTTCTCTGCATGTACGACTTTTTCAACCCTCCTTCCATATTCTGAAATGGAGTGGGCATGGATGGTGATGCACCTGAAATACATGATGACGTTACTCGGTGTAAATGTTAATACATTTTACACCTCGCTCCTAAACACACATACTCAAAAGTACATGCCATTTATTTCGTTGGGACTTGCTGTCAAGTAAGTGCGTTTAGGATTGTAAGCGGAAATTGTTATCTTACGTCCATGGTCACGTTAGTAGGTGCTTAAAATGAGTGGAGTTTTGAAGCTTGTGTTCATAGTAGCTCAAGTGAAATGAGTCATAGCGCCAAACCATTTTGCCACAATGTGTTTGGCTTTGCTGTTTTAGCAAGCTTCACTATTAAGTATCCTCTCTGCTAATAGTAGCTTGTGTAAGTTCTGTCAGTGCACTATTTGTATCTTGTCTATTTTTCTAGTCATGTGTGGCCTCCTTATTTCACAATTCCCTTCCGTTAACTCTTATGCCATGTATTTCCTGGCTAGCCATAACTATTGATGGATGTGATGACATAAATCTGTGCCAGATCTCAACAACAAATTCCTTGGAAGCGTCATTCTAAATCTGTAAATAAAGCAAAAATAGTTCCTGGTTCAGTAAAATAATGTTCTAGAAATTCTTGTGAGACTTTTATATGTCTAGTAATATTAGGTATAAATTAATTACTAGACTGTTTCACATGCAGTGCTGCCACTGAAAAATATTTTTCTTTACTGTGACCCGAGTTAAGAGTTTTCTTGAGTAGCACCTCCTCAAAAATCAGCTTGAAAGGGCAGATAGATCAGTTGTCAAAGTAAAAATTTCACTGAGGTAGCCAATGAAGCTGCTCTTGAATCTTGACAACTGCTGTGTATTGAACAGAATGTAATAGTGGTTTGCACCTCAGTGAACAGCAGCAGTGTTCTAATGCTTTCTGCTCATTCTTTCCTTGTTAAATTATTTCTGAAAGTGCTCTTGAATTACTGAGCTAAATGGCTCCATTGCACTTTTGAAATTAGGTGCTTTTTCCTGCCCTTTTATCTTGAAATTAGCTGCCTGCTTTGTATTTTTGTCCCCTCCAAATCCTTTCCATCTATCTTGTATTCACTGAAAATCACATCCTGATTGCCTGTTATATCTAGTTTCCATGTTCTGTTTTTTAAAAAAACATTTGGAAATATCTAGGCAGAGATACTGGCTAATGTTATGTTGTCAAAAGGAACAGGCCCAATGAATTTTTGGCCGTGTTCTTAGAAAATCCAGAAGCTTAATAGTTTTAAGGCTAGCCATGTGACTGGCTGCTTCATAAGGGATTCTGAGGATATGCGTGACTTCACAGAAAAATCATAGCTCAAAAATAATTGAATGCTTACATTTCCCTTACCAGCAGCAACATTTGGCACAGCATCCATGAGCATGCCTGCAGGATTTGGAACAACTGCCTCATACAGTCTTCCTACTAGCTTTAGTGGTAACTTCCAGCAGCCTGCATTCCCAGCCCAGGCAGCCTTTCCTCAGGCTGCTTTCACTCAGCAACCAAATGGTAAATGCTTGCATGTTACATTTTGTTTTAGCTGATGGGAGTATACAATAGTAGCTTAAGAATGTCTTGGAAGTTGAGACTGTTTATTTCAAGAGAATTTGCCTATACTGTGTAACATCAATTGAATGTTACATTGCTGCTTCAGAATATCACTGGTGGTATAACGTTGGTGCAGGGAGGAGGGTGGGGAGAGTCACCTGAGCAGCGTATTTTATATTCTCATGTTCTTTGTCCTTAGACACAGAAACAATTGTTGTGAAATTTATTCTACTAGCATGAGCTGTTTTTATTGTGCAAATAATTTCTGTCAGCCTTCCTTTTCTTTTATAAGGAAAAAAGTGTTATAATTTCTAAATAAGTTGTGTTTGGCCCTAGCAAAACCAGGTTACACCTAAGTTGCTACTTAACAAACACAGGGAATGTATTCAAGATGATACTCTGAATCTTTTCACTTAAAGAATCTGGCAACTATACTACTGCATGATTAAATAGAAACTTAGTTTCTGCATAATTTTATACTGTGAAGTTTGAATGTGCCTTTATGTCAGAAAAACATACATGTTTCATAGGCTTTGCTAGCTATCATTTTTATATTTCAGACACACCTAGGATCCCAGCCTTAAAGGACTGGGCACAAGAGAAACTAAGATGGTTGTAGTAAGCCAGGCTTCCTCAACCTCGGCCCTCCAGATGTTTTTGGTGTACAACTCCCATGATCCCTAGCTAGCAGGACCAGTGGTCAGGGGTGCTAGGAATTGTAGTCTCAAAACATATGGAGGGCCGAGGTTGAGGAAGCCTGTAGTAAACCCTTCTGAGTGCACAGAGAGCAGTTCAGGTTGTATTTTTAATTGACATGATTTTGTTGAAGAAACCTACAGTAGGGAAGCAAGTCAACTAAGTGATTAAGTCCCATTGTTTAGATTGGGATCAGATATTTTATTGAGTTTAATTGCTGAGAGCAGAGTATGTGCACAGTGTGATACTTGGTTACCAGTCTAAATTTAACTTCTGATATTTTATTACAAAGGAGCCGGCTTTGCTGCATTTGGACAGGCAAAACCAGTAGTAACCCCATTTGGGCAAGTTACAGCTGTTGGAGTATCTAGTAATCCTTTTATGGTAAGTGAGCTCTGGTGATATGGTAGTCTAGATCAGGGGGTAACTTTTTCTGTCATTATTGACTTGGATTCATGAGACAGTTCAGTTGGGATGGAGCAGGGGGCCATGCTCTTGATGCTTGTAATTTTATATATTTGGAGTCATAGCTGATTCCAAAGGGATACAAAAAAGTAAAACTTTCACCTCCCCATCCTGTTTCACACACTCATCTGTGTACATTTGCTCTATGCTGTTAGCTCTTTTCCTCTTGTGCCTTTGCTAAAAATGTATTATAGGCAGTTGGCCCATCTAGAGGAAATGGAAAAATTAAGTTTTGTCCAGATGGTATGCTTGGCATGTGGCTTTTTGTGTGAGACTTCTCTTTTGTTTTCTTTAGGCAGGTGGACCAGCAGGGCAATTTCCAACAGGAAGCTCATCAACCAATCCTTTCTTATAGCCTTATAGACACTTTACCTAAAAGAACTCTTATGTGATCACACAACATCTCTGCGCCTCTTGCACTGTTGTCTTGTTTCACTGATCTTAGCTTTAAACACAAGAGAACTCTTTAAAAAAAAATAAAAAAGCCTGCATTGTGTATTAAAACCAAGAAACACCAGGTAATGTGCAAAACAGGGGCCATGGAAACATCTTTTTATCTGTGCGTTGGCAGGAGAATGTTAATGGTATCATGTATTTTAAAATTGGCTAATAAGTTATTGCAGATACCACATTCATTATGCTGCAGTACTGTACATATTTTTTCCTTAGGAATTAGTTATTTGTGCATATCAGTATTTGTAACTTTTAACACATTGTTATGTGAAAAACGTTACTGGGGGAAATAGATCAGTCACTTTAAGGTGCTGTCGTATCTCTTGGAATGAATGGCCTACATCATTTTAACCACTGCTGTTTGGAGTTATGAGTTCAAAATTGAAGGTTTTATTCATTTCTTGGAGTGTTTTTCCTTTCCTAAAGAGCTCTTCTATTTATACATGCCTAAATTCTCTATAATGTAGAGGGATACCTGTCTGCATAATAAAGCTGATCATGTTTTGCTACAGTTTGCAGGTGGAAAAAAATAAATATTAGAAAAAAAGTGTTTGTCTTTGTCGGCATTTGCACTAACCAATTTTGTTAAATCTTTAGGAATCCTTCCAGGATGCGTTTCCACAGCTGCTTATGGTAATGTTGAAAAATCTCCTGGTGATCAGCCAATAAAGCCTGTGCACAACATTATATAGGTTTACAGATGTCACAAGACCAGTCAGCCGCACGTGTCACTTACTCTTTGATAGTTTGTGTGAAAGAGGGGGAAGAGAAGGTGACACAGTGAGCCCTGAGAGGAAAACAGATGGGGGGGGGGAGCCGCGGGAATCCAAAAGGTGTGTGCGTATAAAGAGACTGCCACCTTTCAGTGAGCAGTAGAGTGGAGAAGCCATCTACAAATCAGGTTGCATGAGGGGAAAACTGTGAGTCCCACTTCATTGCAATGAGCTGCAGGAGTAGGCTGGAGTGAGGAAGGAAAGCTCTGTAATAATTACATATGTCAAGGAATGGGGAAGGGATTAGCAAGGAAAGGAATGAGCCCTGTTATCTTGAAGTATCTCACTTAAGATACTCACTGCCTTCAGTGAGCTGCCCACTTCTTTACTCTGGAGCTCATGAGACATTTTTTGTGGCTCATGGAAAATATCAAATAAAATATCAAACTGTCATTATTTTGAACACTATAGCTAATCTGATTTTAGATGGGCAGTACAGAACCTACTTAACTTCTTGCTCAGTTCTATTCATGAAGAATCCCACTCTGGTGGGGACACACATTGTTTGATTTATTGATCTAGGCTTGTATCCCATGCACTGCAAGCAAAACTCTGCTTGTGCAATAGGCCTTCCCTTCCCTTTCCTCCATGCCTCCCAAATCTACTCTGGAGAGTCCTCCAACCCAGAGCTGATTTTGAGGGCATGCAGAAAACTGCAGGGAAGAGGAAGGAAAAGTTCTATTCTGGAAGTGGACAACTCTGCATTAACAGAACCAGAGTGTTGGATGTCGCCCGAGGTTTCTGTTAAACTTATTTTGAGATCTCCATGACAGGATGCAAGAACTTAATAGGCCTTATTAGAGGCTAGATACCTGTTGCGATAGTTTGTGACTACTTGAATCATAGCAGCAGTTTGCTCAACATATCCTGTGTATTTTGTACAATACTCATTGAAGGTTAGAGGGTTTTACTTTAATATGTTGACTCTAAGCTTCTGTAATGGTAATAAACAAAAGTTCTGTATTTTACTACAGTTGGCATACAGTTGTTTCTCTTTCGTTTAGTTTAACGGTGTGAGGTGGTAAATGCTGCTTTCTACATAGGATCAAAAAGCAGTATGAACATGAATTTTGGAGAAAGCTATTCAATATGGAGACTTTCCAAGGGAGTTGACTTATAAAGCAGACAGAATATTTTGTTCAAGAATCAGCTAAACTATGGTAATGCAGTTTTTTGCTTGCCAAAAAAAACCAAGGCAGTGAAATGTACCCCACCCGGTACGGCTTTTGCTGCATCTTATTTGAAATCTTTTTAATGAGGGTAAAAAGAGGGTAAAATAAAGGAATTAAACTGGCCAGAAAATATCAGTTTATGTACAGTTGGACCAAGCTCCCATTATATTGTTCACAATAAACTTCTGGGGAGCTCTAAAAAAATATCTACCTTGTATGATTGTCACCCTCACATACCTATTTTCAAATCAGGAAATGGAAAGCAGAAATTAGTACCTAAATGCAGACTTCACACATTTGACCACAGAGCTCAAAACGAATATCATATGAGAGTGCTGTGATGGGGGATGTGGTCTCCCAACTCGCTTAGCTGTAAAGCAGCTGAGGGCTGCAATTTCCATTGAAGTAATAGCTGAGGACGAGAGATTTGTAATTTCTTCCTCATGCAGATTGAACCCTTCTATCCACCAGTCACTAACCGTTGGCACTGCCTAGGGGAAATAACAGGTAATAGTCATGCCTTCATGGCATGACTACAGAATGTAATGAGCAGCACTCTTGCTTTTCTGCCTCATTTTCCCTTCAAAATAGAGCAAGTGTACTTTTTCTAGAATTTTACAATTTTTCTAGAATTTTACAAATAATTTGTATGCCATGTACTTACGGATTGGGCATTATCACACTTGAACTTGCTTAATATAATATAAACATCTTTAGAATTATTGATTTAAAGTTAATGTTAATGCTCTTATGTCATACTAACCTGACTCTGTTTTCTATGCTTCCTTCATGCATTATTTTGAATTTCTGATAAACAGTTACATGATTAGGCTTGGTCATTTGGTTTGGACGTGAAATGCAGTTTATATAGTGGGAATAGATACAGCATGTAACTGTAACATTATTTCTTGTGTTGGGGTGGCAATCCTAGAATGCATTGAGTAGCAGATTAACAAATCTCAGGTTACCTGAATATTAATTATGGATGAAGGACTGGGTTAATGAGTGTTTCAGCAATACTTAACATAGTTTGCCACTGTGGATTGGCACAGTTGCAGTGATGATATTTGTGAAATGTTTGCACCAGGGTATTTGGTCTGAAATCTCAATTAGCACTTTAAAATATTGTCTTTATAAAAAAGAAAAAAGGATACTGGCCTTAATCTAGCTGTTGTCATACATAAATAGAGGATAGGTCCATCAGTTTTCAGCCTACTATTTCCACACTCGCCTGCTGTATTAAGGCCACTCCAGGATTGGATGCAAGTTTGACTCAGCTATAAAAAAACATGATAGGCACAGATAATTTACAATAGATAATTTAAACAATGAAAGGGTATGTTCTCGCAAATACTTAATATTCACACTATTTATTTACTCCATTCCTTTCCTGCTTTTTCAGCTAATGAGTCTGCAAGATGACTAATATCCATACAAATTTTATACAAATCACAATAAAACTATGGAAAATAACATTGAAATATATGCTGCTTAACAAAGCAGTTCCAGCAAGTACACAAAACAGCAGAAAATCAGAGAGGGCCCACGAGTCTTTTAAAACAATGTTTTCACCTGATTTCAAAAGGCTGCAAGTTTCAAGAGGGAGGCAGAGCTACAAATGTGTAGCACCAAAGGGCCCTGATTATAGTCCAGAAACCTTGCCCACTTGTGCAGTATGTTCAGTGCCAGTCCAATGTTTACCATGTGACTTACCTCATGCAACAAGTGACTTACAAGCCATAATTTACCTTTCGTTTGGTGAATGTGAACTTATCATACTAAGGAATGCTAAACAAGGATCAAAACTGGAAATTTTAGTCCGATAAGTTGTGTAAACATGATAAACCTAACTTCTGAAGATTCAGACCAACAAAATTCAAAATTCTATTTTTGTTTTTGAAATTGAAAAATGCAATTGATAAAAAAATAAACAGCCATGACCTGGCAAAATGATTTGGAATTGAAAGATGCTCCAGGCAGTTGCTCTCTGGCTCACAAATGACTAGGAATGCAATGGTGCACCAAACATGTTTGCTTCCATTTCTTCCTCCTCCTTGATTAACATTGTGTGGATGAACAAACCCAAAAATGAGCTTTATTCTCAGGTAGTTTTTTGCTGAAGGTGCTAAAGTCACAGTCTTGTGTCATTCTGCTCTTCTGCCTCAGTCTTCTGAAGATTTTCAACCAGGTTCTTTGACTCCTTTTGGCATTTGAGTGATGTTATTGTAAAAATACTCCTGATTAGGAAAATCACAGCTATCACTGCAAAGTAACTGCCATATATTAGGAACTGCAAGAAAGCAGAGTGAAAAAATACATCTGTCAAACAGCTTTTTGAAAAAACTTAGCTTCAATCGTAGAGCTTTTGCAACCATTTTTAAAATACCTACTGTTTACTAAGCACTGCTATGTTCCTAAGTTCCTTGGCTCCAGCACAGCTTTAGCCTTGGGTCGCTGTCCTATGCATACTTACCTGGAAATAAGGCCCAATCCACTTGGTAGGACTTAATTTTGATGCATAAGATCACACAGTCTCCTATATATCTTCTCTTACTCCCATCACAAGAAACTTAAATACCATAATATAAAGTCTATAGTCAAAAAAATGACTTGCAATTATATGAAAGCCAAAGCACTGAAATCTATATTTTGAAGACTGAAACTTAAAATCCACTGATACAGTATGAAAAGAGTGTAATGCATTTTTAAAAAGTATTATATTTTGCTGAAGTAGGCAAATAAGCATGTCGTGTCCTCAACTTCACCCCAGTATTAGGGAAGTTGATTCCTCTCCATCCAGTTCTATCATGAATGTACTTCCTCAGAACTGGAAGATGACTAATGATCCATCTCTTTGTCGCTACACCATAATTGTGAAAATGCATATCAAGTGACCGTATGTTGCAACAGCAGATGCTTATGGGAAACACACAGGGACCTGAGCACAGTAGTATTGTCCCCTCCTGCAGTTTCCAGCAACTGGTATTCAGAGACATTCTGCTTCTGTCAGAGGAGGTAGGACATCCTCCACGAACCTATCTCTTATCTTTTTGAAAGCCATCCAAATGCTAAATACTGATGAACAAAATTCACCTCTGCTTTGCTGTCAGTTACTTCAAGGCAAATCCCACAATTTGTCAGAGTGATGCTAGTTTGAGGGCATTGGGGGAAATTAAAATGGTGACAAGATCCAGCCACCTGCCACTGTTTGGTGTGCTGGTCCAGAAAGAAAATTAAACAAGGCCTAGTGCAGACATTGGCAGCAAGTCCTGGCAGCTGCCCAAGGGTACCAGGTGCTGATGCCAACCCAGCCAGGGATACAGAATATCAAGTCACTGGGGAATTGGAGGACAGCCAGTATTGTGTGTATGCACACTGATGTGAAGGCAACACACTGGAATTGCTGTGTGCGGTGAGATAATGAACAAGAATATTTTTTTTAAATATGCTTTTGCCAGTTTAGACGGATTATTCCTTGGAGATCTGGGTGGTGGGGTGGTAGAATGTTAATCTAGGCCAGACATCAAGCATGCTCATTCCACCCTGAGTGTAAATTCTGGGCTGATCTGAACTTCATAACCTGCACAGTCAATTCTCGAAATTCATGGACCACAGAAAAAAGTGCTTGTTAGCAGTTACTTGTTTGGGTGGGGCACTTGTTTCAGTGAGTGGTTGAGCAACTTTGAATAAGACTAAAAAGTCAGTATTAACAAATGAGCCAAAGACTGCAAGCAAGGAGATGTGAAAATTTGGCAATTAATGTTAAAATTCTGGTGAATTGTGGAGAGTTACTCCTGGCTAACTTGTAAAATTCCCAAATATGTTTTGTATATTTCACTAATAGTGCAATCCTATGCATTATCAAGAAAGTTTTGCTGTATTTATTGGGGCTTACAGAGAAAAATGATTGTAACCTAACTATTAAAGTTTAGATGATTTATACTGTAAATCACTCTGTGATCTTCGGATGAAGAGTAGTATATTAATAATGATGATGATGCTAAGGAATCCAAACTAGAAATTGACACTCCTGTGGAATCCTATGGTATTCAAAGCACCAAATCACATCACATCATTTATTGAATTATACAGTTGATAGGTAGGCAACCCCGCCTACCTGTCAAATTTGGCTTACAAAGTAGATCTTGAAAAGGATCCAACCTGCGAAGACAAAAAGGTCCCATATACCTGTCCTAAAGGATGTGGTAGAAATACATTATATAAATAACATGTGCTTACATATCTATAAACAGACGTTTATAAACAAAACAAAAAGCCTCTTGATTTGAGTGCCGCCTCTTGCAAATATTACTGAATTAGCAATAGTGCCCACAATACAGCATTAACATTACAACTTACCTGAGTCCCAATATCCAGTCCCAGTCCTTTGGAATCCACCACTGTGACAGTCACAATAGTTTGAATTAGCAGTGCAACAAAGTTGTTGAATCCAAACATTAAGGCATAGCGTTCCATGCTGAGACTGATGGCAATCTGAAAACTAAAATTGAGCTTATTTTAGAATGTTGATATCACCATGATATCTAAGTGTAGATGACTTGTTTTTTCAGACCTGGCAAAATGTGCACACACTTGTGTGAAATGGATGCAGACAATCAGGATGAGGAAACCTCAGCCATGCACATAGCTTATTTCAGGGGGTTGGACTAGATGACCCTGTGGGTCCCTTCCAACTCTATGATTACCATAGGATTTCAGGAAATGTGGGAAGTACCAAAGGAGCAAGAAGAGGCCTGCAAAAGTTTAATTATTATGATAAGAGATCACATCCCATGTTTGCCTTAAACCTGTGCATAAGTACTAGTCTGAACACGAGCTCTGTTTATTTTATTCACAGCAGGTTTGAACTGTATCAACTACAGGCCTATGGTATGCGGGTGTATATTTGGCAACACTGATGTGTGGCTGGAATAGCAATTGTCAAACGGCTCTTACACTTACACTTAAACTGTTGCAGCAGAGAACTGGTCTTAGTCCTCTTCTATATGACAGCCATTCTGATATTTGAAGAGAGAGTTCTGCCCTTCCCTCTCAATAGTTTTTATGTCTCACAGGGTATGTTCCTGAACCTCTCCCCCCATTTTCCGTTTCCCCAATGTTTCTTACTTTCACTGACTTTAACCTTCCTGTAATAAAGGGCCCAAACAATAACAAATTGGCCTAATATACTATACCTATATATACTTACGTTGCTATGGTTATAAGGAGCATATAACATGCCTTGAAAACTAGATAGCTAGCATAGCAAACCCAGATGTTGCTGGTAAAATGCATCAGAAGCAGGGAACCTGCATCCAGGGCAGAGAAGATTCCCAGCGCCATCTCCCCTGTAAGGTCCCAGTTCATTTTCACATATCCCACAGCCAGTGATGTTACTGAACCTGGATAAAGAGATAAGTTTTAGACTACTATGCACTTGCAGCAAGGGTGGCTAACATTTGGCTTTCTAGATGGCCAATGATCAGGGATGGCTGGAACTGGCATCCATCAGCATTTCCAGAGTAACAGGTTAGCCACCCCTGTTCTGCAGGTTCTCAGGTCTTGCTAAAATGGTTTTAAAATAACCTATTTCCCTCAAAATGTAGATACAAAATAATACTGTAAGATGCCTAAAGCATTTCTCTTAAAGGGGAACGAAAATACTTCAACTGAATAAGATTTAATAAACAATTACAGAAGAGTAGCTTACATTGTTCTGCAACAAGTCCTAAAGATTATGGGACAAACTAGAGCAGGAAAAACGTTGGAAGTGGACGGAAGAGTGGGGGGAAAACATTGACAATTCCACCCCATTGCACTCATGCGGGACAGCGCTCAGGTGCAAGGAGAGTCTGTAGTGACCTTGGGAGAGTGCAGTAAGGTTATAGTTTACAAAGGGTTGTTTTGACTATACATAATTTTGGCCCGAAAATAAGTCGTACCTTTAAAATTTGGAGGCTTGGCAGCCGCGGACAAGATGGGCACCATTGCCCCACGCTCTCGGTTGGGGGGGGGGGGGCTGCACCGCTTTGCCGGCTGTATAAGGTCGTGAATATAAGCCGCACTTTAACTTTTCACAATCGGAATTGGGGGGGGGAGTGCGGCTTATTTTCAGGCCAATACGGTATTTCCAGAGCATAACCGCTGTATAAGCCGCAAGTCATCTATTTGCATATTTGTACAGGAAGCAAATACAATAGCAGTACCTAAATAAACAAATCTATGTGATCAGACACTTCATCACATTTCTAGATAGGCACAAGTTGTGAGCTGTGGACCAAACTCACTGCAGAAATAATTTGTTCCCTCCAATTTATCTATTTCTTATGACTATGGAATCTCTGATGTACACAAAGAGCTCCCCTCCCCAGATATCTGTTCATTTTCACTGCTGCATGTGAAAATTACCTCCACTGAAATAAATGGAGCCACTTGCGTGCCCCAAAACATTATGCATACCACACCTAGATGGCGTGTGGGATTCTGGAAAATGTTTTATGATTTCTCATACCTGGTTATCTTGTTCACCTTCCTATGCTGCGTGGGAATGGGGGAATTAAGTGCATTTACATTGTTGTTTGCATACAGGATATATTTTAAGAGGGATACTTACTCAGGAATGTTGCTATGGCTTCAACAGCTCCATTGTACACTTGAGAGCTATGGGAAGGTGCTTTAGCATCCCACAGTACTTGGACGTAATTCAAAACCTGGTTAAATCCTGCAGTGGCTAATGCCCACCATATTGACCAGTAAAGGAGTTTCTTTGTGGTATAGCATTCCTTCAAGTCTTTACAGAGCTGGAGAAGCACGGTCAGAAAGCGATTTTGGTCTTTTATTTTGGGCAGTTGATCTACTGGCACATTCTGGAAGTTGGCAGATGATGTTGTTGGAACACACGGATCCCATTGGTGGCTTGGCTGGCCTGAGACATTTGGTGGATCCTTATCTGTTGGTCCGATGGATGCTTCTGGGGAAGACGTTCTATGAAAGAACATACTTTTTTGAGGCATGGGTAGAAAAAATGAAGACATAAAGGCCACAGAGACAGAGGCCATGGTTATGGCATTGAGGTAAAAATAAGAGACATGGGCCAGAGAGACTAGAAGCTGGCCCAGCAAGGAACCTATGGTGGATGCCACGAGAGTGATGCTTCTGCAATATCCAGTGACTTTTTGGTAATGGTCAGGACTGACAACACTGTATATGTAGGCATAATAGGCAACCTCTGTGGCAGTCACCATGCCATAGAAAAATTCCACCAGCTGCATGGCAGGCACACCATATGCAAATAAAAGCAGCAGCCAGGTGATCAGGAAACTAACTCCCTGGAGAATAATGACAGGCTTATAGCGTACATAGTCTGTGATCAGGAATACTGGGATTAGTAGAGCCAAGTAGGAGTACGTCCAAACAGGGAAAACGTGCTGCGTCACCTGGAAGGGAAAAGGAAGAATTTTGTAACATTGAAAGGCTAACAAATATAAGGCATGAAAAATATAGAAGCAATTATTGAAACTACAATATAATTTTACGGTAGAGACCCTAGGCGAATTTTGGTAGCCAAGGCCTGTTTTCTCCTCTAACAGCTCCTCTGTCTCTTCAGTCCCCTATTCTCTCCCATTCAAGTTTTGCTAGCAGTTAGTGGCTAGCTCACCATCTCATTCACAGCCTGGCCTTTCTTTAGGCACAACACATGGGCAGAAACTTGCTTTGCTTAATTCCAAACTGGCATTCCAGAGCTAGATTGATAGCTGATCTTTTCACACATGATGCCTGATGCTTCATTGCTGTCATTTCTTTTTTCCACACAGGGCATTTTCAGTCATTCTTTTACTTGCAAGGATAATACACCTTGCTCTCTTGGAGCTTTAATAATGCCAGCCACAGAAAGTAATGTCCTGGAAAGGAGTGGGACAAAACTTGCTTGCTGGGAGTTTACTGTGGGCCTGCGTGTGCGACCAGGTTGCTTTGTTACCAAAACAAAATAAAAATAAACAAAAATCAGGATGAAAGCCTTGAAATTATGTTCAGAAGTAAAAAAGAAATGTATTGTGGGAGGTAGTATGTCCATCAGGTTTCAGTCTCTTCAGGAGGTGTAAGAGATGGCAAACAGGGAGGAACTCTGAATTATTGTGGCAAGAAGTTCCACAGACCCTGAAATATAAAACTTAACGAAGTACACGTATCTAAACTTACATTTATAAAAAGTGGGATGAAGGTAACGGTTTCTCTGTAGAAAATTATAAGTTACCTTTTGTTTATAAGGTTAAACGAATTCCTTCCCCATTTGTAATTAACTCCCGACATATGACTGAATACCTTAGCGTGAATAAAATGTGCATCACTGTACCTCATCAATAGTCAGGTTTTTATCAGGCCCAGCAAGATAAGGAGTCAAGAAAGCCTCAGATGGTCTCATCAAGGAGAAGAAGCCATATATGCAAAGGATCAAGGTGGGGAAAATCCATTCACTGCTTTGCATTTTCCTCCAACAATCTGTCGTTTTCCCAGCTAAAATACAAGGAAGCATGAGATGGGAGAGACTCTTACTGAAAAATGCACAATGAGCCATTTTGCAGAAGGGCTGTTGCTTTCACTTGCAATACATTTGAGGGCAGCAGGCTTAGGGGCACATAGCTCTCTGCCCCCCAACACCTTGCGACAGCTTCCAGCATTTGCCACCTGAGGCATCTGCCTCATTTTGACTAATGGTATGGTTGCCCCTACAAGTTGGCATTTCATCAAGAAAATGGCACAGTGGAAACGGCTGGACACTCCCTGGTTTGATTTCGCAGTCAAATTATCAAGCCACCCACCCCATCCCAGGCAACGAAGCAGGTTACTCCCAAATACAAAGCAAGTCAATATTTATTTATTCAATTTATATCCCACTTTTTCCTCCAAAGAGCTCATAGCGGTGTTTCTCCCCACTCCATTTTATCCTCACAACAACCCTGTGAGGTGGATTAGGCTGAGAGACAGGGACCAGCCTAAGGCAACGCCAGTGAGCTTCATAACTGATTTCAACCTTGGTCCTTCAGGCCCCAGTCTGATGTTCTAACCATGTGTGGTGTTTTTTATTAAGTCTTCAAGTGCACAACAGCTATGCCAAGAATTAAGCCCTGGTCAAGTTCCTATTCATGGGCTTGTCAACACCCACAGCCACATTTTTATATTTTACGCAGGGCTTTTTTTCATCTGGAACTCACCAGAACTCAGTCCCAGCACCTCTCAGGTGGGCGCCATTGCCATTATAAGAGAACAAGGGAGGCGTTCATGGTGAGTTCCAGCACTTCTTCTAGAAAAATAGCACTGATTTTACATATACATGCCCTGGGCTGACTGTACCAGAAAGGCTCTTTGTAAGACTCCCGCAAAATGCAAGACAAACATTAAACACTGTATATACTGATAGAGTCAATTACTTATGTGCTGCCCTCATGCACAGTCTGAACTTCAGCCTTCCTCTCCCCTCTTAGGCTGGAAAACCTTCTATGCAACCCTTTCAGCAAAGCTGTTTATTTACTATTACTCAGATGGAGCCTGAATCAATGGTCAAGGTTGAAAAGACACAAAAAACACAGCCCTAAGGTAGTACAAATGATTCTGTCCTTCTGCATTTGTATTCAATACAATACCTTTCACAAGCTTGCAGCTGTTCTTTGAGATCCACAGGCACATCTGCTCAAAACCTTATGAGAATCCTGTGTTAAAATGCCTCTTACTTATTAACCAGCTTGACTTTCCTCTGAAATTGTCAAGGCTCTAGTGTAGTTTCTCCAGGTATTTATTATGGTGGCTTTAACTTGCTTGTCAGAAATAAATACATAACTATGTGGAAGTTCTTTACATCCTTAGCATAGGGAAATAAAGAAGAAAGCTCGCTCTTTTACTGCAAAACAAAGCACCACGCAGGATGCAAAATGATGTAGGGGGAGAAAACTCAGCCTGTGTCTATACAGAAGCAGGTGAATCCAGGTAGCATTTGGATAAGGTAAACTTTGTTTCGTGGCAAATATCAGTAAAGTGACTACATTGCCCCCTCCACCTTCAATGATCATGCAAGTTTAGAAAGTCATTAACAACAATAGCAATTCTAAGTAGATGCACACTTAATGAGGAACAAATGATTGGCATTTTTTTTACCAGCCCCAAAAATATTATCTTTATATTACTGCTTAGAACCCTCTAGTTTTTTAAAAAAATAGTGTATCATCATATGTAGAGAAATTCAGTTCTAATTTAATGGTGAACCTATTTAATTCACACTTTCCGAAACAATACGCAAACCAAACACAGCCATCCTTAAAAATTCACTTTTGTGAAATTTGCAATGCAGTTCTCCAGCCAAGTAATGTCTACAGAAATGCATATACAGTACTGAAGCAAAGTGTGCATAAAATGCTTATATTAATGAAAATAGCATGCAAAAATGATTTCTATTAGGGGAAAGTGCTTTTCAAAGTGTGTATATTAGGCATAATAATACATGTATATTAGTAGAATTAACACGAAAATGTTGGTGAAATTTCACAAGGTCCTTCAAATTACATATGCACAAACTGGAAATGTAGATATGTGTATAACTAAATTTAAGAAAGGAAAAATTAGAAACAGAGAAACTGAAATTGACAGATTTGCTCATGAATAGCAGAAGGAAGAATTGCAAGAGGTTCTGGCCGATGGCTTGTTCTGTGAATTACTGTCAGCTTAAAGCTATGCATTAAAACCATTCAAATAGCGAGAACCCAACAGCAAAAGCAAGGTTGATCAGAGTGTTTACACCTGCCCCCAAAATAAGAACAAGGGACTGTGGACCAGGGCTGGCCCAAGACATTTTGGCATTTGAGGTGAACGACAAAATGTTCTGCCTGCCAGGGAAAAAGGGGTGAGTGAAAGGGGTGAGTGAAGATCTACACCAGGAACAAAGGGGAAGAGAATCAAATCAACCTTACCCTATGGTTGAAATGGAAGTCAAAGTCTGCCATGGCAGGTTTTGTGGGGAGAATGGGGCTGCTCTGAATCATGCCAGGTTGATGCAGAGCCCAGGAAACCCCAGAGGGCAGACCCACTAGTCCTTCCCTGGGGCTGGGAGACCACCAGTGGCACCTATTTGCCAAGAGGTCGCTGTAGCAGTGGCATGGGTGGTGGTGCCTGCTGAGACGGCAACAGATCTGGCCGCCAAGGAGCATGTCGCATCCATCCCTGCCACTGCGGCACCTGATGGTGATCTGCTGCCCCAGTGTATCCTGCCACCAGAGGCAGTTGTCTCATCTTACCTCATGGGTGGACCGGTTCTGCTGTAGGCATTTTTGGCTTTAGTATGACTTGGCCCTGACTTGTTTGCTCTTACTACATGCCTCTCTTTCATTTGGATGAGGTTTCCGACCTGCTTTGCAAGATAGCTTATTCTTCTCTTGTAAACACAGCTGGAATCCCAGCAAATCTTAATCAAAATTACTTCATCTGCAATTCCCATAGAGACTAGGAGTGGTCAGGTGAAAAAGAGGAGCTTAGAGTAGCTACCGGTATATCAATGAGGGATTTTCAGGAGGTGTGACTTGTCATGCAAAGCCACACCTGCTGGAATCACCCCTTCTAAAGTTAGTAGTACACAACCACTAAGGTGGATCCAAATTACCTGGCACTGAACATTCATTCCAAATTGTTTACAGGGAGGTTATACAACTGCCAAGCAGTCATTATACCAAACTTTCCAGTTAATTTCCCCACCCCCTTCCTTTCAACATTTATTTATCTCCTGGAAGTGGGTTTGTTGCACTTGAGCACCAAGGTTACTTTAACTGCACAACCTTGAATTTGCTAGCCTGCTTTTTCACCCGATCACCCTAAGATAGACTTCAGACAAAGAGGGGTTTTTATGGATGGAAAGAAACTCTACCCACAGGTCTAACACTCCATTAGTACCATGAGTTTTTGTTTTCTCTTAACATAAGAATAGTCAATGTGGTACTCTCCAGATACTGCTAGACTCCAAATCCTGATGGTAGTCTTTAGACAATGTCTAAAGTTCACCATATTAGCTATGACTATCTTAGCACATCTCTTCTAAAGTTTCTAGAGATAACTTTGCTTTATCATATAGTTACCCATGCTGTCTTCTCAAGTCCTTTGGCTGGTCACAGAACTACAGACTTCTCTGCTTTCTTCAGATGATTGAGTTAACTTTTCTCCTTTTGCCTTCCTTTTATTTCTTGTCAGTGCATGTCCTGGATTTCAGATGTTTTAAAATCCAGACAAAGTCAAACCTTTTCAAATATAGCGAATTCCTGATCCTGTTTCCACCTTTGCTGTAGGTTAACTCTTGGCACTTCTTATTCCACTGGCTGTGCTTGTAGTTTAAATCTTGTGGATTGTTTTATTCTAATATACTTTGGTGCAGTCTCTTTCGTGCCTTGTTCTTGTTACTCCAGTCTTTCAACTTTGAAAGCTACCACCGCCTTGAAAAACTGGCTCCATTTCAACATCCTCCTCTCAAAGGAAATGAAAAACATATTACAAGGATCTTTTAATTCTGAGTCTGTTTACAAAGTGGCTCCTGCTTTTTGTTAATCAGGGGGAGAGGGTGCAAGCAAGCTGAGATACAAAATGGAGTTCTGATGAGGTAATATATAGAAACAAAAGGGACCTTTGGCCTGTTTTAAAGCCCAGGCTAGGCATGCTGTATGATAGTTTTACATTAAACTAGGACTGTGACCTGGGTAGAATCTACACTTATCTACCGTGAGATTGCTTTCGGCATGGATTCTCGTGGAGTAGAGTATGTGGGAAGGGCTATGGCAAACTGAAATAGCCATGTAAAATTTGCAAGAAAGATCTGAGATCTGCTGTGTGAGCCCCCCCCCCATTAATAGAGACCATGCCCAGGATAATTTCATTTTGCTGCTTGAAAAAGCAAAATGGACAATGTTAATGTGATTACCTTTACAGTATGTTTTATTTAATTTTACCACAAAACTTTGTTGATTTATAAAAGTATTTATATTCCACCTTCCTGAAAAGAAAATCTGGAAAGCGATGTTGTCCATTTCAGTTATATTTCACAGTGCTGTAAGAGGGAAGATTAAGAGGGGAAATGAAAGAGGCATTATCAGATTTTAGCCACTGAGAAGTCTTCTCACCCTTTGCGTTGATTGGAGCCAATTAGAGTTAAAGGAGGTGAGTGAGCCACTGGAAATTGGCCCCTAGAGTCACTCTGGAGGTGTGTAGGGAAAAACACTGAGGAAGAGTTCTATATACAGCACTCCATCTAGAAACACCGAGAACACAAGGTAGTCAGTTTCAAGAGAATGGTGTGCAAGTTCTGTTATGTACTTCAAGGAAAACACAACTTAGTTAAAGGTAAAGGGACCCCTGACCATTAGGTCTAGTTGTGGCCGACTCTGGGGTTGTGGCACTCACCTCGCTTTATTGGCCGAGGAAGCCAGTGTACAGCTTCCGGGTCATGTGGCCAACATGACTAAGCCGCTTCTGGCGAACCAGAGCAACGCACGGAAATGCCGTTTACCTTCCCGCCGGAGCGGTACCTACTTGCACTTTGACGTGCTTTCGAGCTGCTAGGTTGGCAGGAGCAAGGACCGAGCAACAGGAGCTCACCCCATCGCGGGGATTCGAACCGCCGACCTTCTGATCGGCAAGCCCTAGGCTCTGTGGTTTAACCCACAGCGCTACCCGCATCCCTCCCAAAACACAACTTACTTACATCATTCCAAAAGGAGACATTGGAGCATTCCTAATCACTTGCCTATGAATGTGCACAGAAAATAGTAGATCTAGCTGAAAGGCAAAACATGGAGATTTTCACTGATCATTGCAATGCATCCTAGTTATTATCATTGTGAATCTATATGATTATTGTACAGTCTTAGATTGCTGTATAATCTTTGAATGCTGCGAGAGGGCAGAGCTGTAACTATCAAGAAGGGACCCCACATATCTGAATTTGCCATGACACTTCTGTCAGTAGAACTTCCATGTTTCCAGCAGAGGCGTCTTTCCTATCACTTGCTACCTGACCATTCAACTGGAGATGTCCAGTGACTGAACCAGAGGACTTCTGCATACAAAGCAACTGATTGAACACTGAACTATGTCCCTTCCCCAACCAGGATCTGTGCTACACAATAGGACCCCATGTTGCTACTTCCCTGAATACAACCAGATAAATGGTGTTAGCATACTTCAAGAGGGGGGGCAGGGTGTGTGTGTTTTGCCTTTTTCTCTGATCAAACATAAGCTATGGCGGGGGGCAAGGAAGTCCCACAGCAGCCAGAAAGTGTATAATTACTCATTGTGATTCCCAACTTGGTTTGAACTTTGGTTTCAAAGTTAAAGCAGCAAAGGACTTGAGATGTTAGAAAACTGGATACAGGAACAGGTAAATAGTTACTTTTCCAGATTGGTCATTATGTGAAAATGTTTTCTTCTTTAGCGTGCTCAGTCTACCCACAAACCCTCCCACAGAAAGCAAATAATGATGTGCTGCCACCATGTCAGATATATGTAGGCTGAAACTCATGTGGGTTTTGTACCTCAAAGTAGAATAATGGAATGAAACAGGTTTGTTTAAGTGGATCTATCTCCCTATCTACCAACTGCTCAGTCATCAAAACCTCTTAAGTGGCTTACATAAAATATAAATTTAAATATTTTTATAATACATATTTGTTTGTGTATGCGTGTGTAAACAGTTTTTCTTAAAAATATATAAATTGTAAATAAAATTACATATTAAAATAGGTATCAGATTTACACGTCTGGGTAGGCTTGCCTAAACCAAAATGGTTTTAACAGATGGCAAAAACAATACAGTGGTACCTCGGGTTACACACGCTTCAGGTTACAAACTCCGCTAACCAGGAAGTGGTTGGTCCAGGTTAAGAACTTTGCCCCAGGATAAGAATGGAAATTGTGCACCAGCGATGCAGTGGCAGCAGTAGCAGCAGGCTCCATTAGCAAAAGCACGCTTCAGGTTAAGAACCGTTTCAGGTTAAGAACGGACCTCTGGAACGAATTAAGTTCTTAATCCGAGGTACCACTGTACACCAAAGGCATCTGTCTTACATCAATGAGCAGGGCGTTCCAGAGTACAGGTCTTGCCACACTGAAGGTTCATTTCCTTGTGTGTGTGTGTGAAGCAAACAATATGTGACATAGAAGTGCCAGTTCTGCAGATAGAAGTGGTTGAGTAGGCGTATATGGAAAAAGGCATTCCTTCAAGCCAACTGGAATTTTGCTTCTTGAAATTTCAGGAGCCATTGTTGACAGAGAAACCTTCTTGACAAGGAGATTGCTTTGCTGTAGAGTAGGGTGCCAATGACAAATCCCCAAATAAAAGGAATTGCATCACCCCCCACAAAGGACAAAAGGGTAACACTCATCTGTGGGGCAGGAGGGTGATTTACCTAACTGGTGGTGGCAGGAAGCTGCAGCAGTGTTGTTGCCACTCTGATGGTGAGAGGGTCATCACCAGACAGAGGTGCAATGATTGCCATAGCTGTCAACTTACAGATTTGAAAATAAGGGACCAGCAGCCTTGAAAATAAGGGACCAGCAGCCAAAATAAGGGACCTGCAGCCTCACCTGTTCCAGGCACTCTAGTCTTCCTGTCCTCCTGCAGTCTGGTCAAACTCATGCTAGTAGCTTCGAGAACACTGTCCACCCAACTTTGTAACCAGAGGTTCAACTGAATAGAATCTGAATCACATGCACCACAAGGCCTATGCAGCCTCAACTTAAGATGGCTCCCGGCCTGGTTTTGCACTGCAAAGTTTGCAGCAGCACGTGCAACAAAATGGCGTCCAGCATTCAAAAAACCCCTCAGCTTGCATTAACTAGCCACACACAAGGCATGCAAGCTCCACCCCCCAGTCATTCTTAGACTTCTTATTGGGTGAGCACACAGCCAAGCAACACAGTTGGAGCCTCCCTCCTCCCTGGCCGGCAGGAAGGGAGGGAGAGGAGCTGCTTCCTTTGAAATTTAAGGGACACCATTTAAGGGACATTTAAGGGACATCCATCAATAAGGGACAGCAGCGGGACATGGCGCTGGAATAAGGGACTGTCCCTTCAAATAAGGGACACTTGACAGCTATGGTGCAATGGCAGAAGGGCTGGCAATAGACCCTATTTAGCTATCAGGCCCTTGGAAGGTCCTGATAGTGCTGAGTGAGTTTGGGGAATCTGCAGATTCAGCCCAGTTTAGAACACCTGAACACAACCATTTTTATGGATAAACAGCAGAGAGAAGGAAACATCCACGGAAAAGGCTCCATCTGCCTGGTTTCTGCAGCTGAGGGCATGCACAGGCCACTATCTCACTTGCTGGACAAGTTTTTATGGCTATTCACATCAGGAAAACAACACAAGGGAAGAAGGTACCCTCTTCCAGCAGCACATCCCCAGCCTGATTCATGCACACACATGACTGCTTTAAATGTTTTAAAAATGCAAAGATCCAATCATGTCTCAAAGAGGCTCTGGACCCTTATTGCTTTAAAGGAACAAATGTGGGCCATTAATATAAGGCAAGGCTGAGGAATGTGTTGCCCTCTAGAAGTTGGGCTTCAGTTCCCAGCAGCCCTGGTCTGCCTGGTTGATGGTCTGGGATAAGAGAAAGAGAAATGGTTGAGTCTTGGATGGTCACTTTCCCTTTGACAAGCTCCAAACTAGAGACCATTTTGGTAATTACAGTGGTACCTCGGGTTATATACGCTTCAGGTTACATACACTTCAGGTTACAGACTCCACTAACCCAAAAATAGTACCTCGGGTTAAGAACATTGCTTCAGGATGGGAACAGAAATCATGCTCTGGCGGCGCGGCGGCAGTGGGAGGCCCCATTAGCTAAAGTGGTGCTTCTGGTTAAGAACAGTTTCAGGTTAGGAACGGACCTCTGGAACAAATTAAGTTCTTAACCCGAGGTACCACTGTACTTCCAAACACACTTTTTCTAGGGAGCCATACTCTGACTATGCGACTCTGTAGTCTTCCTGAATGAGGGCAAATTGGTTTCATAGATTTCCAGTATCAACTATGACAAACGGATTGAGAAAGGGCATCTCCATCACATCTCTACCACCCACCTCATTAAACCACGCGCAGGAAAAGGACGGGCAACCCTGGGAACATAACAGACACAACTGTGAAGAGACGAAAGAATGAATGGGGTCAACTGCCGTGAAAGGAAGCAATAATGAATAATAATTAGCTATCTATGACGATAGCTAATTACTGGCTATTTCCCAAAGCGTTAAAATTAATGAGAGCTCACGCAGGTTAAACCTCTTGTAGTTGCCTTATATTGCTTTCTGTAAATATGAGAATATAACTAAGATAGGATAAGTATGTCATAGCAAAAGAGTAAGGCTTTCAATAGAGAACTCCATCTATCAACCTTTCTAGATTGTCACTGAATAGTGTGACAAATATCCTCAAATGTAGTTCTTCTGTTATATGGATGTCTAATTTTCTCACCTTTTGTGTGAATAAGGCTCCCACATTTTGTTTCTGGAAAGTGATTTCATTCCCTGGCTAGTATATCAAGAGTGGTTGTTAGGTAGTTTGGTGAAACACAGATTTGTCCCTGTCATGCACAGCAGCATTCCATTAGATCAGGGACAGGAAGCTTTGGGTGCCCCAGATATTGCTGGACTGACTCCCATCATTCCTGACCTTGGGTCATGATGGGAGTTGGAGTACTTGTCATTTTACAGCTGTTGGTGAGCAGCGGAGAAGGCGAACTTTTCCTAAGACAAGCACAGCTGCGTTGCTGCACAGCCCCACAGAGTATCAAATAAATGTTTCCTGAATTATGCAATGAGATGTGGGAGGAGTTCCTGGCACTGAAGGGACAGACGAGTCAACCACACCGCATAGCCTAAAGCCTTGGTTTGGGCAGGGACATGTTAAGATTAGACCTGTGGTGAATATTTCACATACTGGCATTTGCTTGGAAGTCCCCCTGTTCCCTGCCTTTCTATTTTATTATTCGTGTGAAACTTGGCTTGTGTGGTTTTCCAGGGCCAAATTTTGCTAGAAGGCAGCTATTTGGCAACTTGCTAACCACAGCAAGGTACAAGCGGTGGTGACTAGTGCCCACTGGGACTGGTAGGGTGCAAGGCAGGGAGGCCAACAGCAGGTGGCACCAGAAGGTGGCAGTTGGAGGCAGAGCCAACAAATTCTAGTTTTGTCCCTATCCCCCCTTTGTGCAACAATGAGACTAAGGAAGGGGAAACTGATAGCCACTGCCACTGCCCTGGAATGGCAGTAAGAAAGCAGGCAAGTGGGGCTAGGTGTGGGCAAACTGAGGTTGGTACCCCATTCATTCTAATGAACCAGCCTCCTCCTGGAACAAGAAATGGGAGAATCCTGAGGCATGACTGCCATTTAGGTGATCACCTGATATATATATATGTTTTGCTCTGCTGCTGCACTGCCTTGGCAGCTTGGCCATCATTTTGCATTCTCCACAGTGCTCCGTATTTATCTTCATTCATGGGCATTGTGGGGAGAAATGTCAGCCACGAGGGTGGAGGCGGAGGTTAAACTGGTAAAGAACATTGAGAGGATTCAGCAAAGTGGCCTTCTTTTTCAGGGGTGGGGGAAGAGAAGCTAAAGAAAAACCTTAGAAAAATGTCTTCCGAGAAATGTTGGCTCTGCTGTAGAGGAAATTCTGAGAGAAGATTTGTGAAGTACGCTGTGTTAAGCCAACCCATTACAGTGCTAGGGATTAAGCTTTCCAGCATGACATGACAGGGCCCTTTGAAAAGACACAGAGGAGAATTTGAGGGAGCTGGACCTGTTCCAAATTACATCAACACACAGCAGCATGTTTCGTGTGTCTTCTCTCCAGTTTGGCTTTATTGGAGGAACAGCTTCCTCCTCTGCTTTGTGCAGTACAGCCCTCGCAATCGGAAGTTATGCTCTGGACTTTCCCCTTCCAATTCGCAATTCTTTCTTCCTTGTCTCTGCTTTGCTAAAGAGTTTCCCCTCCCCCACTTCTTTCTTTTATAATAGCTTTGAGTGTGGCAACAGAAATTGACGTAAGGTTACATTGCATTGTAAATGCAGGAAATCTACAGAATGAATAAAATGCATTTGACTCTCATTGGCTCTATCCTTCCTTTCTTTAGGCAAAACAAAAAAAAATCCCCCACCTTTTTGTGGGTGGAGAGAAATGGAGCCTGGCCAATTTTATACAAGCTGTACATCTGACCTACTCCAGAATGAGAGGAATCAGTTGACTTTAGCCTGTGGCTTCAAGTCTTCTGTGCTGCCGCCAAAAATGTTCACAAATAAACCATTCAAGATAGTAAAGCACCTGTAAGGTCATGTAATGAAAAGGAAATCAGTCATGATAAGAAACCCTTTGCAATTGTGTAAGCAAGTATAAAATATATTTCCCACAGAGATAACAATGGACGGTATTCAACAAGTCTGTCTCATCAGCACAGTGATGTATGCTTGTGCAATGGGATGTTCCCACTTCCCCTTTGTGCCCACTTCACCCTCCTCAAATCTGTTCTAAAGGGTTTGGAGAACAGTCTGTCCCCCTGAACAGAATTAGGGGTGCATGGGTAGAGGAGAGGAGGAAAATTCAGCTGCTCAAGGATAAATCTTTGTACTGACAGAACAAGTTACTTAGAGCTACATTGAATCATAGAATCATAGAATCATAGAAGAGTTGGAAGAGACCACAAGGGCCATCGAGTCCAACCCCCTGCCAAGCAGGAAACACCATCAGAGCACTCCTGACATATGGTTGTCAAGCCTCTGCTTAAAGACCTCCAAAGAAGGAGATTCCACCACACTCCTTGGCAGCAAATTCCACTGTCGAACAGCTCTTACTGTCAGGAAGTTCTTCCTAATGTTTAGGTGGAATCTTCTTTCTTGTAGTTTGGATCCATTGCTCCGTGTCCGCTTCTCTGGAGCAGCAGAAAACAACCTTTCTCCCTCCTCTCTGTGACATCCTTTTATATATTTGAACATGGCTATCATATCACCCCTTAACCTCCTCTTCTCCAGGCTAAACATGCCCAGCTCTCTTAGCCGTTCCTCATAAGGCATTGTTTCCAGGCCTTTGACCATTTTGGTTGCCCTCCTCTGGACACGTTCCAGTTTGTCAGTGTCCTTCTTGAACTGTGGTGCCCAGAACTGGACACAGTACTCCAGGTGAGGTCTGACCAGAGCAGAATACAGTGGCACTATTACTTCCCTTGATCTAGATGCTATACTCCTATTGATGCAGCCCAGAATTGCATTGGCTCTTTTAGCTGCCGCGTCACACTGTTGGCTCATGTCAAGTTTGTGGTCAACCAAGACTCCTAGATCCTTTTCACATGTACTGCTCTCAAGCCAGGTGTCCCCCATCTTGTATTTGTGCCTCTCATTTTTTTTGCCCAAGTGCAATACTTTACATTTCTCCCTGTTAAAATTCATCTTGTTTGTTTTGGCCCAGTTCTCTAATCTGGATTAATACTACTACTACTACTAATGATAATAAATATTGCCAGGAGCTCTGTGGAGATATCATGGAGGGGATGATCATATCCTGAGGAGGAATGGGAGCTTAGGGAGCCAACACTGGATGACCATGGGAAGGTTCCTAGGGGGAATGTGAAACTGGGATGCCAAGAAATGTGTGAGTCCAGGAAGATGGCCAGCAGTCCAGAGGGTGGAGAGCTGGACCCAGAGGAGGGACCAAGCAGATTGACAGAGGAGTGCTTTGCCCCTGTGTCATTGGATACTCCAAACCACATACCTCCTCCAGTCAGTGTGGAACCAGGGAAGTGACTGAGAGTAAACTGGAATCTGAGCTGGCATGCCCATTGTCAAGAACATGGCCAAACTCACTTGAAGGAGTGCCCATTTACATGACTAGTCCTGGGACTATGGCTGTTTGCTGTGCTAGAAGTTGTACTTGCCCTGTTCTTCAAAAGAAAGGTTCAAGGGGTGTGTAACTCATTGGATGAACGTCCTAACTTGCACTTAGCCATGTACCTTGCCTATGTGCAGTTCTGATTTACGCATTAAAGCCTTTGGCAGAAATTGAGCTGAGAGTCTGAGTTGTTTGTCTAGCAGTGAGGGCCAAAACACCAATAGATCTCAACCCCTAAATTTGACAAGAAGCTTAAGCTTCTTGTTTAGCCTTTGTTCTTCTGTGGCTTCTGAGAGGAGACTGGAATATCCATATTACAGCAGATCTAAGAGGTGACTAATTTGGAAGGTCTAGGTACTTAAGTTTGAAAATAGAGAATGTCTGAACAAATCAGTTAAAGTCTGAATAATGCACATAGTTGTCTCTCTGGGCCAAAGTAATGTCAACTGTGTGAGTGCAATCAATGTATGTGTGCTTTTGTTATGAAAAAAGGTGCAGGGGAGCTTTGGAACCATGGGGTAGCTTGGTTGAAGAAAGGGGAAGTTGGATTTCTATGAGAGGCTGAGGAAAAGGTGAACTTCTCTCCACCTGTTCTTCCCTTTATAACTAGGGGGATTAAATAAAAAAGAACCCTGGGTGATTGAATGGAATATTCTGCCTTGGTTTGCATTTATTTACACTGGGGGTTTCCAAACGAACACTCCACGCCCTGACAATCTTGTAGCATAAGATGGAAGTTCCCTGGAGTACAAGGCTTGTTTGGTGGCCGAAACAATAATCTCAGGGCATAATCAGGGTTGGGAATTTTATTTGTTAATTAAACAAAGTTATAACTGATTTGTAACTTCCTTCTTATTTTAGAAGGGCTTGCACTTCCCTTGAAGGAGTGGGTAGGAGCTTGGGTAGTCCTAGAACCATCTGTCACTGGACGCCCAGGTATTTTCAATGGTGAGGAGTGTTATTTCCTAGCTATGGCTGTTTTACCAGCTATGGCCACTCCTGGACAGAGATTATCTGACCACAGTAATCCATACTGTGGTAACTTCTACATAGGGTGTCCTTGAAGAGGGTTTGGAGGTTGCAACTAGTACAAAGTACAGTACTCAGGGTGCTTGTAGAACCTGTGGGACAGTGATATATAACACAAATTTTGAAAGAACTGCACTGGTTGGCTATTATCTTCAAGGCCTGATTCTAGGTGCTTATGCTTCAGAGAAGTGTGACTAGCCCAAGGTCACCCAGCAGCTGCAAGTGGAGGAGCGGAGACGCGAACCCAGTTCCCCAGATTACAAGTCTACCGCTCTTAACCACTACACCACTCTGGCTCTCCATACAACTTCCCATACTAATCTGCCTGGGCATTAAGTTCTGCAGAGGGAGCTGTACTTGTTGCCCACCACTGAGTGAAGTCTATAATGCAGGAGTCCATGAAGGAGCCTTCTGCATTGCAGCATCACACTTATGCTCCAACCTTATTTTCATTTTACAGATGGTTTAAAACATACGTATTAAGGAACACTGAAATGTACTGTGAATTGGGAAGGGCATTAATGTTAGATCACTGCCTTGTCGTAGCGAAGGGGCTTAAATAACTCAGAGAAGCTATGAGCTATGCCATGCAGGGCCACCCAAGACGGACAAGTCATAGTGGAGAGTTTTGACTAAACGTGATCCACCTGGAGCAGGAACCAGCAAGCCACTCCAGTATCCCTGCCAAGAAAACTCCATGGACAAAAACAAAACCCAGCAGTGGCCAGAGAATAGGAGAAGATCAGTGTTACATCCCAATCCCAAAGAAGGGCAGTGCCAAAGAATGCTCCAACTACCGCACAATTGTGCTCATTTCACATGAAGCAAGGTTATGCTTAAAATTCTACAAGGCAGGCTTAAGCAGTATATGGACTGAGAACTCCCAGAAGTGCAAGCTGGATTTCAAAGGGGCAGAGGAACCAGAGACCAAATTGCAAACATGCGCTGGATTATGGAGAGAGCTAGAGAGTTCCAGAAAAACATCTACTTCTGCTTCATTGACTACGCAAAAACCTTTGACTGTGTCAACCACAGCAAACTATGGCAAGTTCTTAAAGAAATGGGAGTGCCTGATCACCTCATCTGTCTCTATGTGGGATAAGAAGCTAAAGTTAGAACTGGATATGGAACAACCGATTGGTTCAAAATTGGGAAAGCAGTATGACAAGGCTGTATATTGTCTCCCTGCTTATTTAACTTATATGCAGAATTCATCATGTGAAAGGCTGGACTGGATGAATCCCAAGCCGGAATTAAGATTGCCGGAAGAAATATCAACAACCTCAGATATGCAGATGACACAACTTTGATGGCAGAAAGTTTTGGGGAATTAAATAACCTCTTAATGAGGGTGAAAGAGGAGAGCGCAAAATATGGTCTGAAGTTCTACATAAAAAAACTAAGATCATGGCCACTGGTCCCATCACCTCCTGGCAAATAGAAGGGGATGAAATGGAGGCAGTGAGAGATTTTACTTTCTTCGGCTCCATGATCACTGCAGATGGTGACAGCAGTCACGAAATTAAAAGACACCTGCTTCTTGGGAGAAAAGCGATGACAAACCTAGACAGCATCTTAAAAAGCAGAGACATCACCTTGCCGACAAAGGTCCATATAGTTAAAGCTATGGTTTTCCCAGTAGTGATGTAATGGAAGTGAGAGCTGGACCATAAAGAAGGCTGGTCACTAAAGAATTGATGCTTTTGAATTTTGGTGCTGGAGGAGACTCTTGAGAGTCCCATGGACTGCAAGAAGATCAAACCTATCCATTCTGAAGGAAATCAGCCCTGAGTGCTCACTGGAAGGACAGATCCTGAAGCTGAGGCTCCAATACTTTAGCCACCTAATGAGAAGAGAAGACTCCCTGGAAAAGACGCTGATGTTGGGAAAGATGTTGGGCACAAGGAGAAGGGGACAACAGAGGACGAGATGGTTGGACAGTGTTCATGAAGCTACTAATATGAGTTTGACCAAACTGCGGGAGGCAGTGGAAAACAGGAGTGCCTGGCGTGCTCTGGTCCATGGGGTCACGAAAAGTTGGACACGACTAAACAACAATAATAATTGTTTAATTGTACATTGAAATGGAAAATGATTCTGTATGTGTGTTGCTTAAGGTTTAATATAGGAAATTACCATTGAAGCTAAGTAAGAGCTCCCAGTAAGTGCCTAACAAGTTGGTAGTTAACTAGTAATGTATCTCAGCTGGCTCTTTTATGAGCCTAACTTAGATCACTTGGTATTCAGTTGCAAATCGCCATTTGGAGAGAGTTGCCTTTGTTCTCAAGCCACTGAAGACAAAGGTCAGACACACTTTGCTCCTAGGCCTTTCCACTAGGAAACACAGATCTCACTTCTAACACCAGTGTTAACAAGCCACCCCAATCTCTGCCAAGCAGTGCACGAAATTCCAGGAGTCTTGGCCCTGAACAAGGGTCTGTGTCTCTTCAAGGCAAAATAAGGCAGTGTCTGTCAAATATGGTTTATTTACAGCCTGAGTGTAGATGGAGTACAGAATTTACAGCATCCTCACCTCAGGAGCAGCTAGTCCTTCCCCATCACCTGGCACTGCATTCAGAGCCATCCTATGTGCCATCTCTTTGTTCCTGCTTCTTGCCTCCACAGCAGCTCGTTGAATTCTGCCCCACTCTTTCCCAGCAAACTTTAAATTTTCTGAAGGCACAAATTTTCCTGTGACATCATGCCCCCGTCACCTTGGCAACCTGCCAATTCTCCTGTCTCTGACCACTCCTTGGAGTGGGAGGGGGCTGAAGGACGGTTCTTTTGCATTGTCAACAACCCTTAATGGTGCATCACCTGGTTCCCCATGGTTCCTTAATGGCTCTGCACTATGCCAGCCCAGCCACGCTGTTTTGCATAAGCTAACCCATTAATTCCTTCTCTGCCACAGTTCTGCAGCTTGTACTTTCCCTTCATATCCCCAAAATTAGCTGAATACTACTGTTTATTGGTTTCTAATATTCACTGACAGTCTCTGGTATCCCAGCTGTGGCAACGCAAATGATGTAGAAAAATGATGGGGGAAAGGAGGAGGGGAAACTCAACAGTTCCCTAACACCTACTTGATATTCCAGGGAATTAACAGAATGTGCGTGATTTCCCCCCTCCTACTTGGGAAATAGTATTTTGGAATTTCCTGCACCTACCACTCCTCAGGAGTTTTGTCAGTGAATGGTGAGGCAACAAAAAGGATCTATTCCCTCTTCTGTTTGGCTGCACATACATCCCTATATTAATTAACCAGCACTCAAACAATGCTATAAAATCAGCTAACTAGAGTAGGTAAGAGGGAAATCCCCATAATTGCAAAGCGGAACAAACGCCCTTAGGTGAACTGCCAGAGATCTCGAGCAGGTGTTATAAATAAGCTGACTGAAGCTAGTTCATTCACATCTGAAGTCAGATTCTTTTGATGCACATAAGCAGCAGCGTGATCATGATGACTGGCTTCAACATGAAGAATGTGCTCTTAGCTGTTCTGGTGGGTCTGCTGCTACTCTTGGGAATGTGTGAAGGTAAGTGGTGTTTCTGGATACCTCTTGCTCCAGGACTCCTTGTGATGCTGAAGTATGTGCCCTGAAAATTAAGATGAAAGATAGGAGGATTCCCAATGGCTTAAAAAGAAAGAAGGGAAGGAAGGAAGGAAAGAAAGAAGGAAAGACAGACTAGTCCGGAATAGTGTACTTCAACCTTGTGTTTCCATCTGCTGTTGGAATACTTTTCCCATCTTCCCTGACCACTGGCTAAACTGGTTTAGGATGATGGATGTTGTACTAGTTCACCAACTTTTGGGCACTCAACAATGAAGAATAGTCTAGAACATTATTGGAAATGCTTGCTATCTGATAGCAAACTGATCCAAAATATGTGCACTAGGAAAGGCAGTGATAGAGATGAAAATGTTACTTTGTGCCTAATTTAATATATATTTTTTTGTAATCTGCCCTGGGACCTGCTGGTAAAGCCCAAATAATGAATTAAATTAATTAATCAATGTATATTTTTTCTTCCTCACTCCAGCCCAAAGCAACCAAGATTGCTGTCTTTCCTATACCAAGACGCCTCTTCCTCGCCGGATTATCAAAGGATTCACAGAACAGCTTTCCAGTGAAGTCTGTGACATCAATGCTGTCATGTGAGTTGACAAAATGAAACAATTACTTGTATCAATGAAGGATGATGCCCAACCATCCAGGAGTTTAGCTCAAAAAAGTTTTCCAAAATGCTTCAAATACTGTGTTTCCAGCAGCCACAATGAAACATTATTTTGATCCCATAGTTCTCAATCCCTGTAGAACTTGAGAAACCTAAGATGGTACAAAAATTGGCATTTCTCATAACCCAGGTCAGAGCTTGTAGCTGAGCTATTTTTAGTATCTCTTTATTTTTGATATCAGTATTTTTGCTTTCTTATCCGTAGTGTACACAACTTTAGTTACACTGTACATAACTTCAGTTGTTGTCGCTTAGTAGCTTTTAAGCCTTTCCAGTTGAATGCAACTGAAAACAGTCAAGCAACAAAGCTTGCAGGAGAATCTCAGGGGAGCATTCCTGTCCATGCAAAGTGCACTAAAATTTCATGCTGTCACTAACAATGCATGACACAACTCCATTCCTCTTCACCTCCCCTATTTTTTGTGCATTCGTTGGTTTCAGGAGGATCTCTTTCCACCTTAGTTTGTACACACACAAAAAATGCCGACAGCTTCAATCCATACTATGGTGATTGACTGCCATGTATAGGCTCTGTATGCAGCAAACCCAGTGCTACACATTGGGCTGAGAAAGGACCCCCACAACAGCATGCTGATTTTGTCATCTTAGAAGATGTGACCTTTCTGCTTTATTCTGCTGACTGTAACTGTTTATGTTATTTTAAAACTGATAATAATTTTTGCTCTTTCTAGATTTCACACTAAGGGTGGCTTGAAAGCTTGCGCAAATCCCAGAGAACCTTGGGTGAAGAAACAGCTCCGCTTGTTGAGGTCAGTAGGAGGAAGGAATTGGTTGCCCTGGCAAAGCAAATAATAGGATCCTCTAGCTGCCCTGTATCTATAACAGTGCAATCCTAAATTTGCCTGTCAGAATAGTAACTATGGGAGGTTTCTATAATATCACAGTTGTGCTTAAGGATGGTGAGCCACACTGTGAAAATGAAACATTTCATTCTTCACTTCTCCAATAGGAAGGAACAGCAGCTTAAGGCTGGAATCCTGTGCACACTTGCCTGGGAGTAAGTCTGAGAGGGACTAACTTCTGACAGGCAAACCTAGGATTGCACTGTTATAGATATAGGGCAGCTAGAGGATCCTATCATGTCATATGATGTTAGACTCCAACTGTCTTCAGCTTCAGCCAGTATAGTCAATGGTGAGGGAAGCTGAGGGGTCTCCACCACTAATATCTAGAAGACACAGGTTCTTCAGTTTTGGTATATAAGACAGGAGAGCTGTATGGAAGCAAGGAAAATTTTAGCTTACCTATTTATTCTTTCTCTTTTTTTTTACAGTAAAAAACTCAATAAGATGTCACACTTTCCTTTTTGAAATGAAACAAGAGGCAGAGCCTGGTAAAAAAAAACCAAACTAGGTTGAAATCATACTTCTGGACACTGTTGTGTGCTTGCTGACCACTAATCCCTGGATTTTCTGGAAGCATAAAAACTGATTCATATTGTATCAAGTATTTTTTTGAATGGAGCACACCATCCAAGATGCTTTGTTTGCTTATGCTGGTTCACATTTTGTGATTAACTGATAAATAAGTGTGTGTGTGTGTGTGTGTGTGTGTGTGTGTGTGTCTGTCTAATGTTCCTCACTGGGTCAAGTTCACAAGTCTGTCATATGATGTAGATGGTAATGATCACTGTCATTGGCAAAAGGCTGCTGCTATCAGGTGTACTACTCATTTGCAATATTTATTTTATAAAATTTATATACTGCTTGATTATAAAAAGAACTCTACAAAACTTTAAAGTTGTTGTCTTATTGCCTTATGTTATCTCTGGACTGCGGCCTTTGTTTGGACATTCTTTTTAGATGAATAATAGCTCCATTGTGCATATGTTGCTACATGTGCGTGCGCGCGCACACACACACACGGAGAGAGAGCAAGAGAGAGATTTGTAGGTTTAGGTATATAGAGCTTTTAATGTTTGAAGAACACAAGACAAGCCTGCTGGACCAAGCCAATGCTCCATCTAGTCCAACATCCTGTTCTCACAGTGGCCAGAAGATGCCTGTGGAAAGCCTGCAAGCTGGGCATGAGTGCAAAGCACTCTGCCTACCTGCGACTCCCAGAAGATTCAGAAGTTGCTATACAAGTACATTTCCATGGGAGGTTTGGAGGGTGGAAATATGAGATTGCGCCTTTTCAGTGGTGGCCCCTAAGTTGTGGAGGGCACTCTCCTGAGAGAGGCATGACTGGCATCCATATCAATTTTTGGGTGCCAGGCAGACTTTTCTCTTTACCTGGGCTTTTGGCTCTTAATCCAAAGGGTAGCCTCTCTTAGTGGGGTGGGATCAGTAAGTCCTGATCTGTTTTTCCCCCTGTGTTTTTAAATGCTTGTTGGATGTCCTTACGTGGTTTTAATGCAAGTTGCTTTGGGTCACCTTGTGAAAAAAGCAAATAACAAATACAATAAATAAACAAATATGGGAGAGAAACTGGAAAATAATAATAATAATAAATAATTTATTTATTATTTATACCCCGCCCATCTGGCTGGGTTTCCCCAGCCACTCTATATGAACAAATAAACTTATATCCTGCAATAACATTGCTTATGCTGTATTGTGGGCTAAAGACAAGAGTGAATGATAAGGCAATTCCACAAATGAACGTTCAACAATGCCTGAACAGGGAGTGGTGTTTAGCCATAATTTGGCTAAAATTGGAGGGCGAGTCAAGGGATGGGGTTTATGGATGTTATTAGTGAACCTCTTAATCCCCCCTCTACATCATTTGATCACTGTTCCCATAGGCCCCCTCAAAATCTTAAAGGGGGTCTGCTAGAGTCCCTATTTTATATTTGAGTACTGGGAGAGAGATTTAGCAGGGACAGATGTCAGAATATAAGGTATTTTCCTTGTAAATACAGTAAGGGATCATTGGTATATGCAAGATTTGTATTTTTACTCACTACCTCCTCCTCCTGAAGATGTCTTGTTAGGCTTCTCTTTCCCATTTCAATGAAAAATCATTCCCTTCAGCCTTTCTTCATTGTCTTAGATTTCCGAGCAGTAAATATGCATGTACCAAAGTACAAAACTGCTACCTAGCCACTTAGGACTGCCTAGAAGTGAAGCCTGCTTATAATTATATGCTGTGCATGAAGTGTTGTTGTTTTTTTAAAAAAAGTTTGCCGAAGTCACTTGTTGCATACAACCCACAATGTAGAACTTTGTAGAACCAAGGTCTCAGACAATGTCTGTTTCGGGTATCAAGAGAAAGCATGGTAGATTAATTATTTGGCTTTCCGTCTTTAGCTTAATTTCAAGTGTAAAGGAGCATATTATAGATTCCTGGCCCAACACTGGTTATACTATCCATCCCAGAAATCCAAAAGGGAGAACTAATATGCAGAAATTTAATTATCTTCTTGCTGGCAGCAGCTCGATCAGAGGTGGCATGCCATTGGAAAACAGCTGATTTCTTTGTCAAAGATTGGTCTGCCTGTGTCTGGCAATTAGTGCTGCCTAAAAAAATTATGCAGTACTGCAGGGTGCGGGTTGGCATCAACCAGCCTCATTCTGGGTTTCCAATCTGTGAGTGCTGGATTGCAACATGACCCAAGGATTGAATTAATCCTCTTTGATCTTGTTGACTGGAGCTGATGATAGTCCAACAACATCTGGAGGGTCATAGGTTCCCCATATCTGCTGCAAAGTCATGGTGGTATCGAGTGGACAAATGAGAAGCCATGGATGCACCTTCCTAATAAGTCTCTGCTGCATGTTTACAAACCCACCACTCCCTTTCCCACTTTATGACGGTTGCAGAGCCAAAACCAATGTGCTCCCAGCAAACACCTCTGCTGGTTAGTGTGAAGTAATCCTAAATGAACCAGCAAGTGATTACAAACCAATACTATTGTGCATATCAGAACACTCTAGAAGCATTTTTTCATTTAAATTCATTCTTCAATGCAAATAAAATAAAACAAACAAACCGATTCAAAAAGCCAAGCATTCTTATCCCCCAAAGTATTTTAAAAACCCTCTGCTATTGTATCTTATTTCCTGACTTTGAAGCATAAAAGATTCATCTTCAAAGCGTAAACAGCAGGTAGTCATAAGAATGCTTTGAAAATGTGGTGGTTTATTAAACTCTGACCTGTATCATATTTGTGTTGACTTATAATGTTAATTTTCTTTTCAAGTTTTAAACAACTTGGCCTTTTTCACTGTTGCATATATTTCCCACAGTATATAAATTTGTTCATACTGTCAATATGAATACTTTGAAGGTTCACTGATTACCACCAATATTTATTTGGGTGTTTGATCAGGATTAATTAATATTGATAATTGAAGGAAAGAGTACACGGTCACTGCTCTTTTGCAGAAGTACCGTATTTTTCGCTCTATAACATGCACCCGACCATAACACGCACGTAGTTTTTAAAGGAGGAAAATCTGTAGGCATGCCACCCGTAGGCATTCCCTCCATAACATGCACAGACATTTTCCCTTACTTTCTAGGAGGAAAAAAGTGAGTGTTATGGTGCAAAAAATACGGTATTTCTCTGCAAACTTGCTGATTTTCTCCAAAGCTGCAGAAAGATATGTTAAATCAATTCTCTTTTAGACAGTACTGTTTCTGAGATAACTAATACTTTGTTCTTGTAAGATAACCCCACGGCAGCTACAGAAAGTCTCAATACTTTCCAGTGATTTGGTGTGCTTGAGGTTTTTCTGTTTCATTCCCCTTTGTTTGGAGGCATAGTAATGGTTAGTATCATGCCCTTTCTACTGGTAGAGGCAGCTGTGAGTTTTGTTGTCACAACTGAAATTAGAGGAACTAGGTTTTTGACAGGTGCTTGGGGATGGGGAGATTAATAAATTCTATATAGAATTTTGTGATCCTGATAAAGAGCATTTAAATAATTAGGGTGGGGCAAGGGCTGCTACACTTCAATTCCACTGATAACCTCAATGCTTGATTATTGCAATGTGCTCTGTTGTGGTGCTACCTTTGGGCCTGTTCTGGGGATTCCAGCTGTTACAAAATGCTGCAGCTGTTAATGAGGACAGACCATTGCCAGAACATAACTCTGGTACTAAAAAAATTGCACTGGCTGCCAATACACTACCAGGCCAGGTTCAAAGCTCTTGTACTAATTTACAAGGACTGCCTTATATTCCTGCCCAATCACCAATATCTTTGGAGGGAGTCGCTGTTGGTGGGCCCCGATAGCTTGGATGCATGGCTCACAGGCATTTTAACTGAAGTTTCGCTTTATGATTCTGATTTATTGCATCCCTGTAAACTGCTTAAAGATTACTTTTCCACCTGTCCAGCACTAATATACAGAAGATGCAACTTCTGACATTCCTTCTTCACAACTTTTAAACCTCCACACCTTTATTCGTAGCACGATTGAATGTAATAGGCATCATCTGCTAAAATTTTGCACACACTGTTGTGATGGCAGGAGGGAAGCTCTTCTCTAAGAAACACCCACAAAGCTGTCTGCACCATTTGAAGTATCTCTGGGCTACGCTCCTTCCTACACATTTCCTAGTGAGCACATGCTGTCGAGTTCAAGGGGGCTTCTTCCTGGTTTGGATCATGCTACAGTACTGCGGGTGGGACGTGGGTGGCACTGTGGGTTAAACCACAGAGCCTAGGACTCGCCAATCAGAAGCTCGGTGGTTTGAATCCCCGCGACAGGGTGAGCTCCCGTTGCTTGGTCTCTGCTCCTGCCAACCTAGCAGTTTGAAAGCACGTCAAAGTGCAAGTAGATAAATAGGTACTGCTCCGGCGGGAAGGTAAATGGTGTTTCCGTGCGCTGCTCTGGTTCGCCAGAAGTGGCTTAGTCATGCTGGCCACATGACCCGGAAGCTGTACATTGGCTCCCTCGGCCAATAAAGCGAGATAAGCGCCCCAACCCCAGAGTCGGTCACGACTGGACCTAATGGTCAGGGGTCCCTTTACCTTTACAGTACCGCAACCTTACTTCCATTTAGCTAGGAGCAAGCCTCATTGAAGTCAGCTGGGCCTTTGGAGTCATAATCCGTTTTATTATTACAGGGGTACCTCCGGTTAAGTACTTTAAGTACTAATTCGTTCTGGAGGTCCATTCTTAACCTGAAACTGTTCTTAACCTGAAGCACCACTTTAGATAATGGGGCCTCCTGCTGCTACCACGCCGCTGGAGCACGATTTCTGTTCTTATCCTGAAGCAAAGTTCTTAACCTGAAGCACTATTTCTGGGTTAGCGGAGTCTGTAACCTGAAGCATATGTAACCTGAAGCGTATGTAACCTGAGGTACTACTGTATTACATTTATCTCCCCTCCAAGGAGCTCAAGGTGGAGAACAACAAGACCCTCCCCCCTCTCCGTCACAACAACCTTGCGAGGTAGGGCAGGCTGCGAGACAATGACAGGCTCAAGGTCACCCAGAGGGCTCTATGGCTGTGTGGGGACAAAACACAGTACAGGCTCGCGCACCGCAGCTTCCGTCTTAGGCGCAATAATGGTTCATAGGATCGCAATGCAAGCCCCTCCCTTACCCTCTTGCGCGGTTTCCTCTCCGAATTCCTCTTACGACACCGCCCCCCCCCCAAAAAAAAACCCACTGTGAGGCAACGGGAAGCAGGTGACTTATCCCCTCACGCTCTGCTGCCATAGCAACGGGCTCAGAAAGCGCGCCAAGCTCCCACGGCGCTCGCGCACAATGCACCGCCCCCCCGACGCCCGCTAGTCAGCCCTGTGAGGGCGGAGCCGGAGTAGCTGCGGGCGGCAGAGGAGAGGGGGCGGGGGTAGTCCCGGGCCGCGCGTGCGCGCTGCGGAGAGCGTCGGTTTGTCTGGTTCCTATGACAACGGCGCCGGCTTGGAGGCCTCGGCCGCCCGGGACGAGATGAAGCTGAAGCGGTTCTTGCTGCGATATTACCCGCCGGGTGCGGAATGGGGCAGGGCAGGGCAGGGCAGGGCAGTGTGAGGGGTCAATGTTAAAGATGGGGAGCGGGGGAATGACGACGGGGAAGCCTTACGTGCGGCGGGCAAGCGTGGGCGATTGAAAGGAGGGGATGGTGGAGTCGGGGAAGAAAGGGTTAACGGATATATATATAGAGAGAGAGAGAGAGAGAGAGAGATACAATGACACACAAACACACACCCCGGGAAACACACATGTGGAGGGGAAAGAGTCGCAGAGTCGGGGGGGGGGGGGAAGGTTTAATTGAAAGAGTTGAGCCCCGGAACCCATTTGCTCAGCAGGTCTGTTGAATGGAAAAGAAGCTCCGTTGCGTTCCGTCTTCAGTGAGAGCTTGTTCCGTAGTAGGTTTAATGCGTTGAACATATTGCATGGACTGGCAGTGCTTCTAAAGAAGCAAGCAAGCAAGCAAAATCGATAAGTGAGCACAGGATTGCAGCCTCGACCATGAAATGTGAAATAACAACAACAATAGAAACATAGTTTATCTGAGGTTGTGCAGAGTGCCTTTTCCTTAACTCTTAAGTAACCATGCCTACTCTTTTGGGGAAACTTGTTTCAAACATGTTCTTGTGCTTTTTAGAAATTAAATTAATAGTTAATGGGGAATCAAAGGCAAACGCAGGAACGGTTTCAAAAAGAAAAGTCACTTGCAAGTGCTCAAAGATGGAACTTACCCCGTTGAAATGCACTTTTGTGTATGAGTATGAGTCCCCCACACTGAAGATGTACCGGAATAATGCACAGTGAGGGCCAGAGTGGTGTCATGATTAAGAGTGCTAGTTTATTATATCCAGGTGCAAATCCCAACTCAGTCATTAAGCTTTCCAAGTGACTATCTCAGCCCAAACCTACCTTTTAGGGTTGTCGTGGGATAAGATGGGTAAGAAAATCATGTTTGCTGCATTCAGTGTTGTGGAGAAATGATGCAATATAAATGTCATAAATAAAATAACTGGGCCCTATTTGTCTGACCCTTTCTATCTGTGACAGCTTTATCTTGTGGTTGCCTAGGATAACATTTAGATGGTTCTGATAGACAGTTACATTGACCACTCTGCTGAAGTCAGTGCATAGGCTTTTGACATTTAATAGTTGTGGAGTTTTAACTAAAAGTACCTTATGGTAACCAAGATAACTTTAGCATATGACAGGCAGTAGGAACACAAAGTACTCAGTTCATGGTTGTGCACCATGGGTAGATAAAAAGCCATAGCTGCTGTCAGCTGAAATGATTTATTACTTATGAATTGATGTATGAGGTGACTTGAAGAAAAGCTGCATTCTACTAAATCCCTAGTGTTACAAACATTTGTGTAATGTTGACAATTCAGCCATAAGCCAAATAATGGTATCCTGTATATCATACTGTTTCCTATAGGGAACAACAGACTAATATCAAAGCATTAGTCTAATACAGAATCCACAAATTATTTGTAACTGGATTACCACAGAATGCAATAAAGGTAATGTGGCAGTCAGTTTGCTTCTATGTATATCTTAGTTGTTATATATATTAGACAGGGTGTCATATTTTGCAGATTTACTTTTATATTTGGAAGATCTCAAACTGGTAAATTAAGTTGGTGAAGTAGCTTCTGCTTTTCTATACTATCAGTTGTTTGGGCTATGATCCTACAGTAACCTGAAAGTATCAGTCTTAGATGGCCATGACCATCTAAGGGCAAGCGTTGAATTCCCAGGTCAATTATTCAGACCAGCAAATAGCCATTTAAAGTGTTTGAGCCTTTGCCATGGACAAACACAAGTGGGCTTATGCAAGCTACTGTAACTCAACTGTAGCAGGAACCACACTGGTATTCCTAAAAGAAGCATTTCTGTTTCAGGGGCATCACATATTGCACCACTTAATTTTGTTGCTGGAAAACTGGATTCTTTTACTAACTAGAGTTTCTCCTGTGTTGTGTATAGTTACATGTACATGAATTGTATCTGTAACATCATTAGTGAGAGAGTTACAACTATCGCCCCCTATTTTACAAAGCCTTTAAATTTTTTATGTTTCATTCACCTTAGCAAGGTTGGTCTACCTTTTTCTTTAAAAACAAAAACAAAACACTAGCAAAGCTTCCTCCTTCATCTACAGCAGCACTTCTGCTATTTCCCGGGCCGTTTTCCTGTTCTCATTTTTTATCTTGTGCCAGAGAATTCCATAAGTTAATGATGTGGTGTTCTATCGGATGATCCAGAGTTCTGTGTGTATCATGAATAATTACATTGGTTATAAGAGTCAGTATTTATTTTTTCTATGTGAAGACTAGCTGAAGTTCAAAAGAGCTGCTTCAGTGACTGGGAATCCTTTGCACATAGAGGGACATCTGAGAAGATGTAGGATTGTGTGGGCTTGTACATGGACAGTGGAATTTTGGGCATTTCCCCTTTGAACAGGAAATCCTCAAGCCATATCACAACACCCTTCACATTTGAAAAGCAGCTTGCCATGTGGAATGGGGGTTGCCTTTGAAGACTATAAGTTCAAAGAGTCTTTAGCATATGCATCCAGTTTCACAGTTCTTTGGCCCCTGACCTGTGTCTTACCATGTGTCACTATAGAAAATGACAAGATGTCTGCCTGATTCTGCTCCCTTATATGGTTTAAGTTAGATGTGTTGCTTCTGAAATCAATAGGATTTTTTTTATCGAAGGGAAGGTCAGTCTTTGTACTGTGTGCCATCAGAATCTAGCTTGATGCTGAATTAATAATTGTCTTGTTTTGCTTCTTCAAAGGCATTATTTTGGAATATGTTCAAGGTGGGGAAGTGAAAACCAAATCTATAGATTTACTGGATCTCAGTGCTGCGTGAGTATTATATTTTGCTGGATATTGACACAGAACAACTTTACTGATATATACAAATCTGCTAAACAGCTAAGAAATGTATTGCAGTGTTTTTGGTCATATTGAATAAGACAATCATGCTGTCAAATCATCCTCTTCCAAGTACAGTCATTTAAGATTGAGGTGTTAGTGCCCAATCCTGTCTCCTATGGCATATCTAGCAATATGGCTGCTACTTTCAATGAAAACTTCATAGGGTTGAAAATTCAGGGGTGTGTGGTTTCCATTTCACAACTGATGAAGTTACAGCATTTTTGGAAAGGGCTGTAGCCTTTCATAGAGAAGGTCCCAGGTTTAATCCCTGGCACCTCCGTGTGAGGTTGGGAAGGACTCTGTCTGAAACTCTGAAAACTTCTGCCAGTCAGCATAGAAAATACTGAGCTAGATGGATGAATGGTCTTACTCAGTGTAAGGCAGCTTCCTATGTTCTAAAACATAGTATTCCCACAATGGGATATATGTGAGTAACAAATATAAGATGCATTTCATGCCTTGTGAGAAGATCTCCAGCATTCATAAAGTGTATCTGAATTAGACATATAAAGATATATATTGGCTTTGGTGTTCATATTTGTTGTAAACCTCTCTTGCACACCTCTGCCTTGATTACTTGATGTGCACTGGCAGGAGCATGCAAAAGGCATCTTTCAAAGCCACAATTAAGACTTGATCCTGGGAGCTTTCCTGGGCTAAATTGAATATGTCAAAGAAATGTTTCAGAAAACAGACATTGGGTTAGATTTAGATTAATTATGCTGAAGCCCCCTTGAAATAATTGGGATAAGGTTGTCATGATGGCTAGCTTTAAGTCCTATATTTATTTCAGCTGGACTAAAGCATTCAGTGGAACTAAATTTTCCATCAGGATCCAACTCAGCGTCTTATATGTAATATACTTTTGCAAGCATAACTAACAAATGTAGTCCTTGAGCATGTCAGTGACCTGTATGGAAAACATACTGGATAAACTCCATTTGTTCAGTGGATGTTATTCCCTAGTGGAATATAGATCCTTCATCACTGAGACTATCCATACGGAAATCCCTCACAAACAGGATCTAGTTTTGTAAATTGTATATTTGTTCCCTGTGATGCTGCTGTTCTTTTAACATACCAAAAGCTTTGAGATTATTTTTAGAATATTTATTTTTTTAGCTTAAAGAGAATTTTAACTCCTTACCTCCCATGACGAACCCTGAGAAACACAATGCCAAAGTAAACTTTTTAAGACTATGTGATATTTTTTGACAAATTAGCATGTTGTTTGAAATTAAAACAAAAAACAGGTATGAGTGCTGTCACTGAGGTTATTTAAATTCAAGCAACAGAGTAGAGCTGACCACTTGTTTTAAACCTGCATGAACAAGTCACTGTTGTTGTTTAGTCGTTTAGTCGTGTCCAACTCTTTGTGACCCCATGGACCAGAGCACGCCACTAGGAACAAGTCACTAGGAAAGACCTAAACATACAGAATATTCAAAATTAATCACATTCAAGTAGAAAACATTAAAATTGTAAATAAAATGACTGAAAAATGGGAAACCTGTCATATACTCAAAAGATGCAAGGCCTAACCTAGAAATCTAAAGTTTTACAATTGGTGTGGATTATGTTAGTAGCTGACACTGGACTTAGGTATTTCTAGGTGAACTCAGGAATTTCCTGTGGCTGTCTACTTCTTATGTGGGGGGCAAGAAATTTTGTATCTATCTTCCTGACTGATGTGTGCTCTGAGGCTTCTATGACATAGTCCAATCCTCTATGTGTTTATTCAGAAGTAAATCCCATAGAGTTCAATGTAAATAAATGTACATCTGTTTTTATGGAAATATAAAAAAATACATCTGTGGAGACCCACAGGTACCCTGCCCCTATTCTGCGGTTGGCACATGGGAAAATATCAAAATGACTCCCCTTCCCCCTTTCATCCTGGTTGATAAAAACAACAGAAGGATTTCATTTTCTCTTAACTTCAGGAGATGAAAATTGTGTTTTAATATCTTTAAACATTATTCTACTTTAGTACAGATGTAGAAGCCTTAGTAGCAGATATAAGAAAAGCAGAACCTCTCATCACAGCATCACGTAAAGACCAGGTTGTACATTTAATACTGCGACTACAAGAGAAGCTAGGTCAACAGGTGGACCACAAATTCTATCTCTTTAAGGTAAGAGCCATGAGACAATTTCTGATACTTGCTTTCAGTTATGTAAATACACAGAAACTAGAGGTTTTAAATGGCTGTTGGTTAAACTGTCCTGCTCTCAGGTCATTGTGAGAGCTGGCAGAAATGGAGCCAAAGCAGGGTTGCTGAGAAAGGAGGAGATATCAGCCTGCTTATGCTGCAGTAGACCCTCACGCAAGCCAGTGACCATGCTCTGTAGCCATGGAATGTTATGGGGGGATAATAGAAACTAGGTTGTAGGGATGGAATGGAGTATTCTGGAGGAGGGCAGGGCTGGCTGGCACCCTTTTAAGGATACACAGCAACATTTCATTGCAGGTTTTAGTTGTTTATTTGAATATGGACTCTAAGGATCATGTTTGAGTATACTGAAGCAGCTTATGAGTGAGGAACGTGGTTATTTACATGTTGGTGTTTCCTGTGTTTGGATAAGCAGGCCTGAGCTGGTTGTGTCCCACTTCCCCAGAGAATGCCAGTTAGCAATGTATTGTGGCTTGCCTCGAGTTCAATTTCTGCTGCTCCTGGCTGGCCGAAGAAGCAGGTTTATCAAGCTCCTAGTGGAACACCATGCATGAATATGGGCTGCATTCAGGTTGGTGCCTCTCAGGTTGTGCAGCCCTAGTCCACAGACTCTGTAAAGGCGCAAGTAGAAGCAGGTGGTAACTTGTGAGTGGGGTGAAGGCAGTGGTGTCCTCCCAGTGGTGACAATAAACTTATTGGGCCATTTCGGCTAGTTTGGAGCTCTCCCAGCCTCACTGCCATTGCCCTGATGACTACAGCACTGCCACTGCCTCTGCACCCCATGAGCCACTGCTCAGGGGAAGATGTCACATGGAAGGCCAAGCCTGAGTGCAGTGGTTTTGGGCTTTTTATCTAATATTCTGTTCTGACAACAGATCACATGAATATATTAATTCTCACACAGTTCCAATTCTGTGACTGCAAGTTGTTTTTAACTGTTTTTATTATTGGATTTTAAATTGTTGCAACCCACCCTGAGACCTGCTGATGAAGGGCAGGTAATGCATTTAATAACAACCACAACTCCTGTGGGTGGTGGAATTGGAGGTGTTTTGTCTGTTGTCAGTTTCAGTAGCTTTTCCACAATCTGCAGTACCTTTTTCGGAGTGCCAGATGGCAGTGTTGAGTTACCTAACCAGCAAGTTAATTGCTGCTGATTTTCAGAAAGAGAATTTCAGCCAGAGCCTAGCCTCTCCAGGGAGCTCACTCATCACTCCCTTGGTTATCTCTGCTGAAAGAGACTGGCACCGGGAGCTGACCAATACATGAAAGTAGTCAAGCATGTTGGAAAATAAGTTGCAGTGCTTGATGCACATATCCTTGCTGCATTATGTGGTTAAGTGGCTGATTTACAATCAGCACAGACTCTCAGAAAGCCTGTATTTGTATGGGGGGTGGGTGGGAGGGAAATCATAGGAAGACTATATAAAGGGATGGTCTCTATGTAGAATAGCTGTGTGGGAAAAATTGATTTAAATATGAACCAGAGCTCTTACTGATGTCCCTTCCTCATCTGCATTTGATGTCAAAGGGTGTGGATAGATCTCTTAACAGCACACTACCTTCCATCTAGCAGCAAACATGAGGATCTTTGTTTCTTCTAGAGCGCCAGCTGACAGACAGTCTGTTGCTGAAATTTGGGGATCTGATGGTTTTAAAGAACAGCACAACACGGAACTCAAGCTGTTAGTCAATGTTTGGGAGAGGCTTTCTTTTTTGCTGATTCTTTCATGGCCCCCCTTTTCCCCAAGCAGTGAAAAGTGATCTGTATCCTTTGGCTAGCAATATAAGGCTGTTTTCTGCTTCTGAACAGGGTGCAGGATGCAGGGTGGGGTGGGGAATCTGTCATGAAGGTTGAGCTGCTCCATGCTGTAGACCAGTAAAAAGCTGTTTGTGGAAAAACAGCAGTGAGTTTGACTGTTGATGAAAATATGTCAAATTAGGTACACTCTCAAAACATCTCATGCATGCTTGAGAATATCTTGGTGCCCAGATCAACAGATCCAATGTTGGTGCAATCTGCTCTTGATAATATGTATAAGGAAGCGGTGTCTCTCACATTCTCTCACTATTTGTACTCGACTTTAAGAGTTTTTAAGTGCTTTCACACAGTTGGCCTAGAAATAGTTTTTCTTTCTAGTCGTTGTCTCAACACCAGCTTCTTGAATTATGGCTTATTTTTATTTTCGGAAAGGTGATTACACTGATGTAGTGTCATTGCAGTGCTCTACACTTTCACATTGTTAAATTGACTGCTATTTTGTTATTTTAAAAAAATAATAAGTTGAACTTGGCTGGTTCATGACCCCACAGATAGGCTACTACATAATTCCAAATCTATATCCCCTTCTTTTGTTTTGTCAAGATGGTTCAAAGTCAGGCGTTGTAGATAAATCTTTTAAGAGTTACACAGTACCTTCCACTAATTCACCTAGAGGCATGGATCCAGTTCTGACAGTTGAGCTTTGAATATCTGAGATTGTAATATTATTGGGAGAAGGAATAATGGATATGTACAGTTAATTACTCAAAGATTTGTTACAAGAAAGTTACAGACAAAACTCACTTTACCTGAATTGTGACAAAGCAGGGATGAGGAATCCAGAGGAATCCATCAGTGTGCTTCTTTCCTTTGTACAGCATGCTACATTCTAGCCATGCAATACCAACAGGTTTCTGTTATCCACACATACATCTGTTAATCCTTCACCCAGGCAGACAAGAAGCACTATCTCAGCGAGGCAAAGTACCCAAGGAGGCTACAGATCAGGGCTGTTGATCAGGGGAAGGGGTGAGGCCTGGTGAGAGTCCTGAGGGTGAGATAGAAAGGTCTGGAGGGCTGCATTTGGCCCCCCAGGTCTGAGCGTTCCCATCCTTGTAATAAAGAGTGCTGCTGGTAGTGATTTTCTTGTGCAGTAATAAGAACTGTACAAATCTATTGAGCATGAGGAATAATTAGGGGTATGCAGTGTGTAATTGGAAAGAGGACTAGTGTTGCATTTCCACTTTATAGCACATTGCAGTTGCCAGCAACACCTCCTAAATGAAGACACAGAATTGGTGTAAACCTATACCTTTCTTTGCAGTTTCCTGGGTGATAAAGGTTTTTTTGTTGGTGGTGGTGTTCCCAGCTTAGTAGCAAGCTGTTGTAACATAACTTAATAGGGGTTTGAATGTGTCATGGATACAACACGCTGCTATAACATAAGGTTTTAATCCAAATGGGCCCAGTCTTTCCAAAGCCCCGCTAAGTTCAATAGGAAAAGTAAATGTATCCTTAAAACAACACTACTGAGATTAATGTGACTTAAAAGTGCTTAACTTTAGTTTAGCCGCTCCCATTGATTAAAATAATATTTAAGTATTTAGATTTGTGAAGGCAAATACCTAGGAATGTAAAGAAAATTATATTACCTTTATTTTCTAATTTCAGGTACTCCGGGCTCATATATTGCCACTGACTAATGTTGCCTTTAACAAATCAGGTTCTTGGTAAGTTTGGGTGTTTAAATTCAAACTATGCATGATCTACCAAGGCTTATCGAAATATAAACTGAATACTATATAGTATTTTACAGTCTATAATTTCCTCTGCTGATATTCTGGTTATTAAGATAATTAGTAGGATTGGAAATGCCAAAATCCAACATATTTAGTTAACAATTCTTATTTTGTAAAAGAAAATACAGCAAAATGACAGTGGAAAATGTAAGATATCTCTTGTTTTGCCTCCCTCCCCTTGTATTAAATCTCCAGTTGTTCTCCTTATACTCTTCTTGCCTGGTCTTTGATCCTTCATCAAATCAACTGAGAAAACTGAAAGGGGATGGGGAGCAGGGGAAATACGTAAATTACAACAAAAACCCAACATGTTTTTTAAAATATCATTAATTGAGAGGAACTTAGAAGCAGTAGAGTCAATTCACAAGAATTTGTATTTTTTCTGATCCCTCTGAGATGTTTTAGCAATGTAGTCAGCAGTGGCATAAATTGTGGGGTGAGGAATATGGAAGAAATGTTTCTTAAACCTTCCATTCTTCTTGTCCACTCTAGTTTTATCACTGGAAGCTATGACAGAACATGCAAACTTTGGGACACTGCTTCAGGAGAAGAGTTACGTTCTCTGGAAGGACATAGGAATGTGGTCTATGCAATTGCTTTCAATAATCCGTATGGGTATGCAACTTTTCAGAATCTTTGATCTTTAAAGCCCTAGATGGCCTCAGCACATTATTTCTTTGGTACTCTACATCCAAATCATTTTAATTCTTCTTTGTAAATCGTTTTTTACTTTCCCCTTGTACTCTGTTTCATTCTTTAAAATTTAGTGACAAGATTGCAACTGGATCATTTGACAAGACCTGCAAATTATGGAGTGTAGACACAGGAAAGTGCTATTACACCTTTAGGGGACACACAGCAGAAATAGTGAGTACAGGAGCTTTGGAATAATCATTACTACATATGGTACAATCAAATTCTTAAAAACCTCTTTAAAGTTAAGTGTTGTTTTCTCTGTTATTCTCAGTGAAACTATGCTAACAAGTACCACAATACATGCTACTATTCTCAAAAAAATCTGGGACGATAATTTGTACCTACTTAAGTGAATATATGGAGCAGTAGTAGCTCCATGTTTGTTGTAACATATTTTTCCTGATTCTGTGGCATTATCATTACAAGGTAGAATGGGCTCCTTTATTACTGTAATTACAATGGACATTGTCCCTCCACATGGTCTAATTGTGAGAGTAAAATTCCTTCCTGTATCCCAAGGAAAATATTCCAAGCAATCAAATGAGTGAATCTTTATTACCAGCTATGATCCTATGGCTGTCATGTTTTATTTTACAGGCCTATAAACAGTCAATGGGGCAATGACTAGAAACAGTTACTGTCATGCTCTAACATATTGTGACTGGGACCAGTACCTAGGAGAACAGAAAATCCAAGAATTTCTTATAAAGGTTTTCCTTCTCTCTTTTTTCCTAACAGGTTTGCTTGTCATTTAATCTTCAAAGTACATTGGTTGCTACTGGAAGTATGGATACCACAGCTAAATTATGGGACATACAGACTGGAGAAGAAGTAGTCAGATTAACAGTGGGTTGCAGCTCTTATTAGTGATGACTTGGGTGTTTTTTTGTGAAATTGCTATTAAAAGAGCAGTTCTTAATTAAAAGAGCAGTTCTTAATTATCATTTGCAAAAGTCAGAGATGAGAATTTATTCAGAACTCTTAGCATATGTAGCTAAATAATGCATTAAGCAAACATAAAGGAAGACTGAAAGCTGTGATACTAATTAAAAACCATTAAATCTTAAGTGCAGAGCAATCCTGTGCATATTTATTTGGAAAACCTACTGTGTTCCGCGGGGCTCCCTCCCAGCTAAGTGTGAATAGGATTGCAGCCTAAATAACATATGTTTTCCAAATTCTGTGGCTTTACTACTACAAGGTAGAATGACCTGCTTTATTAATTAAAATGAACTGGTAATATTCTTTGAAACCTCTCCTGCACTCAAAGGCACTGTGTAATTGCTTTCAGATCTATTATTACCTGGGATTATAAATAAAGGGGTTATAATATACCCTGTAAGATTGAAGAGAGCTCTCTTAATAATATCACAAATACATGTAGACAGGTATTGCTATTGGCTGCTTCACAGTTTTTAAAAATCTGCACAAACTTTGGATGATGGTGTAATTCTATCCCTGCAAGATGCTCAATTTTTAAAATTTCATTTTTCTTCTGCCTTTCCTCTCAGGAGGTCAGGGAAATATTTAAAAATATATAACAATTTTGTAAGGTAGGCTAGTGTTGAGAGACAGTAACTGACCCAGGGTCACTGAGTGAGATTCATGATTTGAATATGACGATTTGAACCCAGATATCAGTGTTATTTAATTAACCTTCCCACAAAGAAATCAGAATGAATGCTCAGTATAATAGCTGACTGTCTAACCTCCATGAAAGCAACTGAGACTGAATGCTCAATAAGCAGGTTGTCTAAAAGTGACCCAGGACCTTTTATTACATGATACTTTGCCCATCCAGACTGGGATTTTCTATGTTCTTTTTTGAATCTTTGGGGGGGGGGAGGTTTTTTGAATAAAACATAAAGTTGTATGTTTACAGACAACTGGAAGGACTTTTTTTCCAGGATCACTTTCCATAAAATAATAGTAACAAAGAAAACTAAACACAGAATCATTAAAGTTTGTACATCTTTATAAATCCTAGATCAGGCATAGGCAAACTCGGCCCTCCAGATGTTTTGGGACTACAACTCCCATCATCCCTAGCTAACAGGACCAGCGGTCAAGGATGATAGGAGTTGTAGTCCCAAAATATATGGAGGGCCGAGTTTGCCTATGCCTGTCCTAGATTATTTCTACATAAAGATCTTTGTTTAAACTTTAAACCTTCTTTTTATAACTTCAGGGGCACTCTGCAGAGATTATTGCATTATCATTTAATACTACAGGAGACAGGATCATCACTGGTTCCTTTGACCATACAGTTGCAGTGTGGGATGTTGGCACGGGCAGGTACTATTTTAAATCTTGTTTTATTTCATACTTTACAGAACTCTTAAAATTATTCTGTACAGGCTCTAGAGTTGTTCAAATTATAAATCTGCCTTTATTTGTTCGTATTTAGTACATTTCAAGCAACAATAAGCTTCTAGAAACCAGGAAGATGAAAACTAGGCATATTGTTTCTCTGCAATTCTCCCTAGCAACAGTTCAAAGTTCCATCTGCCAGAGAGCTAAGATAATAGTGTGGCAAGTTATGTAGCATATTATAGCAGAGCAGTGAAGGATATATATTGTGATATTAATCTTAGACCTTTGTTTCTTCACCTGGGAGGCTTGCATTGAATAATCATGGCATGAGCTTTCTTATATTGAATTAGACCAATGGTCCATCAAACCCAAATATGACTAGCAGGTGCTATTCAAGGTCTGCAAAGAGACCTCCCCTAGCTTTCATGGGAAACTATGGACCTATTCAGTATCATGAAACTAATGCATCTGAATAACATTTTGTCAAATTGATACAGTGGAAACAATAAAAGCCTTATGATGATCAGCATTATGATGATAACATTCATTTCCCATCTTAAGTTATCGCTGAAGGGTCAATATAATTAATTTGTCAATAAGTAATTTCGTTGTCCCCGAAGGGGGCAATGACAATAAAGATATTATTATTATTATTATTATTATTATTATTATTATTATTATAAATACATGATATGAATTAAATAGTGTAATTGGTTTGTGAATATTAATATAATTTTTTTTAAAATTACCACAAGCAAATAGGATTTTTTCCCCCTTCAGAATATTTGCTTTTGTGATGTTTTCATTTGGTGCAACCATTAATTAAGGTGTCTCTATGTTGCTCAGTCCCAGCTCCTGCCAACCTAGTAGTTCGAAAGCACGTCAAAGTGCAAGTAGATAAATAGGTACTGCTCCGGCAGGAAGGTAAACAGCATTTCCATGCGCTGCTCTGGTTCGCCAGAAGCGGTTTAGTCATGCTGGCCACATGACCCGGAAGCTGTCTGTGGACAAACGCCGGCTCCCTCGGCCTGTAAAGCGAGATGAGCGCTGCAACCTCAGAGTCGTTCGCGACTGAACTTAACAGTTAGGGGTCCCTTTACCCTTTACCTTTATGTGCAGTCTAAGAAGGACCACAAGTTACACATATTATATAAGGGAACACCCATAAATGGTTGTATAGGTTATAAAGCACTGAACCATAGGAAACACATGAATACACATGTTAAAGATTGATTGTGTACAGACACAAACACAAAAACACGGATGCATGAGTGAGTGGTATGACTGCAGTGGTATTCATTAATGGTTTCTTGAATTGCAGTGATGACTATTCTGTGACCCCAAAAACACACTGATTTACATTCTCTGCAGTATACATACTCATTAAGGTTTTCTAGGGTTTAACTTATAGGATCTAAAATGATCATTGACAACTAATTTTCACACTTTCTTCAAAGTGAAATATATATTAGCCTGCCCTCAGTGGGTCTGGTAGATGGAACTGCCCACCTGTGAATCACCTGGCATCAAAATGATGTCAGGTGAAGCATTTTACTTTGCCCATGTGGCTTCAAAACTCTCTTTAATGTATTTATATGGAGAACTATATAGCAAGCTATAAAACCAGCACCCTAGAGTTCTTTTGTGCTGTAGCAACAGCTTGGCATCTGTCTGTCTCGGAGACAAAGGAGAAGTGTTCCTTTGTGGGTAAAGTCAGTTTGTTGGAAGGTTGCAGCGCCTGCTGTAGCTGTAGAAACAGGAGAGACCCGTTTTTGTTGCCGCTGGGGTAGATGAAGGTGTCTGGTTGTGCTGATGCAGATGCACCACCTCGTTTTTTCTCTCTGCACTCCTCCCAGCAGTCATTCCTCCTCTGCTCACTGCTATGGGTACCCAACCTCAGTGTCTGTCTCATCATCTGCAAGGAGTTCCCACACAGCGGAGCTGATGCTCTCATCCTTCATGTGACATTTGAAGACATCTTTGTAATGCAGAATTGCTCTGCCAACAGGATTGAACTATTATTGCCCTGTGACTTTATATGTTCTGCCTGTGTAATTGTCCACTCTTGATTATCTATGAGATAACTAGTAATACTTGAATTAGACTTTTTGCCTTGTGCAGCTGAATTGTATCTAGGTTGAAAAATACTATTTCTAAACATGCAGTGGATAGGTGCTAGGGAGTCATAACCAGCTGAGACTCCCAGATGTGTATCCACCATGTGTCCTTGTGTATTATATGGGAACAAATGTGCACTGGATAATTTTCTCATGCTAATTCTAGTTACAGTAGTTGGCATCAGAAAATTTCTAGTTTGCATTGGAAAATCCTCCGATGCCCTAGAGAGTGATCTAATTTTGCATGCTTATTTTACTTGTGTTTAGTAACCAAATGCAAAGCTTTGAAACTGTCAACTGCCTAATATTGTATTTGCAGTTGGAATCCAATCACTTACAAACATTTTTTGTGTGTGTATGTGTGGAAAGTTTAAGCACTTGAAAAAAATTCTTAACAAATTCCACAGAAAATTGTGTTAATCAGATCTGAGGCTTCTGAAGATTTACGTAGACTTGCACGTGTAGGTCAAATTGTAATACGAAGGCTGCAATCCTATGTATATTTATTTGGGAGGACACCTCATTGAACTGTGACTTTTATTGCTGAGTAAGCATGCATAGGATTGCACTGCAAATGACTGGGGAAACATTAAAGATTTAACCTGCAGCATTTTGTCTATTTCTTTTTATAGATGCCCCTTTGCATAATACATTTCTATTTGAATCAACCACATAACATGTTTTTTATTCTTTCCTGGCAGGAGGATGCATACTTTAATAGGCCATCGTGCGGAAATAAGTAGTGCACAGTTCAACTGGGACTGCACTCTTATAATCACTGGATCAATGGATAAAACATGCATGGTAAGATAGTTGGAGCCCTATTAATCTGATTTATTGCTCTCAGTAGTATACAAAAAATAATCATAGTATTGACTAATCCATACATTTGTGGGTCTGAATCCAGGAACACATTCTTCTTGGCCTGCATGAAGAAGTGTGGGGAAAATTAGCTTTTCTCCCAGAGCAGGTACAGAATAAAGGTGTAGGTTTACTCTTACTTCTCTTTAAAATAATAGACAAAGGGCATGTACACACTGCCTGATAATATGCATTCAGTGCTGGATTCAGAAAACCAAAATATTTCATTTGGAACAAAAACAAATTAAAATTAGTTAATTGTGATCCACTTTGCCTAAACCAAAACAATCTCAACTCACCAGGCTCTTAGCAGGATTCCTTGTTCACAAGTAGGCCTTTCTTCCTTGAAGCTTTCCTCTCAAACTCTCCAGAATCTCTGTGTATCACCTGTGTATCATCTGCTTGGTGAACCCACCTCTTGGCTATCCACCTGCTTATATAGCTTCTCCCTGTCTGTCATTTGATTCCCTCCAGAGGCTGCAGGAACAAGGAAGCTGGGAGCTTTTAATTTTCCCACCCCTAGAGACAGGTGTGCAGTTAGTCACATCAGCAATGGTGGACCCTATGCCTTGATAGTTTATTAGTCCTGGGGCACCGGCTAAGACTCCACATTAACCCTATACTTCCCAAATGAGCAGACAGATAAAAAGATGCATTCCTCTTTTATAGACAAACAGTCCAGGACAGTAAAGTCCAATTCCTTTACATTCCGTCTTTCTTTAAAAAGGCCCAAAGTTTATCCCTAAAAATGCCCCGCCAGTTCATTTGCAATATCACACTTCAAAAGAAAGAAATACATAAAATAAGAGGAACACTATAGGCTAGCCTGGTTTAGGGAAGAAACACCAACATTTATTGACTTCTGGGGAGTTCTTTTCTTTTTTCTTTTATTTTCTAGCCTTTATTGGCATTAAGAGTTGAATCTGAATCAGCTGCTAGCATGGAAATGAATTCCAGGAGATATCTGGCTTGTGCTGGTAACACGTCAAGCAAAATATTTGTTAACCTTGCTTTCTGCCAAATCTGTGTGCTCATACGAAAGAACAAATAGTGATTGACTAGCTACACAGGCCGCAAGCAGTTCAGTCAAATAAATAAAGAAGCTGATTTGGGTTCCCTGTCATTATTTGCCTGCAATTTTGCTTTCTGTCCACGTTGCAGTTGTGGAACGCACTGACTGGCAAGCGTGTGGCAACATTAACAGGCCATGATGATGAAGTATTAGACGTTTGCTTTGATTACACTGGCCAGCGTATTGCAACTGCCTCAGCTGATGGTAGGTGAAATTGATTTTTTTTATTAAAATGTCTTCATCCCGTGTCAGCTGATTTGAAGAGCATCTCTTGAGGGGTAACATGGCAACTCCCAGTAACTCCTTCTGTGCATCATGGATGACTCCACATGAGGGCAAAGAAAGAATCCTCTAAGAGAGGAACTCTGGTGAGGTGAGTGCATGTTCTGGAAACTGGCTAAGTTTTCTAATACAGCCAATCTTATGGAAAACCTCCATAATAGGACCAAGGAACGATTATATCCATATAGTGAGCCATTTTTTACGAGTTATGTGATGTGCTCTTTGGCAGCTTTCTCACAGGGCTGTGATATTTAACTCAGTCTTCTGCCCCAAGCTATCTCCTATATCGGATCAGTCTAACGAGTCTAGAAGCTTCCAAACCATTTTCATATGAGTGCCGCCTTCTCATAAGACCATGCAGTTTTAACCTGCTTTCAGTGACCACCACAGAACATCAAAAGTTTATAGTGAAAGAGTATGCATGGCAACTGTATGTACTCCCATATAGGGATGGGAACAAATTCAGTTTACATTTCAAGGCAAACCCACCTAATTTGTACTTTCCCAGACAATACAAGAATGTAAAAACAACCATCTTTCAAAATTTGAAGTCTGAATTTTGCTGTCCGATCAAAAATGCACATACTAAAGTGTACATATAAAACATATTTTGTTGATTACGTTATATTAGTGAATATATTTTTGCAAAAATGCATTATATTAGGGGAAATTGTATACAAAAATGTGTATATTAGGCTATATTTGGAAAGGCTGATGAATTTTCATGAGAACTTTAAAAAAATCTGCCAACTGATACTGAAATGTTGAGAATTGTACTTGAGATTTGAAAAATGAGAAACTTAAGGGAAACCAAAATTGACAGATTCAACCATCCCTTCTCTAAATCAGTGGGCTTTGAGTTGCAGCCAGTCATTTCTAACATTTGCCTTCTCTGGTTCTTGACAAAATTGCAGATGCGTCAACAGATAAATGCCTATACTAAACGCATGATTATTTTGTTTGTTTTCTACTGAAGGATCAGCAAGAGTTTATGATGCAGAAACAAAAAAATGTATATCAAAACTTGAAGGCCATGGAGGAGAAATTTCAAAGGTGACTGTTGTTTTATTTCTCTGTGCTGCTGCCCTGAGTAGAATGTTGTTCTAAATTACAGTTAGCTTTGGCCATTTTGCTTGTTTGTATGATCTCTCGCTTCCTGGGTATGAACCAGGAAAGCAACTTCTCTCCCTTGCTGTTTCTTATAGTGCTTTATCACTTTATGTCTCCAGTGTCTTAGGAAAGTACAGAGGTTAGTATTCTGTTATAAAAGCTGCTAATTGAAAAACATTCTTGCAGTTTGAGTGAACAATCCTGCAAGTACATACCACTGCCCAGTGGGACTTACTCCTGAATAACTGGAGGTGGGATGTCAGCCTTTGAGATTTATGTGAGATTTGTGAGGGCGTTCAGGTTATCTATTAACTTGAATAGAAAGATTTTTTTGGTGAAACTGGGTGATACTCTACTGCTACCCTCCTTTCCTAGAATTTTAAGTACAGTTGCATTAAATACCAGCATGAGTCTGACCAAACTGCGGGAGGCAGTGGAAGACAGGAGTGCCTGGCGTGCTCTGGCCCATGGGATCACGAAGGGTCGGACACAACTAAATGACTAAACAACAAACAACAGCATTAAATAAGACTGTATCTCTGTGTTGGGCTTTTCCAGCTGCAATTTTTAGTGTGGTTTTTCATGCATGTTTCATATGGTAATGTACATGATAAGAAAGCTACAGTCTAAACTACACCTCTCTTACATCCTTGGATGATGCACCTTTATAGTAACCAGAAGCAACAGAATGTAGGCCTACTTTTAATAGTGCTATAAAAAGGGAATTTGGGCAGCACAGGAAGATCAGCTTTTAAATTATCTATATTATATATGCTGAACAGAATCTTTCCTCAGGCCAGTTTAACCTTGAAAGTAAAAAAAAATTGAAAATATTTGCATAAATGTATATATACGTTAAGGGACGCGGGTGGTGCTGTGGGTAAAACCTCAGCGCCTAGGACTTGCTGATCAGAAGGTCGGCGGTTCGAATCCCCGCGGCGGGGTGCGCTCCCATCCTTCAGTCCCAGCTCCCGCCAACCTAGCAGTTCGAAAGCACCCCCGGGTGCAAGTAGATAAATAGGGACCGCTTACCAGCGGGAAGGTAAACGGCGTTCCGTGTGCTGCGCTGGCTCGCCAGATGCAGCTTGTCGCACTGGCCACGTGACCCGGAAGTGTCTGCGGACAGCGCTGGCTCCCGGCCTATAGAGTGAGATGAGCGCACAACCCTAGAGTCTGTCAAGACTGGCCCGTACGGGCAGGGGTACCTTTTTATATATATGTTAGAGACAGATGCTTAGGTTGTTCTTAAATCCATACTGCATGAGCAAGATGAAGGCAGACCATACATATGTTTCCTGATTTATGGCAGTGTTGTTGGCTAGATACTCTGTTTTGTCATTTAATTTTTGGAGAGCAGTGACAGGTTCAGTATCTGTTTGGATGATTAAAGGAAATATTAGTGTCTGTGTGATGAAATTTGGCAGCACTGTGATATGATGAATCTAATATAGCAAGGATAAAATTGTATTTGCAGATTAAAATTTCCAATTTCTTTTTTAGTTCCAAAAGCTTAAAGAGTAGTAGTAATTATAGTTATTTTACATAAAATAAATAAACATTGTAGACTCAATAAGAAAGGAAGAATTGCTACTGATTCTATAGCTTTTTTAAAAAGCAGAAAGCTATTCAAACAGAATATAAAACGGTTTCCATGTAAGGTTTTGGAATGCCTGTCTTTGGATTTTGCTTCCTTCTTTGAAAAGTTATTTTTATGAGTTTCCTAAGGAAATAACTGTTCTACATCCCACAATTTTATATGTACTTCATTAATGTTTCCCATTTGCTGTGCACATATGAAATGACAAATGTCACGATTCAGCTATCAGATGTGTCCCTAAGTTGAGAGGCAGCAATAGGTAAAGGTTAAAGGACTGCTGTCAAGAATCGGTTTATGTGGCTCATGAATCTATGCACTAAAGAGATGCACTAAGGCCTTTGGAGGACTGCAAGGAGCCTCCAGAGTAACACTTAGGTTTAAACTGACCTATTTGGTAAAGGAGAGAAAAGGGCAGAAATTATTGAATAAAGGTGCAGGTGGATGAGAAAGAATTTTAAATTTTTGGAATGTTGATTTCAAACATGAGGCTAGTCGCTAACTGAATATTAACGTCACAATTATATTTGGCTACTGAACTCCTCATTGCATATGTGACTGTAATTCATTATTCTCTCCATTGCTCACTTGGTGCCTTCACTGCATATCTTTAGGCTCCAAGCAAAATGTTTCTCTATAAGCAGACCTTTGGCTGAATATTCTATGGCCTTTTAAATGTGTTTGTGGGAGGGGGGCTATTGGTTTGTTTTTGTTTCCGTTTTTATCATGTATTTTGTGTTTTCATCTAGTATTTTTGTGTTGTGAACTGTCCTGTGATTTTCAGATGAAGGGCGGTATACAAATTTGATAAATAAATCCTAAATAATCCCAGAGTTATTATTTTGAGGTGGCAATTCCTTCCTACCTGAGCAAGATCCTTGATTACTGTCTTGGATCACTTTAAGTCATTGTGCTGGCTTGTGGAACTGGGAATGTTTCATAAGTTACTGTTTACCGTATTTTTCGCTCTATAGGATGCACTTTTTCCCCTCCAAAAATGAAGGGGAAATGTGTGTGCGTCCTATGGAGCGAATGCAGGCTTTCGCTGAAGCCTGGAGAGTGAGAGGGGTCGGTGCACACCGACCCCTCTCACTCTCCAGGCTTCAGGCAGCTATCCACAAGCCTTCGGAGCCCGGCGGGAGTTCCTGCCGGGCTTAGAAGGCTTGCGGATAGCAGCAAGCTCCGGGAGCAAAGGCAAGGTTGCGTGCAACCTCGCCTTCGCTCCCGGACCTGTTCTGGGGGCTGGGGTCGGGGGAAGCTCAGGCTTCCCCCGCCCCCAGCCCCACGGCTAAAAACGAAGCCAAGACAGCCAGCGGGATGGATCCCGCTCGCTGTCTTGGCTTCTTTGCTCTTTGGGGCTGGGGGTGGGGTGAAATAAATATTTTTTCCTTTATTTCCCCCCCCTAAAAACTAGGTGCGCCCTATAATCCAGTACGCCCTATGGAGTGAAAAATACGGTAGTTCTCAGAAATGTAATCCCAAATATAAAATATGGTACAGCAAGTGTTGTAATTTTTGAAAGGCTCTTGTTTAGCATTAAAACCAGAATTTATTCACAGAAGCCACCCATGATTGAGCCACTTTGTGAATATTTGTCTACTTGGAATCAAGTACTTCACAGGATAATGTGTGACATGACCCTTGTTTTAAGACGAAAGACAGAAAAGCTCTTTGCTTTGGAGGGTTTATTATTGATCAGCCCACTCCAGCCTCTGAATCTACCCCTGTAGATAGAAACTGGAAGACAAAATATATTCAGGGGCTGTTGTCTCAGACTTCAAACCTGCGTGAACCATGGTGGACAAACTTTAAGATAATCAATGACACTTCCTTGCCTCTTTAAAAACTAATTCTTGTTTCTTTGTTTTTAAAAGATCTGTTTCAATCCTCAAGGCAGTCGTATTCTTACAGCCAGCTCAGATAAGACAGCTCGGCTTTGGGAGCCTCAGACAGGACAGTGCATTCAAATACTAGAAGGCCACACTGATGAAATATTTTCGTGTGCTTTCAATTACAAGGGCAATATAATCATTACAGGTAACTAACAGCTATATTGAAAATTGTCCTTCTACTTGTTTACGCTAAAGTGATGTCAAATAAGGACAGTTTCCTGGTTTCTGTTGTCATACCTCATTCAGTCCAGTTCCGTTGAAAATTTGGATCAAACAGTTATTTCTGTGGCATATTGCTTTTCCACACTAGTTGAATTGTTTCAAAACGGGGTGCTGGCCTAGAGAAGTTGGTTAAGTAAGTAGGGTGGGGTGGGGGAATGGGACAGCCATTGGAACAAGAAATTTCAACAAATAGATATGGCTCCGCTCTTTAAACTTTTCACTGGGAGGATGCATTAAGGCAACCTGCAAATTTGAACAGCTAAATACATTTTCCTGTGCTATATACATTTTATTTGCTAGTATTTCATTGATTCCGGTGGTGCTTTCCTCTTTCATCAGTGGAGGTGTTTTTCCAACATTGCAATAAGAGGGGAATGGGGGCATACCAGCATTACTAAGGCAATTGTAATCCTAGAGCCAAATTTAAGATGCCTTTTCTACAGCATTTCAACACAACTAGTTTAGAATTTGTACAAGAGTTAGGTTGGCAATTCTTAGATGGTGGCCTCGGATTCACCCCAAGATACTGATATGTGGGTTGCAATCTGTGTTGGCACCTTTTTTCTGATAGAAGCTCTATGTCTTTAACAACAACATTGCAGACAAATATTCATGGGATGCACAGAGATTTAGTGATGAGAAAAGGTGCACCTTTTGAATGTGTATGCCTGTTGGGTTCCTGTTAAAAGCCCAGAACACATGAAACTGCCTTATGCTCAGTAGTTCTGTCTTTTCTGAAACTAAGTGCCTCTCCAAGATCTCAAGCGTGGAAATTTCTCAGCCTTCCTACCTGAGATTTTTTTTGATCTAGAGATATTTGGGCTTCAACTTGGGAAGTTCTATATACAAAGCTTGTGTTGTCTCATTCTTTTGAAGGAGAGAAGTTTGCAAAGTGTCCTTTGCTAAACTCTAATTCATTCAACTGCGTCAGAGTTGGAAGACAAGATTGCCAATGAATTTGAGAGCAAGAGGTGTATTTGAAATATCTCCTGCCCCAAATAACAGGAAGCTGTAGTTTTATATTATAGATATATGAATGACGTTTGAAATGTTAATCTATTACTTTTCTTTCTAGGTAGCAAGGATAATACATGTAGGATATGGCGCTAATTGAGGACAATCTCTGACCCGACTTCCCAGTGGCTTTTATATGAGGAGCTTATTATACAGGCAATAACTACTAAGCCCTTCAAAAACCTGTTTTCTGCTTTTGCCTTTTTAAAAATGTTACTGAAGTAGACTTATTTCCTGGACTCGTGAAATTAGCAATGTTAGCTAGTTATGTGATAGGTTCTACTCTAATAGCATTGATATATGTGTTAGTGACTTAGTTGCGACAAGTGGCATTGTTTTCTTTGTAATGGTTTTTAGGCCGGTTGGGTGGGGAAAAGGGGGAGGGAAGCACCGTGATCTTATTAGCAATGCATTGCCTTACTTGAATGCCTCTCACATTTGGTTGGATGATTTTTACTATGCTTAATTTTTATTTAATAAAAATATTTAAAACACTATAAAAGTCCAGTTCTTTATGTAGTGTTAACAGTTGAGCATATATTAAAACTCTCTGTTCAAGTATTCTCTGAAACCTCTGAAGAAAGTGCTTATTAAAACTTTAAAAAAAAATAAATCTGCCATATAGCTCTATATTTACTCATCAAATTAAAAAAAAAACTTATTACATATTGGATTTATAGTCTCTTCCATCTTGAAGCCTTAGAGTGACTAACAATATATTTAAAAACTGTATCTGAAATGCAATATTAATCTTCAGCGTAAATCACTTAGTTCCTAAACTTCAGGCCACACACTACGAAGCAGCATAATGGATGGTAGTGGGTATGCACCAAACATTTGGTAAATGTTTTTCTCAACTGCTACAAAGGATGCTTCACTTTTTAACCTTTTCCTTTGTGCTATATGAATAAAAATATTATATATTATCTAGGTTCTGGAGTGTAAAACACTTTATGGGTTCATGCATTTAGCTTGGGAGTGGTACTATTGTGTCATGGTGGGGAAGTTGCAAAAGTCCTACCCCTCCCTTGTGAACTGAGTGCCCAATCTCAAGCCTGGCTCATGTGATCTGCCACTTTGAGCAGGAATGATTACATGAAAATTGGGCCTCAATAAGAGGTCTGTCTGGCCCACACTGGAGAAGTAGCTTGCACCATAGAGGAGAGGGGCTCACACCTTTTTAATCAAGCCTTTGCGAATGTATGAACCATGATTTGTTGATGTTTAGTTTACAGCTTTTCATCTTGTCGTTTCACATCCATTTTCTTTTTTTCTCCAATCCCATTTGTCCTCTTAATTGCAGTAAGTGATTAAAGTGATTTGCCTCAGCATGTGTGTATACCTGAATATCCAGATGCTGCTTTGGTACTGGCATGAAATCTAGCTTCCCAGTGTTTTTGAATTCCTAGTGTTCCCAGTATGAGAACCTATTTGCTGTGTTGCCCTGAAAATGTCAACTGAACTGAAATATAATCTAGCCTGACTTCCCTGTTCAGCTTTATCCTAAGGAGTCTCTGATATTATGCATGGTTTACCTCCCATGAAGCCTGTGGAAGTGCTAGGTGTGATCTGCTATGAAGCAAAGCACTGGTATTTGCTACAGAGCAACGCACAATACCTTTAGGCTCTGGAAAGTGTAGCTTTGTTTTTCAGAAATATGCAGATACTTTTCCCGAGAAAGAAAACTTTTGTTGCAGACTTCACAATATTTTGAAGCTATTGGCATTTACAGTATTTAAGCCCCCCTGTTGGAGGCGAGGTAACCTTTAACTCAGGGTTACATTGCTAGAGCCTCAGACATGTGTTTTGGTGAAACCCCCTTTTTGATAGTTCTCTTCTGATCCAGCTCTACTTGCACTTTGTTATGTGTACCTGTTATTCTGGATCAGAAATGTTACCTCCTCTAACTCAGATGCACCTATTAACTTGAGTTGGGCCAGATCAGCATTGTGAGGTGCAGCTGCATTAGCAGTGATGGCTTAGAATGTCAATACCTTAAAGAGGTCCATAAAGTGTAGTCCACCAACAACATACTATGGGGTGTTTAATAACTCTTTGAGTTTGCTGCCCCACATAAAACAGGCTTATTAAACCCCTAATGCAGGAGTTTGGAAGTCACTGAACTAAGTCTCCCATCAGTGGCAGCCAGTATGGCTAGTGGTCATGGAAGATGCAGTACAATAACACCTAAGGGCTACAAATTAGCCTCCCCTGGGTAAGCTGCTATGTTTGGTGGGCCTGTTGAGACACAAGCTGTGCAGTTTTGATCTAGAATTATATGGATTTAATTTTATATAAAAATTAATTGATATTTCACTATTCTTGTAAAAAAGAAAAAACTTCAAATGCTCCCCGCTTCCCTCTTTAAAAGCTTGTTTGTCTATCCTTTTAAGATTAAAACTCCAAGAGCAGTTCAGTATTTCTTTGGCTTCCAATTCAGATGAAGGCATACATCAGAAATAGTCTTTTGGGATACATTTTTGAACGTACATGTCTCCCTATTTGATCCACACATTAAGAATTCTGGTCTCATAGCCTGCTCCTGCTAAATGTTGAGATATTTGTGCTTTGGAGTATGTATTTTTAGCGGCCTTCCATCAATCTTCAAGCTACAGGTGACCAGCTACTTTGAAAACTGAAGCCTTTAGGGTATGTTGGCATTCCAATTCCATGTACTCCCTTCAGCTTGTACCAAATGCATTTCACAGCAATTCAGAACTTTTGTAAAATACCTTTTTGTCTGATGTCACACACTGATCCTTTTTCTTGCTGAGCTGCTATATGAAAATACTTTATGTCCTCTCTACTGTGTAGAAAGGCTAATTCAAAATTAGGTTTTACAAAGGCAAAGAGGACACAGACTGTTAACATAAATTTATTTCAAGTCAGGCTGCAATACTAAAAAGTAGCATACAGAAAGGAATTGCATCACACTTTCACATGTTAGCTATGTTATTTGTGCTTGTAAACATTTATTCTACCACCGCAAAACGTCTGTGTAACACAACTAACTGGAATTGGACTAAAAATAAATAACCTTTCCAACAGTATAATTTCAATCTATAATGCTCCATAACTTTACTACAGTTTTCTGAGAGGTACTGAGTGCACACTGGTCTTGAGAAGCTTTTTGGATTGTGGCACATCTCCAGAGTGGACCCAGGTGCTGTTCAGCCAAAGCTAGTGCTTGCAGTATAAATTGGCCTTTCTATTATTAACCACGACCTTTACTCCTCTACATGTATTGTGGAGTAACTATATAGTCAGCAAAGTCGCTTGAACACTTAGATTAATATGCTGGCAAATGTCACCTTTGCGAAAGAACAGGCATGGATGGAAGTGGATTTAACAGAAGCAGTGGTGACAATTATGGCTCTTAATAATTTTATTTAGAAGTACTGCAAAAATAGTGTAAAAAGATAATTTACTTTTGGACACATTACAGAATCATATACTATCTTAATGAAAATAAGAGATGTCTTTCATAGTCTTCAGGAACATACAGGCAGAATCTGTATATGGCCAAATGATTGAAATTCTGTTTTCCAAAAAAGCAAATGACAGAATTGCTGCTTTGCAAAGATGCTAGTAAAGGATATTAACAATTTGAAATAGAGATATTTAGTGGGTAATGAGCTGAAGATTTTTATTGCAACACAGTTCCCTTTCCTGACTTTAAATTAAAAGCAGTCTTTTTGGCCAAAGCCAAAGAACGTTTTAAGTATGGGTGCAAAAACTACTAGTTATTTGAAAATTAGGGTATTGGGGATGTACACTGACAATCAGGCAAGTTTTTATGCAATAAAAAGATCACAGGCACCCCAAACATTTAACCTCATTAAAATTTTGGTTTTAAAGTGTTGATAATCACATGATTCCATCAGTATAAAAAGAATAATGAAAAAGGAGAAACTTGTTCTCAGAAGTGCCATCTAATACAATTCATCACAGCTCAGTATATTTTGGAGCCCAGGTTCTGTCAGAAGCGATCTTAAAACTTTCACATTCTGTAGAATAGTTGAGGCAGTTTGCACAAATATTCCTGCCTAATAGGCACCCCTTTTTCCTTGCTTTGGTGTTTCTCTCTTTAGGATAAAAAGCTTTCACAGTCACACCCTTTCTATGAGGGTACAGTCTATGAGGCTGGCCTAAGCTAAACCAATCTGAGTGCAGCAGTTAAGACCAAATGATTGTAAATCATGAGCACTTACTTGGAGTAAGGCTTGTTGAACTCAGTGGGACTTAGCATCTGAATAAATCTGCATAGCATCAATTTGTATAATTTGAGTAGTAAAGATGAATTCCTTTAAAAGCAACTGTTCATTCGCAGATTGCAACGAACTTTACAAAGGACGTGAATCACCATTCCAGGTAAAAGTAAGGGGAGGCTTAGAAATGCCAATACCTGCCCACAGTCTCACAGCGAGTTGCTAGTAAAGCTGTGTGTGGGACTCAAATCTGTTAATGAGCAGTCGAATATTAGCATTCACTGGAGCACAGAGCCTCTGAAAACTGCAGGGAAAGAACACAACACGATAAGGAGTTTTAAAGACCTGCATGAAAACCTGCCAACCTGAATTTTGTTCCTTTCAGCAGAACATATATGCCTGCCGAATGGCGAACGGCTTTTAAAAAGGAATTTCAACAGCTTGCGAATGTCGCTTCTTTGTGACACAGTTCAAGAGCTCAGGCTCCTCTTTCTATTCTTCTGGAGTAATTTGAAAACATAATTACACAGAATTCATTGAGAGGCACATCCTCCTACGTATTCGTTTGCCTCGCAATTCTGCAAACCGCTAGTGTAGTCAAACGACAAATACTAACCTCTCTTTCTCTCTCTCTTAAAAATGCCTTTGTTACTGTGTGATTTCACTGTCAGTCAATACACATAGCCGACAGAAATGTATGTATGTTTGATTACAGGAAACAGATATTGTTTTTTCCTCCGGTTTTCACAAATGTCAATTCAAAATGCGCACGCCCCTGTCCTCCAACGCAAGGTTCCCCATGTGATACAACTGTATACTCCGGGTCTTTCCTTTCCACCCACCAGTTTCTTTCCTGTGCACAGCTCTAAAACAGACCCATGGCAGAGTTTGTGCATTTCTGCTCAGTTCTATGTGCTGATGTTTTGAAAAAGAGGGCCACTCACAAATCACTGCCACTTAAAATGGATTAAAAATGAAAACAAGTGTAACAAGGTTTCTTATCCCAACTCGAGTAGCCAGTCAAACAGGCTCGGAGTCCGCTCTCTGCTTTCTTCATGGAGTTTGCAGAATTGTACCACGGCATGAAAGATATCGCCCACTTTCCAGGACTTCTCGTGGACAAGCTGCACAACATCTAAAAACTGGAAGGGGGGGGGGAAATGTTTACTCATAAGAGTTGGTTTCATCCAATTAGGTTCTCTCCTTTTCACTGTACCTATATGAATCCAGGAGGGCTGGCTCACACACTACTCTAATTGTTCATCACTCATTGACTACAGAATCAAGTGAGGACTTTTGTGTGTGAGAATGAGTCAGCTTAGTTGGTTAGAGCTGGTTGCTGATAATGCCAACGTTTCAGGTTTGCTCCCCATATGGACAGCTGCATATTCCTGCATTGTTGGGGATTGGGCTAGATGGCAGGGTCCCTTCCAACTCTATGATCCTGTGACCACAGGCCAATCATGTTTGATCTTTCCTGCCACCTCCACAGCAAAACCTCTGACTGGAATCAGTGACACACTCAGCTGTCGATCAAGTGACAAGTAAATAAGTAATGAGAAATCAATTGATACTTAAATGGTTGTATGAAGCAGTCCTGAGGGAAAAGCTTTGGTTTAAGAATAGGAGGCAAGCTATGTTTAGGAATTTACAATGCAAATAGTAAATACGGTGGTTTCTGCACAAAATGTTGCAGGGTGGAAGATCCCGTTCAGGTTACAAACTAGCATTGCTCTCCCGCTGGAAACTCCATTCCTCCTCCAATTCTGCCCACCCCCTTGCCCTGGCAAACAGTCAGAATTCCATGGTAACTGAGTACACGTCATTCTCATTAGCTGTCTTGGACTCCCCCCAGGAGTTTTTCCCTATTTTTTAAAAAACATTTCTTCCTTTTTAAGAGTAGTGCTTTTTGACTACTTGAGCAATAGCGCATGCACACCTGAACATGGGGAACAGAGGGAATGAGGAGTCTCAAATAAGAGTTCTTTTGTGCTCAGGCTGCCCCAGTGTTGGCAGCATACTTAGAATCTAATCCTCAAATTGTCACGCTTCCCGAGGAAGGTGAAGGGGGAGAGAGGCAGCCGATGTTATAGACATTTACTCCTCAGGCTCATTGTGTTGCATCGTTACATGAAAGAACACCCAATGGCAAACCTAGAGCACCAACTTGAAAATTTCCACTCAGGTAGTGGAGTGAGGTGGTTCAACAATGGGCAGACCAGAGGAATCTGTATTGCACCAGATCATCTGGTCGTATTCCCTACAGAAATGCCTCAAATTAGGCCTGAAGGAGAATGCCCCCACCCCTGTCCTCTCTCCAAGCACATTGCATTTTCTTTGTAGAAGGGGTCTGTACATGTGGTAGCTGGCCCACCAGCATCATCACTGAAGTCCCTTTCTGCCTGCCTGTGGCTACAAGAACTAGAGTTGTGTGTAGTAGTGCACCCGCCCTGTGGAACGCCTTCCCAGCAAATGTCAAAGAGAAAAACAACTACCAGACTTTTAGAAGACATCTGAAGGCAGTCCTATTTAGGGAAGCTTTTAATGTTCGACCGACTATTATATTTTAATATTTTGTTGGAAGCCGCCCAGAGTGGCTGGGGAAACCCAGCCAGATGGGCGGGGTATAAATAATAAATTATTATTATTATTATTATTATTATTATTATTAAGTACAGAGTATCCCATAAATCTTCAAGGGTCCCTCCAAACATTATTTTTTGTTGTGCATTCATGAGGATTTGTTCTCATGATGTTGCCAGGGTAGTTATGCACGATTCTGTTTTAAATATGCTTTGTGCCTACAGACATACTGCTCCATTTCCAATCAGGGCGGGTCCTGTAACTTCTTGCTGAACTCCTGGAAGTTTTTATACCACAAACGTTCCCGCTTATTTCCTCTCCCACTTTTGTTGTGCTGTAATGCAAGAGTGTCCTTCCAGATAACAATGATGCATTGTGGAAGCATCACAGAACAGCAAATAAAGCGGAATGTTATCCCGTATAAATCTGCCACTAATGCAACTCTTACTGTGTTAATGATGTGTTGCAGAATATATGTGCAAAAACATCCTAGTCTGAAGGGGTTCTAAAATGCCCAAAGCTCCTTGTCATTGGAAGTCAAATCTAGAAGGAACAATAATGCATTGATTTTACTGCATACCAATTGTGTGGTGGTGTGTATGTGTGTGTTTAAAAATCTTCCTTTAGATTTCCAAGCAGCTGGGGAAAAATATTATACTGTCTACTTTTGTGCTATGCTATTATTTGAAACGAAGAGCATCATCACACCACACACCCAGGCCCTTGGTTTGCAAATGGAAATTAGCGCTTTCTCCTTTTTATTTTTTATTTTACTTTTCACAATCAATATCTGATTAGGCTTCATCACTCTACTTTCAAAACAAGGGAGGAAATATATTGTGCCTCCGTAGCTAGCAGGACAATTTGCCATTTACATGTGGTCTTTTAAACTTAAGCACATATTTTAAAGATGTTCAACCAGGCTTGCTGTTTCCAAGGGCAGGCATTCAGGCAGGATGTGTTTCATCACTTTCTGGGGTGTTTTAGGAATTGGTTAAAGTATTTGCAGAGGCATATGGCAAAGCTGACAGCTGTTTCTATAATGGGACACAATTTCGGCAGTTGTTACTGAATGCAGCTTAAATTATTGCTGAAGATTCCCAAATATTTTGCCTTAGAAAATACTAAACAATGCCTCAGCTGTACCTAATACCAACTCTCTCTCACACACTTTTTTTTTTAAGATCCAGGGCTTGATTCTATGAGCTCTTGTCCTGACACAGCACCTCATAGGATCCAAGACAAGACCTTGTGCAGTACCTGCTCCATCCCTGTTGAAGGCAAGAGAGAACTCATATCTATTTAGACAAAACATTTGCATCCCATCTAATTTCACAAGCCAAGATGGCTTAAACTGAAGGTACCCAACATGGTACCCAGATGTCCTTAGATTACATATTCCATCACCCCTGACCATTGGTCATGCTGGCCAGGGCTTCTGGAGGGCACCACATTGATTGCCCTGCTAAACTCCTGCTATGCATCTCAGTGCTTGGGATACTAGAGCAAGCCTAGTTTACAGGGGCCTCTGTGCCCCACAACTGTGACTGCACAGGTTTTTGCGATACCTTAATGTAGCACAGAGTGGCATCCAAATTCTAAGGTCATTCCTGAATGGCTTTTCTGTCACAGGTTTGTATTTCATTATTCCCACCCAATAGTGAAGCTTAGTGGACGACCTTGGGCCAGTCACTGTCCCTATGCATACCCCATCTCAAAGGGTTGTTGGGAGGATAAATAGGGAGGGGGAGAATAATATATATCACCTTGACCTTTGTGCAGGCAAAGTGGGATATAAATGCAATAATAATAGATAAAAATACTAGAGGCGGGGCAGTATATTTAAAATGTTACTCTAATACCTATGACAAGAAAACATGATGGTCTTAGTTCTTCAAATACTGCCTGTCAGTGAGTGCTACCCCACATTTGCCATCATTTTTCTCCTGCAACAGAGATCCGTACCTTTTCAATTCTATTTTCCTGAGATTTCTTAAAATAGATCATGGGGATCCCAAGCTCTGATGCAGCGATCCACTGAAGGGTGGTACGCAATTCTGCGTCAGGGCACTCTGGTTCCAGGTCAAAGTTGATCACCAAGAGATCCTTTTGCCCATTGGCTGTTCCGGTGGATAAGCCAGAAGCGCATTCTGAGGAAAGAAGGCCACCATCATTTTCCCAGTGCTTGCAGGCAAAACAAAACGAGTTCCTACACCCTGTTTTACGACATACAACTTACCTTCTACCTTTTCTGGCATTTTGTTGTGGAATGTGTTTTCATCTACTAATTCGCTTAAGAAACAAAAAGAACAAGAAAAGATTATTGTATATAACTTTGCAACATGCCCTGACGTCCATTCATGAAAGCTGAAATGATTTCAGAGAGGGACCTGAGATGCTCCAGTTTGATTTCTACACTTAAAATGAACTTGCTTTTGGGGTACGTGTATCAGCATTCACACTAAGGGGTCTTTTATGTTTTTATCATTTGCTACCAAGGTATCAAACTCAAAGCCCTTTGAAACTCTGAAGTATCTTGTGAAATCTCATTCGTCACAGAGCCTTATAGACAGGAGGTTTAAGCATCAGTACTCAGTTTTAAGGCTATCAAGTTGATATTATTTCAGAAATTGTGTATCTACCCTCCCACTGTAAGCACTGTACTCAGGGTGACTTAAAATAAATTTTAGGAACACTGAGGATCAAAAATTCTATGGGGATCTTTCCCCCCAAAAGGAATTCTGGTTCCTTCCCTTTCAAAAATATCTACGCAGCTGCCAATCAAACCTGGAGCAAAACCAATGGGAACCTAAGAGGCAGGGCTGCACACCCAATCTGGTCAACTCCTGAACCGAATTGGGTCCACTCCAGATTGGCACAAGGCAGCTCCAGATTCTGTCTGAAACTCTGGAAGGCCATTGCCATCGTACCATGAAGCCATAATGGTGCTCTCCAAATGTTAGAGTACAATTTCTATCAGCCCCAGCTTGGGAGTGAACTTGGGATATTCTGCATGCAAATCATGTGCTGTGCCCCTGAACTATAGCTCATCTTATTCTGGGTTCACAGACCTTAGGGCAAGCTCACTAAAGTCTCTGCCACTGCCCAGAGCCCATAAGGAGGTCTGTCAGACCAGCCTTGCCCAATCCATTGGTCAGAGAAGCAACCTTGCGACCCACTCCCTGCCGGAAGGAAATTTCTGATTCAATGCCTAGTTCCCTGGGGCTGGGTGCCCAAAGGAAAGCACGTTCTGGCCCTGTCCATTAGCTAGAAAACTAAAGGTTGCTGGGCTGTGCATGTGCGTGAGATTTATAGTCATTCATATATATATATATATATATATATATATATATATATATATATATTACAACCTGTTGTAAATCATTTGAATGGAAGATGGGGTACAAACCTTCGAAATAAACACAAAAATGTGCTGCTCAAGCAGGGCCTGTGTTTGCTGTAGGCAGTTGTTTATATCAGAAAGAGACGGCTGCTTGCCAGAGATAGCAATTACTGAAACTGTAACTGAAACCGCTGGCTTCTAACATTTCAGGGGAGAAATTCACACCTTGCTTTTGCAACAGTATATTTAGAGAATGAGGGCAAAGTGCAGCTAATCTGCACTTTGGAGCACACTATGAAATTAAGTGTGAATGTGGTGGGCAACTGGAAAATGTGGACACCACTTTATGGAAATAATTGATCACCACTTAATGGAAATAACTAACTTTGTATTGTAACCATCGCTGATGGGAGTTAAAGCGGCAGCAAGAAAGGAGAGCAGCTGGATGAATAATGGAGGCACGGGAGCCGCTTGGCACATTCTGGATGATGTGAATGGTTTTCAGCTGAAATGGAGCAGTGCTTCCCAAGATCAGAGGTCACCTTAGCAGCTACTTACTTAATTGTATGAGAAGATGGCATGTTTTCCTGATAAATGTCCAGGTCCATAATGCCAAGACTGCTAGTGGTACTGCTGTTGCCATTGCTGACGATGCAAAAATTTAAGTATTAATGCCAGTCTGCACCAGCATGCACTTGAAGACATTGTTAAGCAAAGCGGCAGACAGAGCGGCTGCTTTTCTGCTTCTCAGAACAAGGGCACACAGTTCTTGCCTGACTCAGCAATTTGTTACCAGCAACACAAAAGATGGGGACGTATTTAGTCAAACAGTACACAACAGTTACACATCTACTGGTGCTATGAACTGACAGAGAAAGAATCAAGTGTTAAGCTGAGGGTTTGGTAAGGCAAAAATGAAGATTTCATTTCAGCTCAGAGCAAAACATGCTATGTAAAGTCTGGTTACATCACTTGATGTCTCATCACTTGATGAGTGGCAGAAGGCTGTCCTGAGAGTGATGTCAGGGGATGTGAACATTTGGTGGTATTTGAGTCATGATGGCTGCTTCATATATGTGCTAATTATCACTTGATACTGTGTCATCAAGTGGTTGCCATATTATATAAAACCCTAAGACTCATCACAGTGTAGCCAGAGATAATGTTGAGGCCTTTAGGCCTTTAAAGTGCTAAATGGCCTTGACCCTGCTTACCTGAAGGGGTGCCTTCACCCCCATCGTTTAGCCTGGACACTGAGGTCCAGCTCCAAGGGCCTTCTAGTGGATCCATCACTGCAGGAAGTGAAGTTACAGGGAACCAGGCAAAGGGCTTTCTTGGTAGTAGTGCCCGCCCTGTGGAACACCTTCCCATCAGATGTCAAGGAGATAAACAACTATATGACTTTTGGAAGACATCTGAAGGGAAATTTTTAAATGTTTGATGTCTTGCTGTGTCTTTTATAATTTGTCACCTCTTATTGTCTCCAGCCTCAAACACAAGATTTTTTAAAAAATCAATTTATTGCATTTATATCTCATCTTTTTCTCCAAGGAGCTCGAGGTAACATACGTGGTTCTCTGCCTCCTTATTTAATCCCCACAACAACCTAAGAGGTAGGTTAGGCTGAGAGGCAGTGACTGGCCCAAGGACACATTCATGGCCAAGTGGAGATTTGAACCCTGGTCCCATAAGCCCTACACTGGCACTATAAACAGTACACCACACTGGCTGTGAGTCATATCATGCAAAGACTGAAAACAACAGTGGGATCTCAATAGTGATTTTCAACTCATTTTTTTACTTCTTGGAACAGATGACCTATAGTGAGATCTCAACCAACTAATGGCTTTTAGTGGTGGTAAATTTGGCAATTATGTTTAGGCTGCAGTGACAGCAGAGATTTAGATTTGAGTAGTCAGAAACACCTGGAGCAATGAGGCAAATTGCCCAAAGAGAACTGGATTCTCCAGGGCTTTTCTCTCCTTACAGACTGAGTAGTTCTACTGAATCCAGTTTCAAGATCGTAACAAATCTATATGGACCTACAGTTCCCATCTTGGAACTGTACTGTTGACTCTAAGAGCTTGCAATGATATGATAATACTTAGATGCTAGGAAAGAAAGAAAGAAGTCCTGCTTCAGTAATTTGTCCAGTCCTTAGTTTTCTATTGTGTCCACGCCAATAGAGAATGAGAACTCAGTACAACAGTGTTAGATGTAAATGACCCAGATGGAACTGACAAATGAGCCATGATTGACTCAAATTAGCTTCTCAGATGGTGTTATCCTTGCAGGAACAGGAAGTGATTGCTTAGGGTTGGGTGGCAATTTCTTTCCATGGTTTCCAAATACTTAATGAGGCCTCCTGCAGCACCGTATGAAAGCTAGTCCTCTTTTTGGACACACTCAAGCTACATTCATTCTGAGCCAATGACAATCAAAACGTTTATGCTGGTGATTATACCCCTTGCGGCTCAAAAGGGGCATGTGGTTACCTCATAGATCTCTCGCTGAGTTGCAAATAGCTGCTTGTATCCTCAGGATTGTCCTCGTCATTTGCCAGCTGGCACCAGCTGCTACCTGTGCTTTCGTCACTGCTGCTGGGAGGGACTGGAAACTCTTCCACCGCTTTGGCCTCCTTGGGAGCTTGAGGTTCAGGATCGCTGCGTATAGTTAAGCTGATTGGGGAAAGGAAAGGAAAGATTCTGATAAAGCAAGGAGAAATCTCTTGGGAAATTCTTCCTGCTCCCTAAGCACTGTTGTATCGGTCAACCAAATCACTTGGACCATTCTTTATTTTATTTTATTTTTTGCAAGTCATGGAACACCACCAGCTAATAGATTTTTATTGCCTTTTTGGATATTAAAGGGGGCACATATATAGAATTTGCCTCCAACAGGGCTGGTAAATTGAAACATGGGGATTGCACTGCTGCATCTTCTGATCCGTTCCCTTCTGGTCCCTGTCACCCATCCCCCTTCTACATCTGTTGTCTGGCAAAATCAAAGTCCAATGTGCTTCAGTGCGCAGAGAAAAGGAGAAGACTAGGGAAGGAACATAGCATAAAGCAGGAAGATTATTTCTTGCTGCATGTAGCCGAGCTCATCTTTAGAAGTTCTTCTCTCGGTAACAATGCTTGCCCTCCAATATCTAATGTGCGGTGGGTGGTGACTGGAATATTTCCATAGTCTTAAATCTGCGCACAATATGAAACCGAGAGCTCTTTAGCCGTCACAAGTCTGTGTATTTTTGGAGTTCAAAGAAGAAATGGGCAGGGCAGGGCAGCACACCTCAGAATCCACAGCCACCAGCAGTTTATTGGAAAAGGGATAAATTGATAATTAAACTTAATATGAACTACTTAGTAAGGATCTAGTCATAATGGAGGTCCAGGTCTAGATCATTTACAATAATAACAGAGTGTCTGCCCAGCCAGATCTTCACCACGGGGGAATGTAACAGATTATTTTGGCAAGATTGAGGAGTAGAGATTATGCTCCAGATTACAAGCAAAATTGAAGAGCAAAAAAGTATGTTTTGCAACCTTTGCTCATGCACTGGCTAGCTATATGGCCCGTCATGGATTTCCTTAAAGTATAATTTTATAATGTCTTATCAGAAATAAGCCCCATTGAGTTCAGTGCTTCCAAATAAGTGCAGGATTCTTGTATTCATGCCTTATAAACATGTGTCATATGTAGCTACAGATTCTGTTATGACATTTAACTTTTTTTGAGTGGGGAGGGAGCATAGGACATAAGATATGCAAATTTGCAAATTAGGGTCCTTAGATTTGAAAAGCGTAATTCAGCTTTAAGGGGTACAGCAGAATAGAGATGGAGGGAGCTGTTACGTGTGTGTGTGTGCGCGCGTGCCTACATTTCTGCGTATGGGAGATGTGTGGTGCTCCACAGGTTTATCAGGCACAGGGCCCCATGCTTTCAATCTGGTTATAAAACTTACCTGCTGTTTGCTGAGGAATCCAGGTGCCTTCCTGAATCTGCTTCCGCACGTTTTTGTTTGCTGAGATACCCCCTTGGTTTCCCAGAGGCCACGTTAACTTCCGCCAATGGTTCTGAGACTTCGTCAAGGTCTTCTCTTTGTTCTGTTTCTATCTGAATTAAAGGCACTTCCCTTAGGCATACAGAACAGCTTGTATGGTTGGTAGGAAAAAATCCAGGGGATGAAGAATGTGGTTTTTTCACATCTAAATCTATTCTGTCTCCTATTGGTTTACAGTTTTTTTGCATCCCTATTGGGACATGGCTGCTGTCTGCTGCGTGATCTCTGTTTGCAGAATCTTGGTGATGGACAATTAAAGTCTTCCCGCTTTCAACAATATTAGCAGCCAGCCTGTTTGCATACTGTTGAACATGCGGTGGGGAGCCGTGAGGATGCTGGTCAAGCTCAGAAACTTCTGCGTCATTTGCTATTATTTTGTTCTTGCACATTAGAGCTTTGATGGAATTCGCCCATGTCTCATGAATCAGCATGTCGGTTGCCTGATCAGTCCTACATCTTTGGTACAGGTAAGAGTCTGATTTGCAAAGCCCTGAAGAGGAAGCTGTGCTGATTGGCTCTACACTTAAAGAATCCCTGTGGCCATTGCGAGAGAAGCCGTCTAATGAATTTGCTTTTATGGGCACATTCACTGTTAGCCTTGAAGCCGAGCTTCTGCTATCGGGCATCGAGGACTGTCTGAAACAAAAAGGTGAGCGTTGGGAAGGAGGTAATAAATTGCTACTCCAGTCCTTGGCACTCCTAGCAGAAGACACATTCTCTCTATTTTCCTTTTCAATTTCCCTCAGCATATATCTATAAAATTCTTCTGTTATACTTTCTGTGCTGGACTGTTTGGATGGGCAACTTGGCCTCACGTTGAGGTGGCCATTTTTCTTGGCAACTTGTTGCATTGCAGAAGTCAAGATGCTATTTGCATTCTTCCCAGCATAGTAGTCAAGTAGTAAATCAAACTCTCGACCTTCATTTTCCATCTGGTTGACCATAAACCTTGAAAACTCATCCGTAATGCTCTCGCAGCTGGACTGTTTGGAGACAGAGCTGGTCCTGCTTATTGGCTGCCCTAAAGTGTTTGTGAGACCCAAAGTATTTGCAGACCCTTTGGAATCGGAGTCCTCCTCGGGAATGCTTTCACAGCTGGATGCGTTGACTCTGCTCCATCTGTCACAGTGCAGTCTATTTCGAGGGTGGTTTGGGCTTTGCCATGCATTATCAGCCACAGAGAACTCAGCCAAATTCACAATTTTAGCAGCTACTTCATTGGCAAAGCTATTGCATGGATCCAGTGTGTCATCAAGGTTAATGGATTCGTCCACCACCCTGTTCATAAGCCTTTCTTTTAGCTCAGGGTGCTCATCCGTTTTCCTCTTGATCTCACTAAGCCTGGGCGGCCGATGCTTTCTCACGACCGATCCACTGGACTGTGCCTCCTTCTTCCTTTTCATGGTTCGGCATGACAACGCTTGGGGCATCAAATACTCGCCGCCTCTTTTCCACGCGCAGAACCAAGGTTGCTTGCCGTTTGAATTGTCAAGGCAAATGGCAGCAATTTCCGTTGCCATAGAGACCACCGTCTCTGCCAATTCCTCTGCAAAATCTGCTACACAGTATTTATCTGCTGGATGCTTCAACTGTAGCAGAGGTTGGGAAGGCAACAAACCCTGATTACCCAATAAGGAGAGGCTGAGTTGGGCTTCATTGTGCCATGTGTCACCACACACATGCTTTTCATGACTTTCTGTACTTGGTGCAGTGTTGGAAGATGGACGTTCCTGAATGCCATGTCTGCATTCATTGGCTAGCGTTGTGTCTTCTCTGCCGGTAAACGACCGGAGTTCTTTCTTTGTATGATTGCTGCTACTGGGATGTATGGATTTGTAGCACTCTCTTGCAGTTCTTTTCAAATACCTTTTTTTGGGAGACGTTTTCCCAGAAGGTGAACTATGGGCATTGACCCTAGGTGGTGAAGCTGCACGAGGTGCGGCCGATTCCCGGGTCTCCAGCACAACTTCCTCTTTGACATCTTTTGTTGTGGGTACAACACCAATGTTAGGGCTAGTGCCACAAAAAGTACTAGGAGGCTTATTATCAGAGTCGTCTGGAGATGGTTGTAATAGATCATTTGTAGACTCCCTTGGTTGGCTCTCCATTACCTGCCAGCTAAGATTATCTTCAGAAAAAGTACTTAAAGACTCAGTGAGCTGTGTGATATCGCTCATTTTCTTACAAGTGAAGTACAGCACATCAAAAAGCAGCTTATTTGCAGTTGCAATAAAAACATCTTGGGTACTGAGGTCTACGTTGCTTTCAGGTCGTGTGTTTAGCTGCTTCTTCCTGACCTCTTCCACTGAGTGTCTCAGAATAACGTTGGACAAGTTCTGGGCAAGTTCATCAACAATCACTTCCTCCAAATGGGGAACTGAGGGCTTTGTCACAGCCTGGACAATTTTCCCATTTACAGATTCCATAAAGTCGCCTAGATTTCTGTACATTTCAGGCTTGGCTAACACTAAGGATGCCTCTTTGAATAATGCTTGTGCAACGCTATTGTTCAGATTCTCCATGCTGCTCCCTACGGCTATGCTACAGTGAAGAGTGATGGCTGCTGATGTCTCTGCGGCAGACAAGAGTCCACCGGAGGCTGCAGGATACTTATCATCTTTCTTGTCACCAAGACCACAAACTGCAACAGCACTCGCTACTTGAGTCATGCCACACAGGGCAGATGGGAATGAGTAATCCACAGGCGGGCTGTTACTGACGCCTTGGGGAGAGTTTTCCTCCAACACTTCATTAGAAATTGTTTGAGAGTCCGCGGCTTCCTGTTCTCTTTTGAGCTTCTCTGCGGCATGTGGGCTCGATATGGTGCCAAGGACTGTAGCGGCACAGGCCAAAGCCACCTCCAAGGCACTTTGAGTGCCTCCACTGTTGTCTTGCAACCAGTCTGCAGCTTCACGGGGACGCTCAACGTCAGACCAAGGACACAAGTTTGGTAAGCTAGATCCAGGCCATTCAGATGTGTTTTCAGAGCCGTCTGGACTCTGAACTATGACAATTTTGGGGAGTTCGTTCCATGGCCGCGAAGCCATCGCATCCTGTGCGGCATATGCAGCTGGAGTTAAGGAGCTACCAGCAGAGATGCTGATGGCAGCCTCTTTGGTAAAAGTAGACTGAGACAACCTGATGAACGCGTCTTGCAGGACCGACTCTGCCAAATTTGTAGCGAACTGACCTGCTGTGGCCTGTTCATTTTGCACGGGAGGATTATCTGTTCTTTCATCTCTACAATCCAAGGGGTCTAAACGAATGTCTTGTTCTTCTGCTGCATCATCCAGAGAAATAATTTCCTCCTTGGTTGCTGCGGCCAACAACACGTCTTCCAACACATCCGAATTGTCTGTATCACCTCTGGAAGAGTCTTCCAGATCATCAGTATTAGAGGATGGCTTAGATTTCCCAGCTATACCAGATTTCCAGTGCTTATTGGCTTTGTCCACAGTTCGCAAAACGCTGTCTTCGCCCTCACCATTCAAGTCCTCATCAGACGAGCTTGAAATCCTAGCAGGAGCTGCGCTGTCTTTGTTAATACAGTTTGCTTCCAGAGCAAATGGCAACCTGGGATTTTTGCACTGTAAGCTTTCAAGTCCTTTCCCTCCGTGCTTTTTGAACTCTGCTGAGGACTCGGTGACATTCAGTTTTTCCTGACCTGGAAAATGAAAAGCAACACGTTAGCCTTTAGAAAACCAGCCGTCGTGTCCTGAAAAGTGGACGTGCCAAAGTAGCATGAAGAGGAAGTGTGCAATCACCATGTATAATGACCACATTTTCCATCTCGCGAGCAATGGTATTTAACGGCATGAGGGATTTTGGATCTTCCTCTAATTTCATTGCTTTCAAGCGGCAATTAAATGTATGCACCAATTAACACCGAGTGCTATTTACATGAGCACAAGCCCTTATGTATTTGACTGCACAGATTGTGACAGGTTCACTTTCAGCCAGCTAGGTTTTACCGTTTTTATATTCATCGGCCTCACTCTCATCTTCAAAGTGTTCGGAAGCTGTAAGAAAATCTTCTTCTATTGAGGACACAGAGCAGTTAGTGTCGTCCTCAGGCTTTAAGATGCTGGCCTCGATGTGCAGCTGCTTCTCCTGCACAAGCTCCAGCCCAATCAGAAACTTGTTTATTTCAAAGATGATGCAGTTTGCGCTGTTCTTTCTGTTTCCTCTTGCACACTGAACCAGACAGACATCTGCCAGCCAAGAACACTGGAGGGAGAAGAACAACAACACCCAAATTCCAGTGATGCAATTAAACGGAAAAGAAATAACTTTTTATCAAAATCTTTTCATTTTCTCCTAGCTATCCTCCGCAACAAAACATCACCACCAACACCAGCAACATTTATAGGCTGTAATGCAATGGACGCAATGGACTCCCATGAACATAAAGGAGCTTTCTCTTCCTTATCTGTCTCCTCAGCATCAGCTCTGGAGGGTTAGGAAATAATAAAACAATATAATTATTAAGTTTGTATGTGTGAGGGTCTGTGGAAAAGTTTTGTTTTTGTGTTCTCTAATATCCATTTTTTTCAAAGTAAATGAATCTAAATGCATATTTGTTTTTTTTTCCAAAGACGCCCACACTCATTTTATACATGCGTATCTCTGTACACTAGCTAGCTAGAATGCATCCTCCCGTATTTCTGGCATTTTCCCTTTGAGCATCCAACCAGAGCACTGAGGCATTCCCAAAGACTGATTGAATGTCCGTACCTGGGGTACTTCAAAACCAGCCTGAAGGCTCCCTGAAGTCAATCCACTCAGCAGGATGATTTCATTCTCTTTGGGAGGCTGTACATTCATAGAGCTGATAAGCTTTGGGAGATTTGGAGAGATACCGATCAACCTCTGAAACACAAGAAACACGAGCATGAGAGGCGAACCACACTTCTCTATCTAGCCATGCTATCAAACATGAAAGAAAAAGCAGACACTGGCACCGCCTTGAAAGTGCCATTCACACTGACAGTAGGAGCCCTTATCAAACCGAAGTTGCCAGACAAGTAGATGAATACAGGGCACAGAACCCTGGATGGGCATCTGGCCCCTTCACTCTTTGGCTTCTGTGTTCTAGTTTACATTAAAATAATAAGCTTTCTTCACAAAGATGCACCCCCCATGCATTTGTAGAGTGGCCATGTTTCCTGCTTAACAGAGGACAGTGTCTATTTTAAGGTGTCTCCTCTCTGAGGACAGTCAAGTCCAAGTCTGATTTAAAGGTGACAAACCATAAAAAGGAGAGCAGGAGCTTAGAAATTGCCCACCATCAAGAGTTAGAAGATTGAGCAAGCTCACAGGCCACCTGGTATGCTCCCACTATGGTGAGACACATTGTATTTCTATTTGAATTGCAGTAATTATACATGGCAGTTTCAAAGCAGGGTTTCTATTCCCCCTCTCAGAGGTGGGTAGCGGTTGAGACATCTCTTCGTCTTTCCTGTGAGTAGCAAGAGCTACTTCTGTATTTGCACACACTGTGTGTATTAGCAGAGCACTTGCCTGTTTCATTAGTTCATCACTGCAGTTACCTTCCTGTGCGTCCAGATTCACAAAGCAAACCTGCAATTGGAGAGGAAGAAAGGAAGGAAAAGAGCAGATAAGATTCTGAAACTCACACAGAAGTATCTAGGAAACTATTCAGAAATAAAGCCAAGGTTATTTTTTTCCTAAACAATTTGTGCAACGTATCAGCTTCTGCCATGAAAGAGAGGATTGTCAAAGGTAAGTGGTTCATCACTTGGGAGAATCACACTGGAAAGAAATAAACTGGAACATAGAAAACCAAATTAGTTTTATTTGTTTGCATTGTCCAGTGAGCTGTGCCTTTCCTAGGATATTCTAACACACACACCCCCCATCCTCCCCTTACGAAAAACCCAGAAAGCACTCCTTGGATACTGAGCACGCTCTGTTCTCATTGTGCTGTACTTTCTTGGGAAGGGGCTTCCCATAATAAGCATGCTAAAGCCGGCCAGTTTATGGCCCACTGCTTTCTTCCTTCACCCTCCTACCATCTGATGGTGCATCTTATAATAATTGCAGATTTCCTGAGCCTCTTTAGAAATAAATATTGCAGTGTTTCTAACAGGAGCTCTTTTTTTTCTTGTTTCTTTCAGAATTTGGAAAGTCAATGATGCTTATACTTCCCCTTAAGGGTGTCCTTATTCTCCTTTGCAGGAGAATAATTAAGCTTGCTCTAAAAGAGCAAATTACACAGAGAGCTGGAAACACAACTTCAAAATGCTTACAGTGGAAAAAAATCACTTTAGAAAACACATAAAATGGAGAAAGGGAAAGAGTTTTGTACTTCTACACCTAAACCCTCCTCCCATTATCCTTCCTTAGCAATACACTGAATGACATTTTTGGATGGCCATCTGTCATAGATGCCTTAGTTGAGATTCTTGGAATGCAGGGGGTTGGACTAGATGACCCTCTGAGTTCCTTCCAACTCTACAATTCTATGAAATACCACAAATGAAAAAAGAAGTATGTATAGTCTTGGGTGTTTGGGAGCAGCTAATTACTTGGTGCATATGATAAACATTTTTATTTCAGCAAGCCTACCCAGACATGTAGAATGTGGAATGCTGTGGGTTATAATTTGGCTTTTAACTTACCCCTGGTTTTTTTTTAAAGGTTTAAAATAGTTGTTTTTAGTCTTTTTTAAAAAAAATACTGATGATTTCATTGTTTTACTCTTTTTGTAAACAGCTTTCAGGGTTGGTTGGTTTGTTATAAAACAAAAAATCATCAAGCCGGATGTATATTTTATGAAATATTAACCAGATCCCATGTTTTAGCCTCATAAGCATGGTTTATAGTTAGGCAAAGACAATTTACCAACTCTGCAGCAAACAATGAGGCAATCCTACTTGCCACATGCTGTTTGAAGACACAAAATAGCTCCTTAGAGGAGTGAAGCAGAACTTTCCCTCTCTCTCTGTCATCATTGCACTGGGCAAATGTTGGCCAAGCCGATGTGCTGTGTCAGAGCAAGTCACTTTACCTCAAACAGGCGAGGCTCCTTTGTGTTGCACAGGACAATCTAGTAGCCTGTTTGCCCTTGGGAGAAAGTTCTGTATCTGCTGAGAGCTGTTTATGGGCAGCAGCCTTGAAGATGTATGGGCTGCTGGATCATCCAATACAAAGCTCAGAAGAGACCTAAGCTTGAGTCAAAGCGATGGTGTACACTGCCATAGCCACAACTCACCTGGCACAATGGTAGGTAAGAAAAGAATTTGTTTATCTGTTTTCCAAATTTATATTCTGACTTTCTAAACACGCGGACAAATATACCTCAACTCAAGGCAGTTGACGGCATGCATATTATGAAAACAATAAGCTAAACGCATGAATAATCTATTAAGATGCTAAAAGTAGACAAACAACAGAGAGAAAGGCAGCAAATAATAAGTCCTGAAAAATCCCCGCTGAAAAGGAAAAGCATTGACTACCAGCTGAAAGGAGAGCAGCAAAGGGTTGTGGACAATTTGTTTTGGAAGGGTGTTCTATTGCCTTGGCAGCACCAGAAAAGTTCCTGCCCACTATCCCCAACAACCATGTATGCTTAGCTGTTATAGAGAGTCACTCCACAACTTGGTTTGCACACACACTCACACATGGAAACCCTAATCAGGCACAGGGATCCTGTGGCCCTACAGATGCCATTGGACTACAGTTCCCATCAACCCTAGCCAGTATGGCTGATGGTCAGGGATGATGGAAGTTGTAGTCCCACCAACACCCAGAGAGTTCAAAGTTCCCTGTCCTTGTCCCTGGTCCTGAAAGCATAGTTACTCATATTTTGCAATACAGTGGTACCTCGGGTTACATACACTTCAGGTTACAGACTCTGCTAACCCAGAAAAATTGCTTCAGGTTAAGAACTTTGCTTCAGGATGAGAACAGAAATTGTGCTCCAGCAGCGTGGCAACAGCAGGAGGCCCCATTAGCTAAAGTGGTGCTTCAGGTTAAGAACAGTTTCAGGTTAAGTACGGACCTCCGGAACGAATTAAGTACTTAACCCGAGGTACCACTGTACTAACAAAAAAGCAAAACTAAAGGGAAGAGTTACTTTGCAGTGCCTTGCCGCATCAAAAATGATTGGAACAATTAGAATAGCAGCTGACAGAACATTGCTAATGATGCTAGAACATGACACAGGACCATAGCCTTGTATGGTGGGAAAGGATCTGAAAGTCAGTTCACCCAATACCTTTCAGTGAGGCAGGACATTCCACAGCAAAATGGTGTTAAGAGATTATCATATACAACAAAAGAATAAACCAATGATCAGGCAGATCACAGCATGCTAATGAGGAAGCTACAGGAACTTCAAGGGGAGGGGCTTCTGCAGGGCAAAGAAAAAGATGCAAGCCATTCACAATGCAGCAATGGCAACAATTTGTTGATAATTGGGTTTTGCATTAACCTAGTACTGACTCAAGCCTGTGTAATATGTAACTTATCACATGCACAAAACATGGCCATCTGCATAACTGGTTGCATAGCAGATGGCCAGATTCAACCCTTCTAAGAAGAATCAAGAAAGGGCAAAAAAACCCCCAAAACCCTTATATTTCTTTTTAAAAGCTTATTCCCCATCCCACCTCACCCAGCCTTAGTTATGTAACTTTTTGGGATAAACAACACAACATTCCCTTTAAATATACTAAAATATGAGTCAAGTTGGATGGTGCACATCACTGTAACCGTGAGGCTTTACGCTAGGCTAACTTCCAGGAAGTGCTGCTTGTTAGAAATGTAAATGTCAAAGCTATAAAGATACCCCTCAGCTATAAAACACAGCTCTATTTACAACGTGTACTGGACTCAGTACTAAATGAATTGTTCATAAGGACATCCTCTTTTATGGGCTTTTAAAAAGTCTGTTCTCTGTTACTGCTAATCTGTGAAAAACATGCACATGTGACAATTCCAAGGAAACAGTGCAGTGAGCTGTTGGTGAAACAATTAAACTGCCATTAAATAATGGTCCTTTCCAGTATATATATATATATATATATATATATATATATATATCCATTTTAAACACTTTTAACCCATGGTGCCTTTTAACCTGCGGTAGTTTTTAGCAGATTGGTTTGAAATTTGGCACACTGACCAATCTCATCAGGTAAATGATGTATACAAAGTTTCGTGTTATTAACTCAACAGGTGGCACTTTCATAAGCAACGGACTTTTGGGGCTTAAAACAGTAGAACCTTGTTATTTGTTACTCATGTTAACTCAAGGTGTGCCTCCTCTTCATATACTTCTTTGTAAAGATAGATGCATGCTACGGATGAAGCTGTGGGGGTTACAGGTGCACCAAAGCTTTGGTCTGTTCTGATCTGGAAGATCCACTAGTTTGAAAAAGAGATTATTAGTTTCTGTCTTTATATTGGCTCTATATTCAGTTCTACATTTAATCAGTTTGTGTTCTGAACAAATAAGGAAGTCTGCTGATTTTGCTTTCATTTCAGTAACTGCACCAGCTAGTCTGCTCTAAAAGAACATTTCCCTGGACTGGGGACATTATGTCCTTATTTTATTAGATACTGTATCCCTGATCAAGTGGGTAGGTTGGAGCTAAATGGAAACAACCTTCTTCCAAAATTCATAAGCAGGAAATTAGGGTGGTGGTGGTGGTCTGACAATTTCAGGAGCAAGGGCATTGATGATGATGATGATGATGATGATGATGTTACTTGCTATTTGAAAATTTTGTTGTTGTGGCTGCAGCAAGACTTCTTTAATGCTGTAAGCATTAATCAGGCTAAGTTGAACACTTTGAACACTCTGAAATACTATACAAATGTGAAGCATAATTATGTATGCTTCATTATGTACCAGGGAAAACATAAATTCATTTCTTGTTTTTTCATCCGGTTTGTTAATCTAGTAAATGCACTGTATGCACACCTAAAACGATATTGAATCAGATACATGAAATTGTGCATTGAAGTGCATTTGTGTACCCATTTCAGCCAATGATCTCCGGTATAAAAGGACAGAAATAGATTCTGTACTTTTATACCAGAGATCATTGGCTGATGACAGCTATAAAGGCTGCTCCAGTGGATGATAGATCCTGTTGAGAGGTTGCTAACCTGTAGTTACTCAGCAGGCCACATTTAAGTGCTTTTCTCTGCTTTTTCTCCTTGCCCTCCCTGTTCAATGTTGTGCCAAGGTACTACTGAATTCTAGAAGTCCTGTTTATGTGATAATCTAGAAATGGGTAACCAAATTACAAATTAAAACCTACTGTTTTCTGTGTGCCAAAACCCAGGAGGACTGCAAAGCTGGTTCAAATGTTAGGAAGTGTTAAAAACTCAGAACAAATGACTTGAAGACCATGGATTTCACCATGGCTGAAATAAGTCCCATTTCAGGTATTCAGAAGGAAAGCAAAGGTCCAAAACATTTACATTTCTGCTTATGTTGCTTCTTTGTAACATTTTGAACCAAATCTTAGTTTACGGAAAGCTGAAAGACATAGCTCCAGGATCTAGAATGCCACTAAAGATAGAATAATTTATTCACGTTATCTGTGTTTTATCTACTAAAATATTGATATCTGAATTGCTGGGTACGTATTTCTGTTCAGTGTAAGAAGAAACAGCAAAAAATTTACTGCCAGCAATAAATTTGCTTGCAATATCACATAATATTTTGTCAATTGGCTGCTTAAATACTATGCAACATGGATTTAACTGTTCAAATTAGTGCAGGGAAGGACTTTCTGAAGATGTCATGGTTTCTTTTAACAGTGGTATTGAGACTTCTCTAGTCCCTCAAGGCTGAGGTTCGGATTCTGAATTAAAACTTACGTCTACTGATAATTTCACTTCTATACTACCCTGAAATATACTGCAATGGTAATTACTGAAATTGGTATCTTGTAAACAGAGATAGAATTAAAAATTTAGGGTGCAATCCTAACCCCACTTATCTTGGAGTAAGCCTAATTGAATTCAATAGGACTTACTTCTGAGTAAACACAGTTAGGACTGCAGTTTTATAGACACAGGGAAATGTGGACTGCCTATTTGACAAATGAATTCCTCAGAAAGGTGGGTAGTGCTAGACATGGAGCTTTGCAGTGGGGAAAAGGAAGGTTTAAGGTGGAAAGCAAAGATAAAGTTGGAGAAGAGTCTAGGGCTTTCTCCCACCCATCTCTTCCATTGTTCAAATCGCCCCCACCTCCTGCTATAGTAATATAGCATCACATTTCTAATGGAGACAGAGGTCTGCATCAGTCATGCCTAGTTAGCCCAGCCTTTGCTGACCTGGTACCCTCCCAGCCAGCTGATGGCCAGTCCTCCAAAACAGCTGGGGGGCACCAAGGTGGCAGAGCCAAATGATGGTGTGCTCACATTGACTGGTACCATGTTACTTTCCTTTGTACCGCATCCAGCTAAGCGGAGCGTTCGCCAACTCATTTTCATATCTCAATTCTGTCGGTTCAGATTGGAAGCAAATTGAATTCATTTGGATACATGGTAGGGGGAGATCACAGCATGATTTTATACTTTAAGGGGGGTGGGGGAAGATAGCTTAGAATAAGAATGATTTCCCAACAGTATCATAACTGAATACTGAGCTTCTCAAAATCATGGCTCCCTTGAGCTCCTTCAGCGTCTGGGCAAACATCTTTTGCAGAAGCTGGAGTCAGCTAAAGGCTAGAAATGAAAATGTTGTTTTGCATTATCTTCCTTTTGGGGAAAGCAAAATCCAACCCCAGGAATCACTCAAGAAAGGCAGAGGGCCAAGTGTTATCAAATTTAGTTTCCAGTGTTTCATTTCCGAAAACGAAGCACAGTTCTTATTTCTGATGTCTCTTAGGATGATGCAAAACGGTGTCTTCAGCAAATTGCTATACTGGAGCCATCTGCTCCCCTAGCCTATAGAACAGCCCCCAATCATTTTGATGGGCATCCAAGTGCTGAGCCACAGACCTGTCAAGTAAAATGAATTGCATTTATGATTTATTGAAATTCATAGGGAAAAGGCAAGAGAGCAGATGTGTGCAGGATCTGCAGTCTTTGATAAATCTTGGCTGTGTAGTGCCTTGATAATTGACACCAAGCCTCCACTTGCCAGATTGCCAGAAGTTAAGTACCACATGCCCTGTGCCAAGCCCCTTTCCTACCTAGGATGCCAGATGCCAAATCTCTCGCTGGTTCTCAAAAACACAAACATGGTCTATTATGTTGTGCTGAGCCTTGGAGTGTTTGATGAGGGTAGATGAGTCAGACTCCATTTGGTCCCCTAAGGATGATGACATGACCAGATGCAGGTCAATTCAATTACAAGATGCCTTTAGTGGGTTCAGGCTACTTACTAGGCACACAAAGTCTCCCTAGTTCCAGCACCGGGGAATAAAAGAGACTGAAATGAGGACCAGCCTCTCATACAGCTGGGCTCCTGGAAGAAGCCACGGCTTCCTGGTTGCAGAAACAACAGGATAGCTGTTTCACTGCTCTTTGGCTCTCCTTTCTTTCTCTCTCCTCTCATTACAATTCTCCTCTGCTTCCTCGCACTGTCTGCATCTATGCCTGTTCCTGCATTGTCCATTAGACTGACGAGCCAAATCAAAGCTTCCTCTTCTCTTCTTCAGAGTTCTCGTTTTAAAATTTCATCTTTTGACAATTATTACTGATAATCAACAAAACTCTATTCCAGAAAAAAATTAATATTTCACATCCTAATAATTTGCAAGTAAATGTAAATTAACAGAATATATTTCTTCTAAGAGAATTCTAAACCTACTTGGATTTGTTTTTGCAGGTGGTTAAATATTTTCTTGACAATATGATTTATTTATCGCTCCCCACAACTGATTTCTATATTCACTTGCCATTATTGCTCTTAAACACCATTATTTTTGCCATTAGAGGCAAATACCAAACTTTATTAAGCCATTTTTTTCCAGGGAGGGAGTAATGCAACTTGTGATGCTATTTTGAGCCAATGCCATCTTTGCAGCTGTCAACAAATAGGAGGAAAGTTACTTATGTTCTTTTTTAGGACAGGTGACATGTAGTTTAGAAATATCAATACTGGATCCAAGAAAACTTCCCATTTTGTTATTATTCTATTAACCACCTTCCAGTATTTTTGTACAAAGCTACATTTCCATCACATATGTTAATATGTTCCATTCTCCTTTTTGTACCTCCAACTTGTTTGTGAATGATTTATTTATCGCTCCAGTAAATTACAGAAGTTAAATTTGTGCCATAACTTTGCACCAATTTTTTTCTTACATCTGTATTCAGTGAAAAATTATGTTTCCCCCTATAATTTAAATCCCATGTTTATGCTACTTCCTGTGTCCTTTCCCTGTTTACAATCATATTTTAACAACAGATGATGTATTTAATATAACTGATATCTGGATTTTTTATGAGTTACCTGGAAAGAGGGTCTGAGTGTTAAACCACTATGAAAATCATAGCCCAATGCTGAGAAAAGGGGTATCTGGCTTGGAGCACACTTAAAAATCTACAGTTCCCAGGCAAAGGCAAATATTGTTCTCTCAGGATGCTAATGTCATCTGAGTTGTCCTTTTAAAGATTTCTCATCTCCTTGGTTTGTGATTAGTGCTGTGGATCTTTTAAACTGGCTGTGAATTTATGTATGTTACTAATTTTAAGCTCTTGGCTACTGTTTTTTATTTTTTACTTTATTATGCCTATTATATCTTTTATTATCTTTTTCCATTGTGAGCCACCTTGAAACATCTGTAAATAAAACAGAATATGAATCTTTGTACATAAAAAATATAAACAAATAAGAAAATGTAAAGGACATAGGTTTGACTAAGGCCATCTACTGAATGCATATGTTGTGGCAAATCTTCTCATCTGATGTTAAAGTAACCCTCAGTAATGTGGAAAGCCACCCAAAATGTTGCTTGCCTGTAGTCTCACAAACTTAATGGAGCTTACTGCTAGGTAAACATGAACAGGACCGCAGCCTTGTTGAGTTGTCATTGCTTCTCTTGCCTTACCTTTGGTTTCCCATTGACTCTGATCCTAGCTTTCAGCTGCAGGAACCTGCTTTTGCAAAGACTTCCCCACTTAAAGGGAACACTGAACTTTCAGAAAGGCCCTGTCTCCAATCCAGAACAGGACAAATTTGCATTTAAACCCAACAGTCCAAAGTGAAAACTGGGAAGCAGGAAGACAGGCTTTTCTTAACCTGCTGTGTGCAAGTTCCAAAGGTGAAGGTTAGCATACGGGGGTTATGGCTTTTACTGCAGTCTATTTATATCATTGCTTCCTGGCAGATGGAACTGTAACCTTGAGTTACAGGAAGAGAAGGCAGGAAGTCTGTCACAAAAGTAGCTTCATAGTCTTTCCTTTATATAGGTCACCCATTTTAGATAAACAGCTATCTATGCCTCTTAAGTAATAGAGACTAGCCAGCTGGCCTGGAGAACAGGATTAAGTTTGTTGCTGAACTCAGATTCTCTCATTCACACTCTACTGAAGGCAACATACTGTGTCTTGGTACCAAATCCATCCATCCAATTAAGCAGCATCACTGGCACATTTTGAGAAGGGCACTTCAAGGACAAAAGCAAGGAGTCACTATGCAAAGAGGTGTAAAAGTTGAAGAGAGCTTGGCAGGGCAACATGTGACTGAAAAGGATTCTTGGGGAAAATATTTACACTGAGTAAAGGATCATGAATAAATGAAGGTAAAGGTAAAGGGACCTCTGACCATTAGGTGCAGTCATGGACGACTCTGGGGTTGCGGCACTCATCTTGCTTTACTGGCCGAGGGAGCCGGCGTACAGCTTCTGGGTCATGTGGCCAGCATGACTAAGCCACTTCTGGCAAACCAGAGCCGCGCACGGAAATGCCGTTTACCTTCCCGCCGGAGCAGTACCTATTTATCTACTTGCACTTTGATGTGCTTTCAAACTGCTAGGTGGGCAGGAGCAGGGACCGAGCTGCTCACCCCGTCACGGGGATTCGAACTGCTGACCATCTGATCAGCAAGCCCTATTTAACTCACAGCGCCAGTTTCAATGGAAGGTACTGCCAAGTAAATGTGCTCATTGTTAGTTAGGTGACCTCTGGAATATCAATCTCATAAAGATGGTGAAAGCAAGTAGGACTGAGTATTGAAAGAGCCATTTTCTGCAAGGAGAAACATCATAATTCCCTTGGACTTTCATTCTAGAATGACCCAGCAAGTCCTTTTTGCCATCCACAATTATGAGCTTTCAGAACAAAGACAGTACAGTCCTTATAAATCAGGTTGCAGTGTGTTTAATGCTCTTTCCTCAATCAACCTTCAACTTGGAAGAAAGAAATAATTTGCCAGAAACTCAGTAGCAGCACACACGTTGAGCCCCTTGCCTCAGGCAGCAGATGGGAAGAGGCACTGGATTAGTGCCACCCCAGGCCCATCCACTTGCTACCACAAGCCTACAGCCTCTCTCACCTGCAAGATGCTCATTACCTGCTACTGTTTTGCTGGCTAGCCGATTGGCTGACTGCTGCTGATCTCTCTGGAAATGCTACTGCCACTTGGAAGCTACGGGAATGTGGTGGCAGCTCGCTTCTTGCCTGCCTTGCCTTGATCTCAGGAGGTTCCTTTCTCAGCACGGAACATTTTGGGCGAATTGGACCTGAAGCAGGTCTGTTTGTGTATTGCTCATGATGGCAAATAGTACTAAACTGCCAAACTTTAACCACAAAGGTGTCAGTCACTGCGGGCAGGCACTCTCCAAAGCTACCCTGCCCACGATGTGCTGCTCTGAGAAAGGGCCCTATGTTCTTCCAAATAAGACATGGCTGATAAGACCTCAAAGGCCACAAGGCGGGTGGACTAGAGGAGAAAGTGGGAGCAGTGGGGGAAGGAGGAAGAGGAGATGATGGGAGCTACCCCCACAAGGAGGCAGATGTAGCTGGTCTGCCTCTCCTCAGATGACAAAGCATCTTGTGTTGGCCCTGGCAAAGAAGCTTTGGTATGAGCAAGAGCAGCTAAATTGAACTAAAACCTGCCTTCCTCCATTCCAAAAGAAAATAATTAGTAACAGAGGATTAAAAAAAAAAAAGTTTCAATCTGTTCTCTTTATCTCTGCACTTTCAAAACTTGGTAGCAATACAGGAAAAAAAAGAGATGTTAAAACGAATTTTAAAATGTAAGTGGCTTCACGAAATAAAGCTGTCACGTTTAAAAATAAAAACCATAACCTTGGCAGGCAGAGATGCTGAATAACCTCAAAACTCCTGCTATGTTGGGACACCACAGTGTACAAGCGGAAAAGCAATGATGCATTCATCAACTACATCATACAGTCAATCACCGGAAGTTATAACATAAAGATGAGCTGCTTTGGTGTGCTATTTTTTAAAACTGCCCTTGGATATCTCTTTGTATTAATAAAAGTTATGCCACAGCAGATAGGCATTGTAGCCATTTGGGCTGGATATTCAATGGCTGGCCCAAGGCATTTTGATGTTCAAGGCAAAAAAATGACAATGTCCTTCACCTTTACTTCTTTTGGAGCTACTAAGCTAGCCTAGCGACCCCCCTCACGCCCCCCTTGCTTGACCTTTTGGATTCTGGAAGCTGACTGACACATATTTGTGGTTACCAGCTCAGCCTTTCTTTGTGATACGTGAGTTCTGGGTGCGAGAGGGTGGTGCTGTTTACACATGCCACAGCCATTTCCAATGCTGTCTTAATCTTGTTCAAACAACGCTTTGAACAAACCCTCGTCTTCCACTCATTCAGGCTAAATGGGAAACTGAAGTTTGTTCCAAAGCTTACATATCAGTTTGAAATCTCCTGTCCTCGTGTGCAAATGCAGAAGGGGGAAAGGGAGCATACTAGCTGGAGACTTACTGTATAATTCATGCATGTATCACTAAAGTATGATTTCATATTGTATAAACTCAAGCGTCTATGTTGGATTGCGCCCACCGGTTTGACCCACTTACTGACATGAACCAGACCTATAGCGAAGGCAGTTAAGTAGCACCACTTTAGACAAACCAGGAATATTGTGAGAAAAACACCTACCTCATTGTTACTATACACTTAAAAAAATAAGTAGCCTAAGTAACAATTTCCCAAAGGTATGCATGGTTGGTTTTATGTAAGATTTGACTTAAAGGTGACTGTTATTTCAGTAACTTCCATCATATATTTTATGTTGGGCTTTGTTCTGCCAGTTCAGGCTAGCCAATTATGCTGCATTACAGTTTTTGACAAAAACCAGTATTCCTTTTTTGAAAAGGGAGGAAGAAAAGGTTCTAAAAACTCTGTGCATGACTGTGTTGACAGGTTCAATTATTTAAAAACTCTAAGAATTACCTCCTAAGTTTCTGAAGGAGTCTTAAAACACCAGCCAGCTGTTAACAATGTATTATGGCTTCCATAACATTACTGCCCTACCGGGTGTTACAATTAAATGCTCAAAACAAGTGGTGAGTCATTTTGCGAACTACCTAAATACCTGAATAAAGAAATATACAAATAAATACGCACACAACTTTGGAGATCCATGTGTGAAACGCTTACTTGCCACTTGCAAAAAAGAAAGGTGACAGAAAAAAATGGTCTGTTAACTTTAGTGACTTAGTTTTATATGTAATAAAAAGAGGTATAAATCTCCTGTCTTGCCTGCTACCTCTGCCTCTGAAGTCTCCCTTCTGCTTCAGATGCCTGAACCATAATCTAATCATCTGAGGCAGTAATTATATATCACAAGCTTGCTTAAATCTAATCATGGGGAAGGTTTTTTACGCTACCTTGCATTTGATTCTTTTACCCACACCGTTCCCTTCTGCCTAGTCTTGCCCTGCTACCCACCCCACACGGGTCCATCAAACCTCTGCCGTTGACAGTTAAACACCTAAAGGGAGCGAACCATTTCAGCAGTCTTCAAACCAGAGATTTCTTGACAAGTCTTCAGGGATTCACATAGGCTTCTACAGCTCCTGTTTCCTCTAATGTGTTTTATTTCCTTGCTAGGATGGCCAGGAGTCTTAATTCACAGAAGGAAGTCCTCTGTTTTGAAGGACTGCATCCAGTTTAAAGATTTTTTAAAAAACCATTAGAAAGCAGAACAGGAGCCCTGAAGCTGCCCATCACCAGAAGACAGCTGGCAGCAAACTGAGCAAGCAAACAGGTGACTTGGTCATTCTTCCCCGCTATGGTGAGATGCATAGCATTTCTATTTAAATTAAAACAACCCTTTCTAAATCTGCACTAAAACATGTAAATCTCCATATGCAAATTTTATACAAATAGCTGCCCTCTTGTAACTTTTTTTTTTTTTTTTGAGGGCAGATGATGTTTAATTAGCAGAATGAGGACATGGGGCCGCCACGGCCGCTTGAATGTGCCTAAACCTCACCCTAAGCCAGCCCTATTGGCTGGCTGACTGGCGTGGTGCGGCAGCCAGGAAACTGACACAGGGGGCCAAATACTCCCCCCTGCCAATGCAGGAACGGCTCCCTCTCACAACACCTCCCCTCTGGTAGGAGGAGAGGCTTTACCAACAACTTCCAGAAATTGAGGCTTATACAGTGCTTTTTTTCTTTAAAATGTTAGGGGTACTCTCATTTTGACTCAAGAAAATCACCATTTTATAGTTCAAATCTGGAAAAATAAATACAGTAAATGGATAAAAGTACAAAGATTCACAACCAAATAAACACACCCCCCAAAAAACTAGTACTGGGGGAAGTGGGCTGGTCTAGAACCTTGGGGGTGGGGTGTTGCTTTGCAGCAAGTTTTTACATGGGAAATGTGGTCTTTTTTAAAGGCACCTCCCTCCTCAATTCCAGTTTGAAATGGTATGCTCCATTCTATGACCTCAAGATTCTGCTTTATGTGAGCCAGCCCTGCTCATGGAGCAGAATGTGCTGTTAGAATACTTAGGTGGCAGAATGGACTGTACCACTTCAGACTGGATGTGAGTTTTCTTCTTGATGGACTAAGGTCCCCCCCCACTTTCCTTTTTACTTGCAGTGTTTGCTTGTTTGTTTGGAGGAGAAAGGTAGCCAAAATGGCATCTCTCGCTTTCCGCCTGAAGCCATGAAGCAAGTCAATGTCAGCAAGTAAAAATGTGTGCATTTATGCATTACATCTTTCAGTTGTCCTGCACCCACTGACGGAACTTATTCAATAGTATACACCCAACTTTTTCTTTTGTGTACTTCCCCCAACTCGGTATTACAACAGCATTTAATACTGGACCTTTTCCTCCCAACAGTACATATTTTGACAGCAAAATATTTCCAATTTGTTTGAAAACTGGATCTTAAAGCTTTGCTGGGATATGCTGAATTTTAAAATTCTGATTTATTTGTTTTGATTTTGGGATTATAAATGAACACCATTGTGATATTAAGGTACAACACATGTGAACTCTGTAATTTAACAGAAATGTATAATGTCCCGTTAATCTTTCAAGGACTCACTGACAGGACACACTACAAGGACCTGTGGACACGTGTTACATTCTAGAAACCTCTTGTCTACTTACTGTATAATTAGTGTGTACTTAAGACTGTCAGATGTAGTACAGAAGTGGTAGTTTAGTGACTAAATTTAAGAATTTTATTATACTCTGTTGGTGCCAATGGGTCTGTCTCAGTCAACTGAGAAAGGTTCGTGATTTGCTAATAGTCACTATTTTTTCATTTTAACATCACATTTAATCTCTGAAATCTCAATGAGACACGTTGAGACGTGTTCTCAGTGTTACAACCACAACCTTGTAGTATCTGCCTTGTAGATCTGTCTGCCCTTTCTGGTGGTGTTAGGCTTTGCTGAGGTGATAATTATTATTTCCACACTTTGTGCCTATTTTTAAACACATACATACTGTATCAGAGGTCTGTAAAAACAGCAGCTATAAGCATCCTCTGCGAGTCATGAATCATCAACACTTGTCAACCTGCTCACCTGCATTAAAGTCATCAATTCAATTAATTTGACAACTTAAATATATGCTCTTGAAACCTTAAATGCCACTGTATAATTCAGGGAAAGGTTGCTATAGCTGAACTTTAACACCCACATTTTAAAATCAGTCCATTGTTTTAGCACACGCTTCACTTCACTATCATATTATTTATAATTTATCTCACAACAATATCCCTGAGAGTAAAATTTGAATTATAAACCAGGGTAAGGGTTAGCTAGACAATTCTCCTAGCTACTAGATCATTTAAGAAATACGCACAGCACATGTGATGTCTATTTGATCCATTTCTGAGGATTTAATGTTATATACACATGTGTAACATTCCCATCCAGCTATAGCTCATATCAACACCTCACACAAACTGCTTTCTCCACATAGCAGTGGTTATAAATTTGCTTTTTTGGGGGGGGTTAATATGTGTGACTTTAAAAAAGAAACCCTGCACCCCTTTCTACACACCCACATGTTGGAAAGTGTGGCTTGTCTTGTGATATTTTAGTATGCTGAAAGGCATTTAGGCATTACAACACACACACACACACACACACACACACACACACACACACACCCTTACAGTGAGGAGAAGGCATGCAAGGCCCACCCACGATGTCCCCACACATTCAAACTTCTTCCCCAAACTGCTTAGCATGAAGGCCTGAAGCAGGATTCTAACCACATTCACTTGAACCCAGTTAGAACCTTCCATGTGATTCTCTCAACCAAAGGGCCACCTCCAGAAGCTCTGTTTATTCAGCATCCATCCTGATGAGCTTTGCACAAAACTTATGTAGTGGTTAGATTACGCCCAATCTTTATTGAGCATTCATTCTGATTTGCAACAAAGAGCATTGATCCTGATTTGCTTGTGGGGTGTTTACATGTCGTCTTGCTAATCATTCATTCACCTCATACTTTTCAGCGCATTCCCCTGTCACTTTCCTAACCACAAAAAGTCTGTGTTCCTTTTTTAATGTGGATTTCCCCACCCCTGCACTACACTGAAAGAGCAGTTAACCCACTTTAATTATGCATGCCTGCATTTCTAGTGTGCACCTGTATTCCTCCCCTACACACACACACACACCACACACACACAAACAGCAACAGTGTGCAGGCACTATAATTCAGCTAAACACTGTCAGAATCATCTAGCAGACTTTGTGTTCAGGAGACGAAGGGGCGAGGCCACAGAGATGTTGATGGCAGGCCAGTACCCGCTTTCCTAGATCCTCTGCACCAGGGTTTCCCCAAGCTTGGGTGTCTAGCTGTTTTTGGACTACAGTTCCCATCATCCTTGACCACTGGTCCTGCTAGCTAGAGATGATGGGAGTCGTAGTCCAAAAACAGCTGGAGACCCAAGTTTGGGAAACCCTGCTCTACACCGTTCTTCTTAACACAGTACGTAGAACTATGGAACTTGTTCCTGCGGGAGGCAGGGATGGGCACCAACTTGGGTGGCTTAAAAAGACAACAGGACAAATTCATGGAGGATAAGACTATCAGTGGATACCAGCCCAGGAAGTAATGCTTCTGAATACCAGTTGCTGGAAACTAGGGGTGGAGTGGGGGACAGTGCTCTTGTGCTCAAGTCCTGCTTGCCGGTTTCCTACAGGTTGGCAACCATGAGAACAGGATGCAGGACTAGAAGGGCCACTGGCCTGATCCAGAAGCCTCTTCTTATGTTCAGTGCAGGACCCAAGGCAGCTCACAGCATTAATGGTTGCTAGTTATATGTGGCAGATAAACCATATCAACATTTCTCATATTCCAGAGGATTGTCATCAGGAGACAATGCCTAAACCTTGAGGCGAACTGCAGAGAGCAGCTGAATCACCAGAGGCACAGTACGTCAGCATTTGTACTTCAGGCAAAGTCTGCACCTGTCACACTCAGCTTGACTGAGGAGGTTTTAAAATAGTACCTAATTTTGATGAAAAGTCAGTCGTTATATTTAAAAAAAGGAAGGGGGGGGGAGTTTTGACCGCTTAAAAATGAAATAGCTCATAGCATCATGAGATTTGGGAGGCAACAACCTATTTAATTAAATGCATGAAGAGAGCCAAGAAAATGGTGTGAACACAGTACGTACATATACCTATAGGGGTTTAAGAACAATGGAGAAGAAACAACACTGATAAGGTGAAAACGAAAGAGGACGGGAATTCTAAACATTTTGTAACTCCAACAATGAATTACACATCATGATCTCAGCTCAATAGCCCATGATTAACTAGGCTGAAAATCAGCCTGGCAAATCAGCTTTGGGACTTCTACCATGGTCTGGTTATACTTTAAACTACAGTTTCCTGCTGTATCTGAACAGGGAAACTGTGAATTAATCTCAGTTTAATAACCACAATATGGCTTGAACATTCCTATACCACGGACCCCTCTTATGGTTAAACTTAAAAATATACGTACATCAAATGTCTACAGAAGTATACAAGTATGCAGAAGTGTTGTATATGGGCACTGCATGTGACCATCTTTTCTTGCTTTAGTAGCTTCAAGTGACTGCTTCCCTTCCCTAACCCTAACATCTGGGACACACCAGATGTTTTAAGATACAATTCCCATCACCCGTGACCATTTGGGCCAGCTGAATTTTTCAACTTCCGAATTCCGAAAATGCTAAAAAGTTTTAACATGACTCGGGAATTCAAAAGGTCAGCATGTCTGACTGACAGCCAGAAGGTTGCAGGTTTGAGCCCACCCAGGGGTAGCTGTGAGCAGAATTGGCTGCACTCCATGGGGTTGGACTCTTGGGATCTCTTCCAAGTCTACAATTCTATGGTTCTATGATCATATGAATGAGGCACAATCTCATGCAAAACTGCCCCCATGCACTGACAGGACTTTGCCATTTTCTCACCACTGCTCACTTATACAGAACCCACATTATCACTGAAACTGTGTCTTTACTCCCATGGCTATATGATATTGTTCATGGGTGACTCAACCCTGAGTTGTAGATAATTGATAGGTAAAAACAGATGCCTGTGCCCCATGAGCTGTGTGTAGTCCAGGATAAGAATATAGCTCTTAAGAGAGACTACATAATGCCAAGTAATGCAAGGATGACTTATTTAAGCAAAACATGCCAACAAAGAAATGTACAGAGGCACAATATTTACAGAAAATGAAACCCATCTCACTGGAACATATTCAGACTAATTATTTGGAAGAAATTGATGGAGTGCATCTCATGGTAATTTTCATAGATGCCAAAACCTCGTTGGCAGGGGAAAAACCACACACATAACAGCTACAGAGAATGGAAATGAAAACATTTGGATTAAATGGCCTTTCATTCATCTCATAAAATCATGCTCATGGTGATGGAACTGAAAATATAATGAGGAAACGAGAGACGTTTTGAAGTTTCTCTTGGAAGCACTTCCAGAACCTTGACTTCAGTTATAGGGTTTCAAGACAATACTGTATATTGTGACAGGAAAAGAGCCACTCAAGTGGGATATTTATTATCTTTTGGCACCTTGTTTTGATGTGACCCGTTTTAATTTATTGCAAGTTTCTCCGGTTGTGCAGTCATGTACTTTTACAAGCACAGCTCTGATATGCACGAAGGAGGCTCTGATGCCCCCATGGAATCTTGCACCATGGAACAGCATCTCTGGATCATTTCCCAATATGGAAGTGGAGAGAACACTTGCGTATATAGAGCTTGGAGGTCTAGAGTACTGAGGTCCTCTGAGTGTCCTGCCATAAAAGGAAGCATCTGGAATTCAACAGGAGCATGCTGATATTATTACCCTGTGAACATTAGAAGCACAATTGAAAAGACTTCATAAGAAGCACTAAGGCAGCATGCCTCGGAAAAACAGATAGCGGTTGGAGTTACACCACCTTTTTTGCCAACATATCTTAGATCGGGTTGGCAGGTCCACATGACTGAGATGAACAGATAGGATCCAGGCCAAGTCTCCTGTCTCCTTGTTCTGCCCCCACCATGCCACTGGAATGCCCCATTTTCAGGCTTAAGATCCACTAGGCTCAGCTGAAGCAGCTAAGCCAAGATGGGGGAGATATGCTAGCATATTTCTGGCTCAGCTGAGGGTGAGGGACAGCAAAGCTCAGCCAGAGACCCCCTGGATCCTAACCCCACTCATCCCAGTGAATCTCGCAATAGGATTGCTCCCTTATTATTCAGTCTGGAGTCTGCAGCTTGGAACAGAGGCTATAAGCTGGTCACACGGCTACAACATCTAGCCTACGTTTCGTACTTCTTTGCTAGTTATTTAATTATTTTTATATTCCACTCAATAGGCAGAATCCCCAAGACGTTTAAACACTAAATCATCATCACCATCATCATCACCACAAATAAACTACATGTATCATAGCAACATGCATCTAGGATTCATAATATGCACCTAGATTCATAAATATAGCAGAATGTTGCAACCAAGCCCAGTTAAGACTTCAGGGGGCATTTAAAATGAACCATTTTCTGACTCATGAACATTCTGTGGCATGTGGAATGGTGCCACTCCTGAGAAGGCCCACTTTTTGAATGTCATAAGACATTTCCTTATCCTTCTACCTCTAGCTCTGCATAACATCTTGCCTAATACAGAATTCTGCAAAACTCCAAAGCACGCCACTATTTTGACGTTTTGGTTGTTCCTAATAAAGGTATTGCCCTGTTGTGGATTTTGGAGTTATTTCTTAATGAAATTCACAAGACAACAATGTAATAAAAACAAGAATAACTGAGGGATCACCCCCCCCTTCCCTGAATTGTTCTATTTACTTCTTAACCTGCTCATTAAATTGCAGCAACCATAGGAATATAAACATTCCTGCTGAGAGCAAAACAGCTTGCTCCTACACTCTTACAAGTAACTTGATGGTATTCTGTTTTCTCTGTTAATAAACGATTTTTAAGTAAGAACAATAGAGTTTACTTATTAAATTGTAAAGATCATTTCCTGCAACATTGCAGATGTTATCTCTAGAACAGGCTTCTCCTTTTCTGCTAGCTAACTAGATGACTTTGCCAGTTTCAGCCGCCTCACCTTATGCTCAACAAATCTGAAAGAGACAATATGTGTGAGATGCACCTACATGCATTGTTCAGACGGGATAGCTCAGCCGATTAGAGCTTGAGTGCTGATGCTAAGGTTGCAGGTTCGATCCCCATAAGGGACAGCTACATATTTCTGCATTGCAGGGGCTGACTCTATGATTCAAGCAAGTTGGAGAGAACATTATTCATCTCAAATAGCAGGCAATGTAGGGTTGCCATACATCTGGACTTTTCCAGACATATCCGGAATATTGCAGTCGGCAGCAGTGTCTGGGTGGAAATTGGAGAAAAATCTCCAGGAAAATTTGGATGTATAGCAGCCCATGTTGGCAGTGCAGTTTTTGCCATTTCCCCATAAAAATAGTTCAAAATCGGCATTTTTTGTGTGAATTTGCCCAAAAAAGCTCAACAACTTTTCTGCCCAGATTTTTTTCACTGTTTGAAATATGACAACCCTAGGTGATGCCAACTGGTTTGCAAGTTGGCAAGAACAAATGCTCTTTCATTTTTGTTACCATATCCTACGAAGTACATGGAAACTGTCACGCCCTCGTTCCTGCAACCCCTCTCTTGGCATTCTAAAAGCACATGGTCCTTGCTGTCACACTCCTTTCCCCATTCCTCTGCTTAGGGTGATAGCTTAGGGTGATAAAACATGGCAGCTGCAGGGAATAGCTCTCCTTTTGACAGAAGAAGTCTGACAAAGCACTTAACCATTTCCTCCTGACCCAATTAATTTGCCCTTTGGGGAGAAAAAAATGTCATGATGCAGATTTCCATGTCCCAGTGGTATAACTTTAGCCAAAACACCTGAAGGACACTGGATTGGGCAAAGGCTATTATTATTATTATTATTATTATTATTATTATTATTATTATTATTTATTGCATGAGGAAGCTCACCCTTCCTCTTGAAGGAGCCCAGGGCAGCAAACGCATCCACAATTCAAAAAAGGCAAGTGCTCTAAATAGTTAAAAGCATTCTGAATGTTTAATCTCTTTGGCCTAGGAAGGTTTTGAAGTTGCTGCCTTAACGCAACACACACCAGATTTGGTCAGATTTCCCACTCTACTCCCTGCCTAAATATTTCAAGAAGCACCACTATGTGTCTTACCACATTTTGGAAAGTGCTCAGAAAAGAATGTAATTGACACTTAGTGCCAATTATTTTTCAAGAGCCTGCAAGAAAAATAATATCCTAGTGGCTTTATAGGCACATTAAAAACTGTCCTTAGTTTAACTACTTGGCTGCATTGCCAAGAGTCCCTTTCTTCAGATTTCATTGCTTCAGAAACAGCTGTAAATGTTTTCTTCTCATTAAGGATTACTCCTTTTTGGTTTCGGTCTAAATTGATTGTCACTTGTGATTTAAACTTAAAGAAAATATGCCAATAAATATTTATGTCATGCAAGCCATCTGCTACCCTTTTGTACAATATGCTAATGATTAGCAAGGCACCATTTCTCTCTACCTGACGTCATCTGGGTCACAGTAAACCCTGGACTCATGATAGCAAGCAATCGTGCCAATGCATAAGCAACATCAAGCTGAAGACTCATTGGGGATTCCATTTCTAAGGGCTGTGATAGATCACAGGTGCAAAGTAAAGGCAGTATCTTCAAATACCCATCATGCTCCACATCAACCACCTGGCCCTATGGAGCATCATTTACAGCCTTGCCAGTCCCGGGCTATATGCCCAGTTCTTCTAACAGCACTTTTGCAAGTTTCCTATTTATTTATTACTAAGTGGATTTGTCAAAAGTGGTCTCCAAATACACCCTTAACAGGCAAGAGCAAACGAGCAAGAGAACAAACCCAGTAGAATAGCAATTATTGGATGAGCTGGGACATTTCCCCAGTGTACCCCACAATCCTGAACATAGTCGGGCAACAATAAATTAAAACAGATAAAACATAAGCTTCCAGTTCATGAGTTGTCACTTAAGCATGGCAGGAATTGTGCTGCAACAGCCCAAGAGATATCTTTTGTCTGGTAAGCAGGGCAGGTCTATGCAGTGCCAATCTATTTGCTCTCCATAAGCCTTATGAGATGACCATTTGTTTTTAAACAGAAGCCATGATCTGCAGTGAGGAAGGGTAAACACAGCAGTAACTTTAGCTCTGTCCAGACTCAGCAGCAGTTAAGTTGCCTGAGAGGAGAACTAGGTGTCAAACTGCACATTATGCTTACGGCAGCTACATCTCCAACTTTCTTTCTTTATTTACAGGCACAAGGGAAAACCTGGTTGTTAATAGTACTGTTCCCATCTATGATACCAGCTAAAAACTGTCCTTTCCCCAGCATTCAAAACTCCCATTGCTCTAGCTGTGTTTTGCGACAGGGAATTTCATTAATGCGGGCAATTTCTGAGCTCTGGGTACAGTACTGCGCCTAAGATTTCAGATTAAAACTGCCACTGCTGGAAGGAAAGGAGGACCTTTTTCTGCCTCCCCACTTCCAGCCACTTTCTGAAGATTGAAGATAGGATCTCATAAGAATATTAGGGGGGCGGCAGGAGAAGTATTGCTTTTTTTGCAGTCTTCAGATGAAAACTAGACCATGTGAAAAATGAACATAAGATTTTAGCTGCAGTTCATTCATTTTCAGCTTTGTATTCTTGTTGTAAAAAAGTGTGCCTAGACATTCTGTTGTTGTGCCCATAACCTAGGTTTATGGTGCCATTTAGCTCCTAGCTTTCATATTTCAGTTTCTAACATTGCCTTTCTCCTAAACAGCTATGAAGGCTAGTAAAATAACCTCCACTGGGGCCAGTTGGAACCTTTTTACTAACTCACATAGTCTGGGGACAGGAGTTTTATGGAGGTGGGGGGGGGGAGTCACAGCTGGGAAAGGACTAGCCAAATTTCTGCATTTCATGGTCCCAATAACAACTGAGGCTGTATTTAAACAACACAGATTTAAATCTGTGCAGAAATGAAGAACTTCTTTTCCCCACTGCCTGCTATATGTTAAGCATAATGTGCAAAATTTGGTCCTGAACAGCTTGTTTCTTTTCACACTGAATGGTTGGGGGGGGGGGGAGGGAAGCAGGGTATGAAAGCACTATTTGATTACTTATGTATTAGAGTTTGCAATATTTACATTTTAATGCAAACTTCCACAACAAAGATCAGGGATAAATTATTTTCCTCCTCCCTCATAACAACTCTGTTCAGCAGGCTAGCGAGTAAGTGTGAGAGATTGGGGCAGGAGAATTCACCGGCTGAGCTGTCATTTGAAGTGGAGTCTCCCCCTTCTGAACCTGATATTGTTAACCACCACACCAAGCATATATATATTGGCTTGCATGAGAGAAGCAGGCACAGCAGGTAAACAACACCCTAATCATCTGTTGGGACTGGAGATTATGCATGGGGCCAGGCTGAGCCCTAGCCATGGGCTATCCTTTACAGACACCCAGGGGAGAATCTTTTGCTGACATGAAGCCACTCCAGCTTTGGGAGGATGGCACCGTGGATGGCCACAACACCGTGGAATGAGACACAGAGAACCTTTGCTAGCGGAAACAACCCAGAATTATACGGAAGCTGTTGCTTGGCCACTTAAGCAGGTAAGAACTGTCTCTAGGCGACGAGTCAGGGAAGCTTTGCACAATTTGGTTATTTTCTCTGTGTTACAGGCAGCAAATGATTAACACAGGCATGTGTGAAGCAGATGGGCTAGTAAACAATTTTGTGATCTAATAATAATAAGGGACATGTGCGACGCTGGAACAGAGAGGACATTGTATCTTGGCTGTATTCCTTCACATTTACTAATGAGAAGGCCACGTGATGACATGCCTTTAAAAGGCCTTGTGTTCACTCATGTACCATATTTGGAAAAGGGCTGTGGCTTGTTACTGCCACGGTTTTAACCTCCAGCTAACTTATTCTTCCTTGGCAGAATATAATTAAGGTGTTTTAAAGACTGAGCTAGGGATTAAACTAAAAATACCTCTCTAGTAATAACAGCTTAGGTTTGGGGAGGAAACAAAGGCCCAAAGATGCAAAGCTTTTAAAAAAATAAAATAAAAAATAAAGGGTAGCTTGACTCATACTCACTGTTGCAAGATAAAGTAACTACACACACCACTAATTCTCAGTTGGCATGCCAAGTACTAGGAACAATGCTTGAAAGCAATGTAAGAACACAAACAGACCTGTGGGATGCACAGCTTGCTTCCACTCCCCATTCTAAACAAATTGTTCTTGTTGATTAAAAAGTGGCCAGCAAAATGCATGCCTTATTAAGTTATTCCTACAGTAACCATAGTTGCTACTGGTAGTGGTTCAGAGATAGCATGAACACAGCATTAAAGACAGGGGTGGGAAATGTGTAGCAGTCCAGATACTGCTGGACTACAACTCCCATCACCTCTGCCCATTGGCCATGCTGGCTGGGGTTTAAGGGAGCTGGACTACAACAACATCTGGAGCGCCACAGGTCCCCCATTGCTGCATAAGGAAAGCATCTTTAAACAAGTAATCTGGGAAGAATAAGTACAGTTCTCTTTACCAATATTAATGTTGCAAAGGTATACCTATGGTTGCTTAACTAGCTCTCAAGCCAAATAACCATTCTTCATGTTACAATTTCTCTATACTGGGTTATAAACATGTATCACTCTACAGAGCAAACTCCATTAGAGGAGAAATGTAATATGAAAAGCAGTCCTAAAAGTAACATTTTAAAAGTTGAATGCGGCCAAGATACTATATAAGTTTCATCTTAACAAAAGCCACATTACTGACACTGTTTCCCTTCTACTCTGGGTAGTCTTCTCTCTTGAGATCAATCTCACATGCCACCCCTTCTCCTGCTCTGTAATCCTGTAATTTCATGTAAGCCAGCACTGATAGCAGAAATCAGAAACACGCAGTAGAGTTGCGAAATTTCATTTTTGATTGCCTAAATAGTTGACTGTGTTTTTGCTAATAGGCAGTGGTTTTCAAACAACAAGCCAATACATTTTCAGATTTACGATTTATTCGCTGTTCTGACTGCACATTCCTTCTCCTGCTAGGGTTCGGATCGCTCAAGGACTTACAGAGGCATAGTTCTTCTCCAACTTGTCCTCCACGATGCCAATCCGGCATGGTGTCCTCTGATTCTGGAACCAGTAGTCTGTTGATTCTAGCAGGCTGTTACTGCAGAGAACCTGTGGAAACACAAGATTTCATAGTCCTCCTTCCATCAAAGTCATGAAGCTTGGATGCCTGCATCAGTGGAAGTTTTCAAATCAATTTTGCTTTTGAGTCATCAAACAATTTAAAGTGGTAAGTCCCCCCCAAAAGGGATGGGGTGAGGCAGGGCAAGGAGAGAAAATCCAATCCTCTTGCATCTCGGTGACATGACGTGGCAACCCAGCAGAACCTACACCAGGAAAACTGGTGGTGTAAGTCAAACTTTATTTTAAAGGCTCGTTTTCCAAAATTTCACTTTGGAAGCTCAAACCATCATGTAGGTTCTTAACTCTGACTAGCACAATTCACGTATCTGAACGCTGCCATTGGGCTCATCTGGATGCAACAATATTTTGGCTTAATAAAACATGGTTTATTCAACTCGGAACAATCATTGTGCCTGCATGCTCCTTCCTTGCTCCTTCCCTTCAATTCCTGTACATTGACTTTGACGCCTGAATTGTGATTACCTTAAACTAGAACCTGACACGGGAAACTGTGGTTTAATCTTTGGACTTCAAATTACATTAGGGCATTAGCATGGTTTCAGATTGTAGCGTACAATCCAAGATTAAAACTCAAATTTACATCATTTTTGATGTAATAAAAAATGAAAGTAATCATGATACGAGACCTAAAGCCATGGAAGGAATGAGGGATGGGGAAGAAGGGCGAATGTGCAAGCATAATGTTAAATTCCTAGCTTACTAAACCATGGTTTCATTTGCTTTCAGCTCTATCTTTCTCATGTTTCAGCCTTGCTTATCCATCATCTGGCTAGTGTTCAAAACAAAAACTCATTGTGTTCTCAAGAACTGAACTTCTTGGCGAGGCTTTTGTGAGCACAAACGTGGAGCCTGCCCAAGCTCACTTTCGAACCCAAACTAAGCAAAGAGTGCTCAGTCCCTGTTTATTTAAAGCAAAACTTTTTTTAAATAATGCATTGATACCTCTAAATAATTTTTTTCCAGATCATTATATGTTTCTATGCAAGAGATTTTCTCATTTTACATTAAAATGGGTTTCCCTCCTTTTAAAGCCACGCTTCATTAAAATGCCTCTTTTTTAAAAAACGGTGACATTAGCTCAAAATTGCAGGCAGTGACACCACACATATATTTGGTGCTAAGCATATTGTAATAAAGTATACTTATTATTCTGGGCTCTGATTCTGTAATGTGAATGGGATGCCATTTGCCACCTTTGAAAATAAGCACAATAAATAACACCATATTAAAGTGATTGGAAATGTACATAAAAATTCATATGCATGAACTGTGATGGGAAATGAACTGCACATTATGTGCTAGTAAGATATAAACAATGTGATGCAAGTTCATTCTCTTTAGGGATTTCACTAGTTGAAGGCTATTATACGTTTGAACACTGGAATTCTAAATATGTCTACGCAAAAGCAAATCCTTTTGAATTCAATGGGACTTGCTCCCAGGTAAGTACAGGTAGCATAGCAGCTTCACAGCACATCTTATACATGCCTTTTCAAGAAGTATGTCCCACTGAATAAATTGAACTAATAAGCATGTAATCATTCTGTTTGGCACAAATTATCGAGATGACTCGTGCTTAATACAAATAATACAAGCAAATGGTTCCTGTAAAAATATATATTGCTACAGTGTTTTGGTTACACAAGAATCCACAACTTGGAGAACGACTTTGCTGTTTGCATAAAGGGATGTAACTGTCTCTCTCATGCATTTCACTTTGAGTTTGGAATACAGCGGGGGGCAGGGATTGATTTGAAAGCCTTCCTGAACTATCAATTGGCATGGGAAAATCTGAAATGTATGAAATAATAGTTTGGGGAGAAATCCATGTGCATAGATATAATTAAGAGATTATTATTGTTAGCACCCGTCTGTCTCGAAAGACAATGGGGTGTGCCTCCAGGGGCGAAGTCAAACTGCTGGAGAATCACAGCGCCTGCTGTGGCTGCAGAGACTGGTATCTTGTAAGTTCCTCCTGCATTGTTTTTGCTGCATTAGCAGCATGGTAATTAAGAGATGGATGCAAAATAATTATGAAACTTCCACCTGGCAGTTTTGTCGGACACCACATCAGTATATTGGGGTCTTAGCAAGATTAGCTCTCATAATCAGTTTCTCACTAGAAATGACATTCCCCCACCCATGGAAAAAAAAGTCTGCCTTTCCACATAGGAGTATATATGGTCCTATGGTGTAAAGCAGGAGTGGGAAATTTGTGGTCCTCCAGATATTGTTGGACCCATCAACGCCAGCCAACATGGCCAACAACTGGGAATGATGGGAGCTGTAGCTCGACAACAATGTCTGGAAGGCTACAGGTTCTCTAATCTTGATTTAATTAAAGGAGTAACAGCCACAGCAGGGACACTTACTGAAAAACACTTCATAATGCTATTCATTATCCCCCCCCCCAAGTGTCTGTACTGAGCAATGTTTTCAGCTTAATTTCAGGGAAGCAGCAATTTGCATGGACCTACATGTGTTAATTCATGTAAATGAATGCCTGTTTAATATAGGCAATCAACATGGAGTAAGTGCCGGAAGATAAACGGTCAGCTATTCATCCAATCATGGTAATGGAAATAAGATGAGGCTATTTGTTACCTGTTTGCGTAGGAGAGCTGAGTTGTTTGACTTCATTATAATAAAGCAGTTTATGATGCAAGAATGATGGGATTTGCTCCTTGAATCCGCTCTTGGCAACTTTTTTTATTTGCAAAATATGCTAATATGCATACACGGTCTTTACCTGGTACACTGGAATCCTAATGAAAAATAGATGTATTTCCCCACAGTTTGCACAATGCCGTTTACATAAAATTATAAGGATTTTCATGATAGCCAACTAAGCTTTCTCAGAGTAGACCCACTAAAATTAATGAATGTGGCTTTTATTTCAGTACGTCTGCTGTGATGAAAGCATAGCAGAATACTTCCCTTTAAATATATATATATATATTCATACTCGATCACAACACATCAGATTTTGGGACAAAGTATGTGAAATATTCAGTTTTTAAACATGCAATAGGAATGGGAAAGAATTGCTGCCCTGTTGCTTTGAGACTGTTCCTTGGTGCTACAGGGATGGGTGAATTCCTGATGGTGACAGCCATCAGCCTGATCCAGAGGCAAGTTAGAGGGGCTTGTTTAAGAATATTAATTCCAGGCAGCTTAAATCTAAGAGCTGCCTTACATTCGACATCAAGGTTGAGAGAGTATGTGAAAGTGATTGGCACAGCCAACCTCCATCATTTCATATCATGTCAAAAGCCACCCTAGGCACCCTAATGATAGATTATTTTTGCCGCTGGTAATACGCAGGTAACTCCCAAGTGGAACTGTTCCATGAGGATTCAAGGATATTTAATGAATGGCAATCAGATTGCACTGAGGTTATCTAAGGTGAAGCGGAGAAGGGAGGAACTAAGTTCCCTTCCCACCACGTCTCAGTCCTTCGTTGCCTTCAGGGTACCTACACCTGGCTAAGACTGAACAAAATGACCTGACTCTTTAGGGATGGAGGGGAATGTCAGGAGAATATGAGCTGGTGAAACATATGCATTTTTGGCAGCCCTCCTCCTGTCTCCAGAAAGCAAGAACAATCTTTGTGCATGTATACTCAGAAATAAGTCCCATTCAGTTTAATGGGGCTCACTCTTAGGTAAGTACAACACAGGAAGCTGTCCTATACCAAGGCAGACTACTGGTCCATCTGGCTCAGGTTTGTTATCTACACCAATGGGCAGTGGCTTTCCAGGGCTTCAGACATGGGGCCTCTCCCAAGCCCTACCATGAGAAGTTGGGATCTTTGCAACACAAAGCAGTTATTCTTCCACTAAGCTAAAGCCCTCCCCCTCATTCAGACTCAGGGTTCTAATAGAAGGAAGTGGTAGGCTGAGTGGTGTCATTCACCGTTAGCATTGCTCTGTTATTGTCCTGATATTACTCTGAAAAATTGCCATGCCTTTATGGTCTAATAAAAGGTTTTCAAACAGAAGGGCATGTTAAACAATTGCTGCTACTGCTTCTCCAACAGCAATTCCCCCATTTAAAGCTATCTAGAGTGTAAGGCTTACTATATCAAATTGACGATGGTATTGCCTAATCAAATAATTAATTTCCACTGTCGGCATTTTTGCACAAAATAGTATCGCATTCATCGTACCCCGCGGGTTTTTAACCACAAAAATTTGAGACAATTGCTTGAGACAAGAAAGGATTTTTCAAGAGACATCAGTAGAACAATCCCATCTGAGTATGAGCATCCAAATAAAATCTTTCATTATTTCTGAGGCAGAATGGTTCCCTATCTCAAACAAACCAGAAAAGTTTTAACAACTCAAAGGCCGAACCTTGACATAAACCTAACAGGAAAAGGCTTGATTCAGTCTTGGTTTGCTTAATATAATCCCTTAACTCCTCTCTTCATATTAATAGATCAGTTGAATGAGATGCTTTTTTCAAAAGACCTGGGAAAAGGTGTGGTGGTGGTGGTGGGGAGTTTTTCCTGCTGAAATACTATTTGTATTTCAAATCCCAGGTACTGTGGTTGAAGCAATGAAATGGGATGCTTAGGAGACTCTGGAATCTGCTTCCTTGAGCCTGCAATGGCATTTCAGAAATGTTTGAGAAAGGTGACATCCTGATTAAGAGGAAGGATTTGGACTACATGATCCTTGTGGACACCTCTAACCCTATGATTCCATGATCAAAATATCATCTCCAGCCTCTCAAAAACTGTATGAGGTAGGCCATTATCTTCCCATTCCACAAACAGAAAACTGAGAATCCATAATGTTATTTTTCCAAGATCGTTAAGAGAATTCATGGCTGAGAAGTCTAAGTGACAATGTCTCCACTGCCCCCCAAAATAAACAAAAACCCTTTGCCACTTCTGTCTAGACTAAACTGTCACCATTATTCAGTGTGTTGTCAACTGTCAATCAGTGAACACAAACAGTATCTAATAATACATGCAACGAAAACTTAATAGTTTTGCCCGGGAGGGAAAGCAGCCCATAAATTCAGTATAACCTCATCTTTCTCTAAGTGACTAATATTACAGATGAATCGTACACATGTCTATTGGAAGTAAGTCTCACTGAATTCAATGGGCTTACTCCCAGGTAAATCAGTATAGAATCGCAGCTTTAATATGTAATGGAGCTCTAAAGGGGCTCTGCTCCACACAGGAGATAGCAGCATGTTTTTGCCTGGATGTCTTAATTGCTATAGTTAATTAAAGCTCATCAAAAAGAGATGAGCATAAAACAGGCAAAACAAGATGAGAGTTTGTGGCTTGTTCTCAGCATTTTTTGAAATGGGGACAGTGAACTGATCTTTGGCACCTTGAATGCTGCCTAAAAGGCACTGTTCATGTCAGGAATAACTAATCAAATGCTAAAAAAAGTGAATTGGATGGGATGTGTAATTTATTCTCTGCCAGTGCCAGTCCATTGCAAATGATAAATCTACTTTTTTTTTAAAGAATGAAAGAAATCCATTAAATTAATAAAATGTGTGGAGAGAAGCTGATGGACTGTAATAGCTTATGATGAGGACTCAGAGACGTTTCCCATGTTAACACATCTTATAATAACCCTTTCAATTTACATCAATTCCTGCTATTGTCAAAATGCAGGTGAATCATATTTATGTGGATTGGAATATTTATTTTTGGTTACACAGAATATTAAATGAGCCGTCAAGAGGCTGCAGTAAAAACAGAGAGGGTCTCCCACACTGAAACAGGGGTCAAAGTTGGCCACATTTTGCTGTTTCCATGCTTTGCCTGTAAAATACAGAAAAGGAGCTTGGGAATCTCCCTCATAAGGAAATGTATGTGCTCCCAGCATGGGAATAGAATGTTCCTCTCCCAGAGCATCAAATCATAGAATTGTAGATTCAGAAGGGATCCCAAGACTCATCTAGTTCAATCCCCTGCAATGCTGTCCATGTCTCACTTTGGAATGTTAGGTAAAGGTAAAGGTACCCCTGACCATTAGGTCCAGTTGTGGACGACTCTGGGGTTGCGGTGCTCATCTTGCTCTATAGGCCGAGGGAGCCGGTGTTTGTCCGCAGACAGCTTCCAGGTCATGTGGCCAGCATGACAAAGCCGCTTCTGGTGAACCAGAGCAGCACACGGAAACGCTGTTTACCTTCCCTCCAGAGTGGTACCTATTTATCTACCCGCACTTGACGTGCTTTCGAACTGCTAGGTGGGAAGGAACTGGGACTGAATAACAGGAGCTCATCCTGTAGCGGGGATTCGAACTGCTGACCTTCCAGTCAGCAAGCCCTAGGCTCTGTGGTTTAGACCACAGTGCCACTAGACTCGAAGCTCGTTAAAATGTTCAAAAGCTCGAAAAAAATTCAATCGAGATTGAAGAGCTTTAAGATGCCAACATCTTTAGCACTGAAATTTAGGAAACCTGCATGAATGCAACTATCTACAGGTAAGGTCTAATATGGGGGACTTGGAGATCTATAGCTTGCCCTATAGAAAAGTTTTCACATGGCTTCCAACACTGGCCCAAGGATCAGTCACCACAAACTGAAACAGGAATAGCATTCTGTAAGTAGGGCGAAATCACGGAATAGGCCATTCGCCGATCAGCGAGCCAGCTCACCTCAGCAGGCAGGAGAACTTAAGAAGGGCCTCATAATGTCAGAATGAAACTAAAGCCCTCAGAGATGTGCATGGGTCAGCAGAAATCCTGTTCAATTATCTGACAAATTGTAGATAGCTAACAAAACAGTGCAGACCAATATCAAGCTTTTTTTAAAAAATGGAATTCTCAGTCTCAAGCAAAGCTAGCTGCAGATATGACTCATAACCTGAATCCACTGTGAGGATTCGCTTAGGCACCATTATAGCTCTCAGTTGAGCTGTCTTAAAAGAAGCTGCCAAATGAGAGAAAGATTCTGCCCTCCACTGATCTTGTCTGGTTGCACCTGGACGTGAGCAATGTGAGTCCAGGGCATGACATGAAGGCATAGGAAGCCACCACTACCTTGAAGCTTGGAAGGCCTGAGTCTGGTCAGTGCCCGGACTGAAGACTTACCTGAGTACCGCATCTACACTGTCTTAGGTTTCACGATGGATGGAAGGAAGGTGAAATATAAATTCAAGAAAACAAAAAAAATAATAAAATGCTTCATCCATTGCCTGACTCAAATAAAGCAAATATGCGGTATGCGTGCTCCTTCGCATGTAATGGGAAGTGATGGTGCAAGGAACCCACCATCTCTCCCTATATGCTCTAGAGCTCACCCATAGTTTGCCACGTGTCTATTTGGCCTTGTTTCCTTTTCCTTTTATTTTCTGAACTCGAAATGTGGAGTCCAAGTTGAGATATTAGCTCAATTGCCTGTCTTAATCTTAATTACATTTGGAGCTTTTCCCACTTAGCAAGTTTTTTTCTCAGAAGGATATCTGCAGGAAATCAATTTCCATCTTATTTACTTCAGCTAACTGAAAATAGAAGATTAACGACTGTGAATATTATCACTGGTAAGTACACTTAATGCTTGACCCATTCCAATCAAACTGATGATACGTATGATTAAGCTCAGAGGTTCCAGACATATATGGAGTGGGCAATTCATCCCCTCGACTCAAGTCTACCCTTTCTGTCCACGCCCAGTCACAGAAACTCCAGTGGTGGAGCATCTGTGTTCACTTTCCTAGAACCATTTGCCCTTGAGAGTTTCACTGGCACAAGCCACAGTTTGTCTCTACAGCGAAAGGAGCACAGCAAGATCAGGCTGTCCATAAACACAAGACACCAAACATTTTTGGAATATCCAGCCAATGCAAGACTTGCAATCTTTTTTGCCCATATCCAGATGTTCATGCTGATTTTTCCATTTCATATTTTTTATTTACCGTACAGCTTGGGCTTCAAGCACTATTGAGACAACAGCTCAGCAGTACAGTCAACCTGCTGGTTAAGAATAATGTGAGCTTATTTTAATAATGCAAAGTTTATTTTAATAATGCAATCTGATTAAAAATAACGCAAGTTACCTTCTTACATGCTGTGACCGAGCTTCCAAGACTGCTTCCTGAACTATCTGTGCCACTGCTCTGGTGCTCTGAAACTTCATACATCAGTGGAGATTCAAAGTTGCTGAAGAGAGAAAATCATTCAGTGACTCATTGGCATAAATAAATCAAATATGGCTTCATTTTTAAGTCCTACCCAACACAGCTCACTTCAATCCCTGCTGTTTTCTAGGTTAGCAGCGCAAGTCTATTGACCGGTTCATTTTGCTGCTTTTGGAAGTATGCTCTAAAATAACTCCCTGGTGCCTTTTAAAAACTGAGAATAAAGACCTTAGCTGGACATAATGGCATCTGTCTGCCTTCAACAATACAATTAAGTGTTCTCTTCCTCCTCAAGCACAGTTCTAGGGACGCAACTGATATGTAATGGCAGCATTCATTCAGCTTGACAGATTCCAAGATAAAAACAAACAAACTTCATGCTGTGCTTCAGCCTTTGCCAACCTGGTATATATTTTGGATTAATGTTACAATCAAGCTCCAGCCAGCTAGCTCTACTGGCTCATAGTCCCAAAACATCAGAGGGCACCAGGTTAGCAAAAGCTGCTATGCCTCATCCCAGTCCCCTGATTCACAACCAGGAAAAAAAGACAAATTACTGTACAGCTATTCAGAGACAAAACAACAACAAAAAGTGCAATGGACTAGAGAGCCCAAGCAGGCTTTCCCCATCATCGTTAATGTGGTGTGGTGGTACAGTACACAGTGTTGCAAGCGTGAAATCCAGAATTTGCAGACATAGAGGACAGTCCGGAGCTATCATCCTCAGGCGCAGCTTGTCATGCAGAGCCAACGCCAGTCATAAAATGTTACTACTGATGGATTAGCAACTCATGATGGCAGCCCATGGAACAAAGCTATAAATCATTGCCAACATCAAACCCACTCCACTGATTTGGCGCCGTGGGTGGCACTTTCACCATACACTCACGGTTGCTACATAATGGTCACACGACGTCCATGATGAACCTGCAGAGGTGGCTCTTGCCAGAGGGCTCTGCCCACATTCTTTGTTTTTTCATTACTTGGGGATGCTCTGCCTCCTAGCTTTTGGAGTATTTGGAGAGCAAGTTTACATGGGGTGTGGGGGAGAAGGGAACTAAGGAGCAGATTTTTTTTTCTACAGCTCCCATAGCACTAGAACTTCAGACCAGTCAGCAAAGTTCTTTGGAATTGCTTCCTCACACTGTACATAGTTAAATTATGGAATCCACTACCCCAACTTCAATAGTTTTAAAAGGGCATTAGCCAGATTCATGGAGGGTAAGGTTATCAATGGCCATGATGGCTGTATATTACTTCCGGTATCAGATGCAGTATGCCTTTGTATACTGATACACTGGGGAGAAAATGGGGAGGAGTGCTTCTGTGTTCCTGCCATGCTTGTGAGCTTCCTCTAGGCATCCGATTGGCCATTGTGAGAACATAACGCTGGATCCAGCAGAGCTCACCTTTTATTCTTCTTTCTCAAACACTTGTTTCAAGCTATGTATTCTGGCTGCAGCCCTTTGATTATCTGTTCCACAGAACTCCCTTGCATATCATCTTACCTTTCCAGGTTGGGGTTGGACCAGCCATCAGGCAGAGTGAGTCTGCCACCTTAGACTGCTGATTTTGGTATCACGAAGGGCTAGAAAACTGCTGGTGGTTTTATTTATCGTAACTGCATTTTTACTTGCCAGAAAGCAGGAGAGGCAGTTGTAGGATTTTCTGCTTCAGGTGCCAACAGAATCTGGTTGGCCTTGAGTGAAGATGGGCAGGGAAGGGCCACCATTTGCTACTCTGCCTCGGGCAGCAAAATGTCTTGCTTGCCAACGCTTTTCATCTTAGTCATTCATTTGTTTTCTCTGACTTATTTTATAATGATGCTGAGCTTTCCTTGGCTGGCTGAGCTATTCTCAGCTGCTCTGACTCATCTCTGGCACCATGTTTCAACAGAGTCTCCAAATCCTTACTTGCAATGGCCGGTAAAAGTCAAACTCACTACCGTGATAGTTGGATCATTTGTTGGAGGAAATCAGGAAGTGGGGGAAATGACAACTTCCCCCTCCCCAGCCAAACAAGGGCTATGTCCACACCACTCATTTAAAGCATCATTGCACCACTTTAACAATCATTGCTTCCCCCAAAGAATCCTGGGAACTGTATTTGCTAAGAGTACAGGGAATTGTAGTTTTGCAAGAGGTCTCCTTTCTCTCAGCATGCTTAACAAACTACAGCTCCCAGGATTCTTTGTGGGGTAGCCATGATTGTTACAGGGGTGCTTTAAGCATATGGTGTGGATGTGACTTGGCGGCATAGCAGCAGATCCACCTGTTTAAATATGGAACTCAGCCACACATAGGAAAGAAAATGAGATTCAGTTTTAAAATAAAAATGGGGTGTGTGGACAAGTTCAGAATGGTTCCACCACCTGCAGCTCTCTTACCCACAGCTTCTCTGCCAGGTGCTTTTCTCCTCAGCTGAACTTAAGATTCTGGAAATGGCCTTAAAACACTTTAAAAGGGGCTAAAGTGGAAGGATAGTTCTGTACTCCTCACCTGCACACGCCTTTTTCTTAAAAAAACGAACTATCACACCTTTTACGTGACTGGAATAGTTCCACAGGTAAACATACAGAACTGCCCCAGTAATGTCTAGTTTGGCCTTTAAGACTTGGTGGTAGTCACAACACTTTCTGTCTTTAGGCTGTGAAAAATGTTTCACATTTCTTATCACAGTCCAATATGCTGAATTTCAGTGTCACACTTTACCAACATTACAGCTACTTGCTCTTTTTACCTTGACACAAATGTATGTTGTTCATACAGACACTTAAATATAAGCCGATACAGGAAAAAGTTATGAATTGCTTTTCTATGAGGAAAGATGATAAATACCATGAATTTGTTTGACCATAATCAAGGAACAAACACGCTCCAACAATACAAGTCACCAAATAAATAAATAAATAAATAAATGTTTATCTGTTCTTTAGTACTCAGAAATTTTCTACCATTATTTCAAACATATACATATTCGATTCAATCCTATAAAATGGCCTGCGTAGGCCCAGTTCACATGTAACAGTAAACCATGGCTTAAAATATATCATGGCTTGCTATGAATGATTTGCACCCACCCCTCTCCTCTCCATGTCAGACCAAGCGGGAAGGGGGGGGGGAGCCCAGGAGAACTAACTTAGCATTACTTGTGAACAAGCGCTTATGGTTTGTTCCCTTCAGAGAAACCACAATCTGTTATTCTGGAATAAACCTTGGCTTCTGTCCATGGTCTGCTAGGAGAGAAACAAAAAAAATGAGTGCTGGTTCACACGTAACACTAAGCCACCGCTCTGTTTTATTTCCTCAAAGGGAAGAGCTGGTGGAAACAAATGAGCAGTGCAAACCAGAATGCTGCTATTTCACATTAAGCCCTGGCTTACAGCTTACAGTTTAGTGGCTTTGGTAATAAAGCAGCACAGAACGGAACGGAACAGAACAGGATAAAAATTAAAAGGTGTTATGTGGGTTTTGGGTCTGACACAGCAACTCCTAAGTGGTTTAATACTGGTTTAAAGGGGCAACATTCCCTTGCAACAGGGCAGATCCCCCCTTTATTATACGTGTGCTAAGTATATGAACTGGACAGGTACCCTTTCGCAATGGGCAGTTAAGAGCCTACACTATTTGTACAGAATCCTATAGACACTCCTGACCCAAGAAAGCTACCAAGATTGGAATAAATGTCTTTCTATCTCTCTAAGATCGGGATCAAACTTTTTATTCTATAGTGGAATTGAGGGTTTGTGCCACTGCTGCTTAAGTCAATCCATAGGACTGATGCAGAGACACCCAAGGAGCAGATGTGTTGTTGCTGCTGCTGCTTGTAGTTTAATACTATACGTATTCTACAAACCAGTGCTTTTTTTCCCTAAAAAATGTTTAGGGCTACTCTCATTTTCCTATTCATATTGAAATACTGCCCCTCAATGAGGCCAAACTTAGATTCACAAAATGTTTAGGGATGTGCATACCCTGTGTCCCCCCAGAAAAAAGCACTGCTACAAACTAACTGAAAAGAGGTACGTATGAAGAAACAAAACATGCATTATATTACATTTAAAGGTATGTTGCCAAACAGTCATCATGTATATGCACAGGGGTTGTAAACGAGGTTCTGTGGGCCCACATATTCCCACAAAGGCCTTCCTCAGAGCCCATGGGCTACCCTTTCCCACCCCTTCTCTCACTGAAATAGCCAACAGATAGTTTCTTTGGTTTGTCTCCACAGGCCCAAAAAGGCTGGCTACCTCTGGCTCAAATAATTTCTACCACAGATTTAAATAACAAATGAACTCATTTAACAGCAAGTCAAGAAAAGAAAAAAAGGAGAAAAGTTTGCATTAATAGGAGGTGATAGAGCAATATGATAGCAGAAAACCTAAAATGTCAGTGTATTTTGTGAGTGACATTGAAAGAAGCAGGCCACATCTCAGTCTGAAGATCAGAGTGACATTTAAATCTCTTGTTTTCAGGGTCACTGGAGAATGAGATATATCTTGCACTGCTGAAGCTCATGGCTATATAACTTCTAAATCCAGATACGTCTTCCACTTGGCCAGAAGTACAGCAGATAATATGATAAGATATGGGCCAAATGAGTTGTTTGAGAAAAAAGTTAAGACCCTCTGAAGGTGAAGTAGGCTTGCTATCTTTGGTCTCTGAAGGAATTAGAAGTGCAGAATTTTGACTCTCCTCTTCATGCATCCTCATTTTTCTGCTTTGTGACTGGCAGGCTTTCTGTATGAACATCCAATGCTGGACTGGACTGCAACTGAACACGGCACAATCTTGGGTAAAAATAAATTAACAACAGCAATAGTGACCATGAGCCAGTTCCCAAGGCCTGGCACCTTGATCCGGTAATGCAGTCTCATGTGCACACAAACATAGCTCTTCCATTAAGAACAAAGGAAGCAGCCTTATACTGAGTTAGACCGTTGGTCCAACAAACTCAGTATTATCTGCACACTGAATGACAGAGATTCTCCAAGGTTTTGGACAGGGTTTTTTCTCAGCCCTAGCTGGAGACACTGGGGACAGAATCTGGGACCTTCTGCATTCAAAGCAGATCCTGTACTACTGCCCTTCCCCTTGGCAGGAATGGCAAGAGTGTTGGGGCGCAAGCTGTTGTCAGTCAAATGTTCCTGCACCGTTCTGACAACACGAGAATGTATCCAGACTGCAATTTTTAAATGTAAGAAACAATTTTGCGGAAAAGCCATCTCTTTAAAAAGTTAGTATCCATTTTAACAACTGGAGAAAGTGAGAAAACAAGAGCCCGAGGGCCAAAACACTCCGAATGTTAAATTCGTGAGTGCATTAAATGTGTTCTTTTCTTTAACAATAGCAGCCATAGGGGAGCTGAACAGAAATGGGAGCATGACACATGGGGCGGGAGAGAGAGTGAGTTAATATGCCTAGGCTCAAGCCCTGCAATCTGCATACTGGGTGGGTGGGTAGGAATGCCCACCACAAGCCCTGAGGGAAACATTGTGGCTTCATATTATTTATTGGCTTTGTTTTTGTTTAGTCGTTTAGTTGTGTCCGACTCTTCGTGACCCCATGGACCAGAGCACGCCAGGCACTCCTATTTTCCACTGCCTCCCGCAGTTTGGTCAAACTCATGCTAGTAGCTTTGAGAACATTGTCCAATCATCTCATCCTCCGTCATCCCCTTCTCCTTGTGCCCTCCATCTTTCCCAATATCAGGGTCTTTTCCAGGGAGTCTTCTCTTCTCATGAGGTAGCCAAAGTATTGGAGCCTCAGCTTCAGGGCCTGTCCTTCCAGTGAGCATTCAGGGCTGATTTCCTTAAGAATGGATAGGTTTGATCTTCTTGCAGTCCATGGGACTCTCAAGAGTCTCCTCCAGCACCATAATTCAAAAGCATCAATTCTTCGGCGGTCAGCCTTCTTTATGGTCCAGCTCTCACTTCCATACATCACTACTGGGAAAACCATCTACTTCTGCTTCATTGACTATGCAAAAGCCTTTGACTGTGTCAACCACAGCAAACTATGGCAAGTTCTTAAAGAAATGGGAGTGCCTGATCACCTCATCTGTCTCCTGAGAAATCTCTATGTGGGACAAGAAGCTACAGTTAGAACTGGATATGGAACAACTGATTGGTTCAAAATTGGGAAAGGAGTTCGACAAGGCTGTATATTGTCTCCCTGCTTATTTATTGGCTACCCCCAAACAAAACATTTTTTATTTTTACACTGCTGGTGTACCAGTCAGCCACAAGTTAATGTAACCTCACAGGTAAGAGGAGGATATTCCCAGGTCAAGTTCCAATGCTTGTGAAATCACTGGTTGGACATAGGAAGGTTATTCACAAGCTTGCTGTAAGACCAGTTGAGGCAACATGTACACATATGGTGTATTTTGAGCATTTAGAACAAATCACTGGAATTATTATCACATGCCCTTATTATGATGTGCAAAGTCTCCATGGCTCCAAGTCTTCCCTTGCTGACAAAGAATCCACTTTCCTATTGCTTATCCTGATTAAGCAATCTGTATCCTTGCTCATTTAACACTGTTGGAAAAATGTGATGCTATCTAGGATCTCTAGCCATGGGGATAAGTAAGTATCCTGCTGCTCGTAGTGCTGTGACTAATTGTGTGAGCAATGGAAGTGTTCCTTTCTTTCGACAAACAGCTCTCAATACGCACCCAATGTGACTTGTTCATGCAAGCTGAGAAACCATTTTTAAGACAAGCTCTTTACAACACCACTCTGTGGAGTCAATCTTCTCTTAATAAGGATTGACCTGAAGCTGTGTATGTGCAGTTTGTTGGCACTTTGAGCAGTTTCTGAACAAAATGTTCTAAATCAGCTTTCGCCAACCTGGTACCCATCAGATGCATGGGACTACAAAACTGGCCGAGGCTGATGGGAGTTGTGGTCCAAAATATCTGGAGGGCACCAGGTTGGCTAAGGCTGCTCAAAATGGTTTCCTCATAGTTGACCATAATTGAAGCTCCTATTCTGCATTTCAATTTTAGGCACATCCTTCTTAGGACTGCTAACATTACCATAAATCTAGTTACAGGTAGGTAGCTGTATCTGAAGAAGTGTGCATGCACACAAAAGCTCAAACCAATAACAAACTTAATTGGTCTCTAAGGTGCTACTGGAAGGAATTTTTTAATTTTTTATTTTGTTTCGATTACCATAAATGTCAACCCAGCTGGGAAGCTGTGGTTATTTTTGCGTATTTATTCATGACACTCCCTTTTTGACAAGTGTCAAAGATGTCAAAGATATTCTTCATTCCAAACACTTGTTAAATAGTAAATGTTGTCTTAAAAGCTGGTAACTTTAACCACAATGGTACAACATTCATGCAATTAGATTATTTTTTTGTGCACTGCTTCACACTTGCTGCCCTTAGCTATCTTTTATATTATCATTCATACTTCCAGTCCCCAATAATCTCTCATAAATGCATCACAAAGTATGGAATTTCAAAGAAAGATATAATATGCAAAGAAAGATATAATATGTAAAGTATCTAATAGAGAAAGATAAGCTTCCTAGTCAATGGCATAATCCGAAACTATATAGTCTCAAGGAGAATTTAAAGTATTAATATTGGAAGGCCACAATTTGTACCCGAAGGATTGCAAAAAAAGACTTATATTTTGTGAACACGTCAACACTGATCTCAAATCCCATATGAAGTGGGAAATTGCATCCTGGCCCTTGCTTATGCATTAGACCAGGCATAGGCAAACTCGGCCCTCCAGATGTTTTGGGACTACAATTCCCATCATCCCTGACCACTGGGCCTGTTAGCTAGGGATGATGGGAGTTGTAGTCCTAAAACATCTGGAGGGCCGAGTTTGCCTATGCTTGCATTAGGCTTAGCATGCATAGGGGATATGTATGCATGAAACCCAACATACATAGGCCTAATCCAAGGAATGTGCACACTGAAAAACAAAGGTAATTGGGTCATGTGAATGGAAACAAAACACTTTGCTTTATGCATGTAGATGTTTATGCAAACTTCAAAGTGTGAATGTCAGGTAGGGCTGTGACCATGGTAAGTGTTAAGGGATGAGAGAATGACCCCAACCCATCAACACAAACAGTGACATTGTTGATTGCATGTCAGATGCCTGAGACCCAATAGCCACTTGAACAGAGCGTGGCATCTGCTTCCCTCTCTTCCACAACAGCTGGTCACCATTGCCAGTACTGATAGTGCTGACCATTCACTGAGTGGAGTGGCTGGTGGGAAGATTTGTGAGCAGAAGCCCACTTTCAACTGCAGATTTCTCTTGCTGCATTAGGGTGACTGTCAGTCATACACTTTGAACCTATCATCTCATAATACATAGTTCCACCATTGGCATAATTGGCATAATTATAATCCTGCAAAGGTTCAAAAAGCAATCATCTAATCATCTGTGACATAATTATAGTATTGCTATTATATGCTTATATATAACAAGATGTAATATCACTGTCCTAAAGTCAAAATTATATGTAATGTAATAAAAGCTGTAGGAGAATCATATCCAACAATTTTTAATGCAGAACTGTAGACCAGCAGAGCATGCTTTTGTATCTTTTCTCTAATGAAAGGGCAAACATCCCCTTTTGGGTCAGGGTACTCAAGAAGGTGGCTTCAGGTATGCTTGGTGGAGGCTGAATTATCTGGGTCCATTTTAGTTTGGCTTCAGAACTGGTCACGGGACCCTGCTCATTCTTCTTGGCTTCTCAGCAGCTTTTGGTATCAAGGAATTGGAGGTTGTAGGTGGTTCTGCTCCTACCTCAAGGACTGTTTCCAGCAAGAAGTTATGGAGGGGCAGTGTTCAAGGACATGGGAGCTTTCCTATGGCATCTCAGAGGGTTCCATCTTGTCCTTCATACTATTTACTGTCTACATGTAGTCACTGGATGCTGTCATCAGGAGACACAGTCAGGATAACTCAGCTGGTACATCACGAGACTATTAATATCAGGGCTGTGGGTTCGTGCCCCACGTTGAGTGAAAGATTCCTGTATTGGAAGGAGTTGGAGTAGATAACCCTTGTGGTCCCTTCCAGCTCTACAATTCTCTCTCTATCTCTGATTTGAAGTGCAGTGTCACCAGTACTGTATGTAGACAATATCCACTCTATCTCTCTGTTCCATCTGAATCAGCAGTGGTGTCTAAAGTGCTAGACAGATGTTTGGAGACAGTGATTGGCTGCATGTGGACCAATACATTGAATGTGAATCCTGAAAAGACTGTGTGTTCTTAATTCCAAGAGATGGGGAAATGCCCACATAGATTGTTTTCTTGGTTGCTTGATGTACAAAACAAGTAGACAGCAAAATAATAATAATAATAATACTAAAAATCACAGCTCTGAATTCTCAACTCACTCTGCTTCTGACTTCAAACTCAAACTCACTACAACCTGTTTCTTTGTTTGCTCCACTGGATCCTAACAGCATTGCTCCCCCTCTCCAGATAGCTAGAGAATAGTGGCAGGGAATTATTTTGTCTCAGACTACTCATCAATGCAAACACGATATAATTTATCCAAGAAAAGATACATATTTGAGGTGATACAGCTTTCTCTGGAATGAGCAATCAGTGGGTGTAATTCAACATTGTCTGTCCATGTAATGGGACTGTCCCATGGGAGGAGTTTAGTTGTGCAAGCAGACCTGGGAACTGGGAAAAAAAGCTTATAAGCTCTTCCTCTGACATGCAAGAAGGCAAAGTGGGAAAACGGGAATGCAAGAGTTCAAAACCTTTCATAGTTAATTAATACAGTGGAAAACCACTGTTCCCCATTACATCGGAACTGGGCCTTAAAGGTCTATAAGACCCTCAGAAGTCTGTAGATGTGAACTCGTCACTGTTCTTAGAACAGTAAACTCAGCTGGAATTGTAATTCCATGTCTGCAAAGTAACTGTGCTGTTTCTCAATCTCATTTTCCGCTGATGAATGTGATACAGGGCAAGATCCATTGTATCTTGGTTTTAATTCTAAAAGAGCACTATGCTCACTGGGATTCAGTAGCTGACTTTATCAAGATATCCCCTTTCATGGTGCAGCAATGTTCCTTCTTTGAAATGCTAAGGTTATGGATGATAGTTAAAAGATTAAAAACTGTAGACCGTGACAGTAGCTGCCTTAAGAATTATAATAGCCACATGGTGTTAAACTGAGTGCATTCCTCAGGTTGCAGCAATTGCAGAATATTATCAGAAAGTATCAGTAAACTGATTTGCAGGTTGTATATATGTGTAAATAAACCATATATCATAAAGACACCACAGTCTCCACTGTCCCTCATTCCAAGGAAACACTACTTTCTTTCCACTTACATGAACAAGGTTTGCTGGATATCCCAACAGTCAGGAGTAAAATTAAAGTAGACCTATGCATGCCTGTTCTATTTTATGCAGGGAGGTATGTTTTCTCTCCTCTGCATTATATCAAAACCAAATTGTTTTTTTAGACGGTAGACTTTTTTTGAGTACAAGAGCCTCTGAATAACCATAGGGTAAAATAAAATATTAATTTGGAAAGTCCCTGGTAAGGTTTATTTAGGTAAAACAGAATGTAAATTCAGGTATCTAAGGGGTGGAGGGAAGCTAGTGTGCTAACTCATGCACTGTTTCAGCTTAAGGTAATGTATGCTGTAAGCAGAACAAATTATTTATGAGAGTTTTATCTAAAGCACCTTTCAAAGTGAACTCCTCGTTCTGTTCTCAGGAAAGCAGATTGTTCCAGGTGGCTTGGTAGGAGACCCAGCTTAGAAAAACAAACTCATTGTCTAGGGATAAAATTGTTTGATATAAGACAACATCACCCTGTGAGGTAGGTTACGCTAAGTGATAATGGCTGGTGTGAGGTTACTGGATGAGTTTTATGACTAACAGTGCAATCTGACGCATGCTTACTCAGAAGTAAGTCTCACTGAGCTCAGTGGGACTTAATCCCCAGGAAAGGTGTTTATGATGGCAGCCTTTGTGAAGTTTTGAACCCATGACTCTCGGTTGGTTAGAGCATGGTGCTGATAATGTGAAGGTTGCAGGTTCAATCCCTGTACGAGACAGCAGCATATTCCTCCATTGCAGGGAGTTGGACTAGATGATACTCAGGGTCCCTTCCAGCTCTACAATTCTATGATTCTAAGTCTATATCCAGAACTATAAACTATACCACACCGACTCTATGATATAGACATCTGAGGTCTGGATAAATGAAATGTGTGTGTGTTTCCGCAGTTGCATTTGTGATTTTAAAGTTAAGACCGACTGCTATCATGAGCTTTGTTCGCTCCTAACCATGTGTATACTCCCGTGAAGGCACAGATGGTTAGTAAAATGACAGCTATAAATACCTCTAGCAAATGTTTTCATGATTTGTTTTGGATGTGAATCCCATGCATAATGTAAATGTTAGCTGCAGCCCAATTCTGTAAGATTTTCAGATCGCAGACTACGGCTCTTGTACGCTTGTTCTCAAGGGTACGTCTGTGGTCTAATTGAGAGAATGTAAGTAATAAAAAGATATGCCCTTCTGGTATTACAGGTCAAGGCTAAACCAACCTTTACTAAACACAAGCTTTCCGTTAAAAAATGTAGCATTGCCTTCACTAGGTGCTCATAATGGGATTTTACAGAAGCATTTTGTCTTTGTCAGAGTTCTACACCTGCTGAAATACCACCTTTCAGCTACACATCATCTTGGAAAGCACACAGAGCAGAGAACACTGAATAGAAAAGTTGTGCCAATGTAATTGTAGTTTAACACACATTCTTTGCTTCTTTCTTTTCCAGGCCCTGAATGCCTGCTTCTATTTCATTAAATAAAAAAGGGAGACCTCATCTTGATGGCATACTTCTGGATTAAAAGGGATGCTTTTTTTAACAGAACTGAAGCAGTACTAAGCCCACATGACTGATTAAGCATTGCAATTTTCAAACATATTCAAGAAAGCCTCTTTTACAGGGCAACTATAAAATGAAGCACCTGGGACTGTCAGGCAAGTAAGAGCCTGGCTGAAAGAGAACTTCTTCTTTGGTCCCTGCACCACCTTGAAATCTTCTCCAGAGGTTTGGAGGGAAAACGCCGCACTTGCAAAGATTTAGTTAAAAACTAATATTCTGACCCCAAATATGAGCCATAGAGCACAAGTAAAACCTGAACATCAGATCTTTTGGGATTTTTCTTGGGGTTGAAGAGTTGTTGTTTTCAATGCAAGATGGCTTGGGGTCTTTTTTGGGGGCTGACAAGCAGCTCATATAGAATGTTACAAATAAATAAGGAGTGGTGCAACTCCATGCCAGTCAATATCCTGCTCCACACTTTCTTTATTACTTCTATTATAGAATCATAGAATTGTAGAGTTGGAAGGCACCCTAAGGATCATCTAGTCCAACCCCCTTGTAAATCAGGAATATGCAGCAGTCCTACAGGGGAATTGAACCTGAAGCCGTGGTGTTATCAGCCCCACACTCTAACCAACTGAGCTACCCACATGTCAATCATATTTTGAATTCCACCAAAATCTTTAAAATTCCATTCCACCAAAATCTTAAAAAGAAATGGTGTTTCCAAGTTAAAATGTCAAGATTACAAATAGCTCTGGCTGCGTATGTTTCAACACAGCTTCACAAGCTATCAGATCTTTTTTTAAATAAGCAAGCACAGCCTTAACTCACTGGCATTTCTTGAAAGAAGATCAAGAGCCTTTTATATTCCTCCTTCAGTCAAAGGTGTAAGGTGAGCCAGGTGTATTCATGGGCTTAATAATGCGCATCACTCTAGAAATGGCAACAAAACATACATTGCTCAACTTGTTCTGTGCCTTCAACTGGTACTGGCATAGGTGTAAAGCCACAAAGGACAGTGAGGCCATCTGAAATCGATAGAAAGAAGATTCACTGATGCACAACCTATTCTGACTTCTCTAACACAGAACAGCAGGGCTGGATCTAGACACATAAAAAAAAACGTTTCAGGAAAATGCGTATTCATGTTGGCAAAAGACGGAACTCTACAGTGCCATCTCATGGCAGTGTTGTGACATATTTAAAATGTTTTTTCTTTACTAATGTAGCTGAGTTTGAACTCTCTCTAAGGGATGACTACCAACATGAATTTGACGAAACTGCGGGAGGCAGTGGAAAACAGGAGTGCCTGGCGTGCTCTGGTCCATGGGGTCACGAAGAGTCAGACACAACTAAACAACAACAAAATTAAAACATCAGCCCTATATTCATATGTGCCTAAATGTAAGAGCCCTGCTGTTTCAGTCCAGGAAGCCTGAAAGCTGGGTTTGAAAGCAGATGAGCACTTGCCCCTTGTTGATCTTAAGCATCAGGTATTCAGTGGTATAGTGCCTCTGAATCTGGAGGCTGCACAAAGCCATCATTACTAATAGCTGTTGATTGAGTTTCCTTTATCCCATGGGTTCTCTTTATCCCTCTAAGCCACTGGAAATCAAAGCATACGAAAGCGAATCCCATAATAAATCAAGCCTGCATTGTGCAAAGGAGTGCTTTCTCTTGCCTCACCTGGATCTACTGCTTTTCAATTTCACTGGATGATCCCTAGCATTATGAGACACGGGATGGGGGAAAGTTATCCCCAACCAATTTTTCCTAAACATTTACCATCTCCTCCCCTGCTGAGTCACTTTCCCCCTTAAATGTAAAAAAAGCCCCAGGTGCTGCAGCCTTTTCATGGAGGACATTTGGATCATTTGGGGGGTGTCCTTTCTTGTTCTTTTTGGAACATTATACCATCATTTGGGGATGGGCTGAACGAAATGTATGCAGCATTCCAAACGTGGCTGCATCGCAAACTTATATAAAGGCATGGTACTGGCAGCTTTCCTGTCAGCCCTTTCCCTAATAATTCCTGGCGTGGAATTTGTTTTTTCAATGCGGCCACATGCTGAGTGAACAATTTCATTGAGCCACCCTCTGCAGAGCTACGCCGCTTCTTCCTCAGCAAACTTTGCTCTTTTGTATGCTTAGTAATTTTATCTTTAATCATGCTTCCCACTAATACACCCGGAATGAACATTTAAGCAAACCAACCTGTAATTTCATGGATTGCCATATATCCCTTTTAAAAAGCTGGCATTGGCTGGATTAGCACATCCCAATATACATAAACTGCGGCACAGGGCAATGGTGACCAGTTTACTCTTCCCCTTTCCTTCCCACTCATCCGCAGAGAAAACAAGCCATCATCACCGGCTGAGTGTTACATCCAAACCAGAGATTGTAGCTTGCTCTGCTCAAATGAACCACAGTTGGTAAACCAAGAACTACCACGTTTTTGGTGGTGGGTTTTTGTTTTTTTGGGGGAGTAAAACAAACTACAACCCCTGGTTCACACATAAGGCTAAGACAGTTTATTGCTTCCCAACATGAATGGGAAGGAGCAAAGCAGGCATGATAAATTAACGCATGGTAAACCATAGAATCATAGAATGGTAGAGATGGAAGGGACCACAGGGGTCACCTAGTCCAACCCCCCGCAATGCAATCCTCATCCAATCTGAAACCATACCAGACCCTGCTTAGCTTTGCAAATGTGCTATCAGTTTTATTGTTGCACCACTAGGAGGATCTGCAACTTATCATGACATGCAAATACAGCCATTATGCTGGCTACACTTCAGACTTTCAGCAACGAGGCCAATTTTTATGGCAAGCAGCATATTTTTCTTAGAAGGTCAGCATTTTCATATTTCAGCTCTTTATGAACCCTGGGTAGATGCCATCTAGATCCACTGACTTGTTAATTTTGTAGTCTACTTATAAGCCCCAGAACTTCATGTCTCTTCACTTCTCCTTCAGTTCCTCAGCTACCCTCCCTGGAAATAAGTGCTTCAGGTGTGGATTATCTTCCATAATGAAATCCAAAGGAAGTAATACACAGTGTTCAGCTCCTTTGCAATCTCTCTGTCCTACAGCTGAGGCCAGAGGTCAGTACAAAATGCAACCTAGGCAAGATGGACAACAACTGAACACCTGCCTCTAATCTGCACTCTGATTATCTATGCATTCCTAGCTAATAAGATATTGTTTCTATGACCACCTGCAGTTCTGCTCCGAAACTATCAAGCTAAACTCTACACATACACCTTGTTATCGGTTTGATGCCATAGGCAATTATTCCATTAAGAAAACAGCCTCCGGCATATCCCACTTCTTTATAATTTATAATGGGGTTGAAATTGAACACCATAGGAATAAAATAATTTGAGAGCACAGGCCTGGCCACATGGAGAGAAAGTTATTGCTTACCCAGATTCTGCAGATATAGAACAATAGTTTTGCTAGCTCTAAATGCTTGACATAGGAAGCTGCCACACCAGGTCAGACAATTTGGCAATCTAATGCCAGCAGTGGGCAACATTTTCTTCTCTCAAGAGCACCACAAGCAAACTCTGGGCAGGGCCAAAGCAAAGCATTCCTTTATCTCTCTCTTTCTGCCATTCTGTTCTCTCTCTGGACACATTCACACCATACATCTAAAGCACTATGACAGCACTTTTATGGCTTCTCCCAAAGAATTCTGGGAGCTGTAGTTTAAGGGTATTGAGAGTTGTTAGGAATCTTTATTCCTCACACAGAGCTACAATTTTTAGAGTGGTTTTTAGCAATCACTTGCTCTTCCCAGACAACTTTGAGGCTGGTTGCCGAAGATAGAGACACTGCTTTCCAATTACAGGCTCTGCTGGTAGACTACATGAAGTCATGGAGCCCCTCAGACACTCAACACAGAATAATACAATCAAAGAAGTGTTGAGTTGGAAAGGACCACGAGGGTCATCTAGTCCTACCCCCTGCAATGCAGGCATATTTTGCCCAACATGGGGCTCGAACCCACAACCCTGAGATTAAGAGTCTCATGCTACTCCTACCCATCAGCAATAAAATTCCATCTTCCCCAAGGAGCCTTAGGAGCAACGTCACGCTTTACAAGTGAACCCTATAATCCCCAAATGAACAGACACAAAAGATATGCAATGGACAAGAGAGATATGCATTCCATTATGACACACAACAGTTCTCACAAGCAAGGTCCTTATGAACAGCTCGGGACAGTAAGGGACATCATAGCTATTTGAATTCCATAGAATATGACAGGATTCAGATCAGAAGTATTCTTCAAGGACATGCCATGGACCACCTGAACCAAGCCCACAGGCCACATGTGGCCCATGGACCAGAGTTTAGGAACCCCTGGAACAGGTGAAGGGTAAGCTATAAACATGTTAAATAAATGAATATCTATTTTAGCTTACGCACTAAATTAAATAAATTAACTATTTAAATTATAGATCTGGACATATTAGTTCATACCTTACTTAAATCAAGGTAGGAAAACATTCAGTGCTTAACCTCTAAAAGCAAATGCTGCAAAGCTTGATTTACCTCCTCTGCTCCAACAATTGGCTGTATGCTCTCCCGTGATTAATCAATTTCACAACAAATTGCTCTCATAGTTCATGTTGTGAAAAAGGGACTTAACAACACTACATCATTAAGTATGATTTATGAGGCAGGCTGGAAAGAGCCACTTACCAGAGCTTGCAAAGTGAGGCCACGATTAAATGGCATTTTTAGCTGTAATTTCTTAACAACTGGGTGCTTACTGCTTGGCAGTTAACCTACATATGGGAGAAACTGTTGGCTCATTCTGCCATGATGACCAGTTATGGAGCAGATGATTATCTTAATACACCTGAGTTAAATGACACCAAGAAGCAGCTGACAAGAACTATGTCTATATCTGGTGAACCCAGTCTTATTGGTACTGGCCACCAGCTTGTATGGTACAAGTAAGTCAGCATCCAGAGTTCTGTCTTTGCTCTGAAATTTTACATTTCGGCTCTGCATTCTTGCAACATTCCAGTAGGACAGGCATGGGGAACCTGTGACTCTCCAGCAGTCACTGGACTCCAGTTCCCATCAGCCCCCCAGCCAGCATGATCAATGGTCACAGATGATGGAAGCTGAAGTCCAATCACACCTGGAGGGCCCATCTTTGCAGTTGTATAAGCTAGAAATTCTTTGTACCTGTCGATGTAGGATTGTGCTAGGTATTGTCGCTCCTGCCCCCAATATCTAATATGTGCAAATTTTGCACAACCTGGCAGTTCCACAGTTGCATGTGCTCTGTTGCAAGTTGCTTGCATACACCACAATCTTTTTTTAAAAAAATACTATTTGAATGCTGCCTTTCCAGTTAAAAAACCATGCTTAAGGTGGCATACAACATGGGGGAAATCACATAATCACAAACATAACAAAAGTAGTCATAAACAATAAATAAAACATCAAAAAGTGCACAACCAAATTGCACACTTTCCATACAAATCACAATAAATATGCAAAAAATAATATAAATAAGAGGAACGCGCACATACCAAGAAATAGCCCAACCCAAGTGTTAATGCATCTGTGCAACATGCTGGATATGTCACAGCACCAGTGCAACACCATACTTTTGTGACACTGCATTGGTGCAAGGATGTTTGCATAGGATTTGGCTGATAAAATACTTGTGTGACAGGGACAGTGTCCCTACTCCGCTGTCTTAAAAAACACGGTAAGATTCAAGGACTTTAATTCTCTGGCAGAGATTTATGTCTATTATGCTACCACAACATTCATGCAGCAGCAGTTTAATAAAATCATCCTTTGTGACACTGCTCTGGAGAAGCAGTTTATACCTCTCATTCCAGGTGGTGCAGCAAGTCATAACACCCAGACACAAGTTGCTTAAATCCAATTATTGCAACTTTACTGATTTGTGGATCCGATTATGTTTTATACTGCCTTAGAGTGATATGGTATCTTCGCGTAAAGGGGCATGGATCATCATAGGGAGATGAATCGTTTCACTTTTAGGGCTTATCATGCAATTACATCTTTGCCAAGACAAGTAGAAGCACTTTTTCTATGACAGCAAGCACAGGAAGTTGTAAAATTTAAATGTGACTCAAGTGAATTTCAATAATGTCGAAGAGTGAAACTACATAGATGAGAGAATGCAGAATTCTAGAAGCCTGATCAACAACAACCTTCTCGTGCCAGAAATTGTTTCAACTACTACTTAAGGGAGGGGTAGCCAAATGTTGTTGTTCATTACCTCCAGCCAGCAAGACCAATGGTTAGGGATAAGAGGTGGTGTAGTCCTGCAACATCTGAAGGGTCACAGGTTCCTCACCCCTAACCTGACATCAATGATGTGAAAGGGACTAGCACATTAACCTTAAACAGATTCATGTGAATTTGGTGAGACTTAAGAATTAGGTCCCCCTAAGTTCAACGGGACTTACTCTGGCAAGTGTTTTTCTTGGGATTGCAGCCTTGCACTGAAATTCCATAATGTCTACTTACTCAGAAATAAACCCCATTGAGTCCACTGAGGCAAATGAACATAGGATTGCAGTCTTAACGGCTCTGAATACAATGGTACGTCGGGCTACATACGCTTCAGGTTACAGACTCCGCTAACCCAGAAACAGTACCTCGGGTTAAGAACTTTGCTTTAGGATGAGAACAGAAATCGTGTTCCAGCAGCATGGTGGCAGCAGGAGGCCCCATTAGCTGAACTGGTGCTTCAGGTTAAGAACAGTTTCAGGTTAAGAATGGACCTCCAGAACGAATTAAGTACTTAACCCGATGTACCACTGTACAGCTGTTCCAGATTTGAACTGAAGTACAGTAGTTAATAAGCACAATATGCCGTATCTCAGTCTCGCTGCATACATTACGTTTTTCATGTGTACACACAGTGCATGTGCTAAAACCATAATGCACAACAAAGGCATGTGTGTGCTTTGGCAGACACAGACATGGACACAAAACACACATAAATACACCAGTGAGATAGTGCTTGCTTAGGGCTCCCTACAATCTGAAATAAGTGGGAAGGTTCTTGATCCTATTAACAAGCTAGCGATTAACAGCAATATTAACATAATCTCTCAAATCCATAGGAGCACAGCCTCCTTGAGCTCTTTATAGGCATCTCATGGTTTTATCTTCTGTTTACCTCTGGAGATTTTTTACTACAAAGCTAATTTTCTTTCGTTTTAAGGAATTGTGATGGAATGATGAAAGAGAGATCTCACTGGTTATAAGCAAATGCAGTTTGTTAGTCTTTAAACTGCCTTTTCAAATATTGGTTTGTCAAAATGAAAAAGCTAAATCATATTGAAAAAGGAAGCCATTAAAAAGCCTGCAGCAACCATATCCCATTTTCCCCCTTATCAGTTTTGTTCTCACAGTGGAAACTGACTCTTAATTTACACCCTCTGCTGTTCAAATATGAGACATGTTTTGCAAAACACACAGGACTGCTGCCCTTGTATTCTGTTCAGCTACTTGCAGTGTGTATGAATGAGACAGATGCTGTCCATTAAGAAGGGATGAAGAGGCTTGAAGATGTCCGGTTGTTTATTTTTAACCGCACCTCCAAGACACCATTAACCTTGCATAACGATTTTATATATTTGCTAGATGAGCTGGGTTAGCCCAAAGCAGTGAAAACTGTTTCATTAGCCAAAAGGATACACCATAAATCCGTTGCTTCTTGTAGCAGTTGTGCTCACAACCTGTGTATGTAGGTCAGAGAGAGATGTATGTAGGCCAGCAACAATATATTGTGTGGAACAAAACTAAACAGTAATGAACATTAACATTGCATTTTATATGCATTAGAAAGTGCCTGGCTTCCTATCTGTGTCCTTAATACTGTTTGCACAAAACATTTAAGGCGAAAAATAGATTATCACAAAATCACAAGGGTATTGTCGTTTTAAGAAAATACTCAAAAGGAGACACTCTGCGATGTTGACTTTGAAAACCTAGATCACTTCCACCTGCTTAATTCTGAATGACACATTAAACCATGCATTCCCTTAGAGCCCCAAGAAAAACGTTATTGCTGCAGTGCCCTTCACACCTGGGAATGTGTGTGCTACTAAAACTCAACACAAGAGATTGTTTACATGGTGATGGCTAGCTTTTGAAAGCAATGCTGCTTATGGTTTCTACATCCAATTAAAAATGTGGCACAGATAAATAACCAGGGTAATATCCTATCAGTTCCTATTACCAAAATGCCACTCACACATTTTTTTAACGCTGAGACTTGAAAGCAAGAAGAGAACTTGATGGCATTTCAGGTGTGTGTTTGGTGTTGTCATTTTTGCCTGCCCAGTTTTAAAGCACATCAAAATTCACGTTAACTTCACTCTGGCACATGGGCATATCATTAGAGCAGTCTCAAAACGAGTGCTCCAGGAGAAAGCCAATCCCATTCATGGAAATAATTTCACAGGAAGATCACAGGCACCCCCCCGCGCCCCCCCCAAAAGCAGTATTACTAGGGAAGCTGTCCACTGCTAGTATTCTCTGATACCTCATGCAAGGCAAGAAGCAATTTTCTAACCTAATTATTATGCATTTCCTGGAGGGCTCACCTCCTAATAGATAACATTCTCAAGAAACATATCACATGTAACAACCACGGCTTTGCTCAACTGTTCCGAATTCCTTCCATTTCCACGTGCTCTGCGGCCAAGAGTCACATTTCCCTCAAGCCTCTGAAAAGCAAAGCTTCCTCCTGCATTTATGAGCGACATGATCAACCATGAATGAAACACAGCTCTTCTAATGAAGCGTCCCACTTGCAATGCCAGGCTGGGTGTTTCGCGTGTGAACGCCCGCTCGCGTGTTTAGGAAGGATTTCGACGCAGGCGAACAGCAAGAACCTTATTTATCAGCAGTGTCCTCCTAACGCGCTGGGGATGAGGAAGGAAGAAAAGGCTGAGTTGGGTAGCAGCTAGTTTAAAATTCGGAAGATGGCCGAGCCTTTCGATGCTTCCCCCACCCCTTAAATTCCCGCTCGTCATTCTGCACAAAACACACAGACACACACAAGCAGAACTCCTACGACCGTCCCATGAACGCATGGAGCCCTTACCGTCCCCTCGCAAGCTGGTCTCCGTCACGGATCTCCAAATGCGCCCTTGCAGAACGCCTCAGGCAGCGCGCAAGACACTTGAGCACTTCAGCTAGGATGTGTGTGTGCGTGTCTTGCGTGTTTTTAAAGTCAAACCCTCCTCCGGAGCTGCTGGCCAGGAGTGGCGAGAGGGAGGCGAGCTTCTCCCCAACCCAGCCACCCTCACCCCGGGAGGAGCTCCCTCTGCACGGGGCAGCGGATCCAGCGGCTGCTGCTCCTCCTCGGGCGCCCTAGAGGGAGGGTCCCGCGCGCAGGCAGCTCGGCAGAAAGGGCTACAAAGCGGGAAGAAGGAGAGGTGGGCTCGGGCGCGGAGGAAAGCGCGGCTCCTTACCTCGAAGGGACCTTCAGCGTGGAATTCCCAGCCATTAGCAGGGCGGGATGCTCTTCCGCAGAGGGAGGAGGAGGAGAGGCAAGGCAGACAGCGCTCCGCCACTTCTGGTAGTTCCCCCCGTCCTACTTGGCCGGCTTTAGTACGCGGTACACCACAGCCCTGCCCTTTGCCGCCCCCTCCGCGCCCGCCTCCTTTTCAGGCTCTCCCTCCCGCGAATAGGAGGAGGCAGAAGGAGCCACATGGGAGTCGCTAGCTTCTGGCGCCAAGAGCCGCTCTGGAGGCTGCTGGTGGCTGAGGGAAGAGCTTGAAAGCCCGCGGGACACCCAGATTCAGATCCCCAGTCCGGCCCTCCAAGCTCACTGGGTGTGACCTTGTGGGTCAGCCACTATGATTAGGGCTGTTCACACGTTACGCTGAGACGTGCGAGGAGCCTGTAGGCATGTACGAATGTCGTCCTTAAGGGTGTTCACGCGTTACATCCGGCGAGCCTGCAGTATGCGTGCAGCAGCTCGCTGACAGTTTTACAATTTGTTGTTGTTTAGTCGTTTAGTCGTGTCCGACTCTTCGTGGCCCCATGGACCAGAGCACGCCAGGCACTCCTGTCTTCCACTGCCTCCCGCAGTTTGGTCAAACTCATGCTGGTAGCTTCGAGAACACTGTCCAACCATCTTGGTCTCTGTCGTCCCCTTCTCCTTGTGCCCTCCATCTTTCCCAACATCAGGGTCTTTTCCAGGGAGTCTTCTCTTCTCATGAGGTGGCCAAAGTATTGCAGCCTCAGCTTCACGATCTGTCCTTCCAGTGAGCACTCAGGGCTGATTTCCTTAAGAATGGAGAGGTTTGATCTTCTTGCAGTCCATGGGACTCTCAAGAGTCTCCTCCAGCACCATAATTCAAAAGCATCAATTCTTCGGCGATCAGCCTTCTTGATGGTCCAGCTCTCACTTCCATACATCACTACTGGGAAAACCATGGCTTTAATTATACGGACCTTTGTTGGCAAGGTGATGTCTCTGCTTTTTAAGATGCTGTCTAGGTTTGTCATTGCTTTTCTCCCAAGAAGCAGGCGTCTTTTAATTTCGTGGCTGCTGTCACCATCTGCAGTGAGTTTTACAATTACTCACATGCAAACATTCAGTGAGTTTGCGGTCGTCGTGCTTGTATACACAATAGCTGAGACGTGCAAATCGACAAGCGTACACACTTTCGTACAAACACTTCTGTGGGGTGTGTGTGTGAAAGTGACATGGAGCAAGGGGGCCGAGAAAAGTTTCTCTCCTGACGCAAGAACTCGTGGGCATCCAACTTGGATGGCTTTAAAAGGCGATGAGGCAAACTTGTGAAGGATAAGGGCCATCAGTGGTTACCAGCCAAAATGGCTATGCTCTGCCTCCACAGCTGGAGGCCGTAATGCTTCTGAAAACCAGTTTCTGGAAACCACAGGAAGGGAGAGTGTTCTCATATGTGGGTTCTGTTTTAAAGTTTCCAAGAGGAATCTGGTTGGCCACTTTGAAAGCAGGATGCTGGACTAGATGGGTCATTCGCCTGATCCAGCATGCTCTTTTTAGGTTCTGTGTTCAGTGCAACATGAACAAGTCTATTGCGAATGACTACACGTGGTTAAAAGGGACGCAGGTGGCGCTGTGGGTTAAACCACAGAACCTAGGACTTGCAGAAGATCGGTGGTTCGAATCCCCGCGATGGGGTGAGCTCCCGTAGCTTGGTCCCTGCTCCTGCCAACCTAGCAGTTCTAAAGCACGTCAAAGTGCAAGTAGATAAACAGGTACCGCTCTGGAGGGAAGGTAACCGCTGTTTCTGTGCGCTGCTCTGGTTCACCAGAAGCGGTTTAGTCATGCTGGCCACATGACCCGGAAGCTGTATACAGGCTCCCTTGGCAAATAAAGCGAGATGAGCACCGCAACCCCAGAGTCGGTCACAACTGGACCTAATGGTCAGGGGTCCCTTTACCTTTACCTTTACACGTGGTTAATTTAAATGTCAACATGTGGACTAAAGGGCTTGAGAAAATAGAGTATGGATTCCGTGTAATGCTGTACACGTGTTGAATGCACCTCTGTTGAATGCACTGGTTGAATGCATACCAGTGTATGACTGCACCTCTAATCCTCAGTTATGCAGCTCACCGTCTTTTAACCTAACCTACATCACAGGCTTGCTGTAAGGATGAAATTGGGGGGTGGGGGGGACCATGTACACCGCCTGGAGCTCATTGGCAGAAAATGTAATATATGTATATGTAATACATAATAATTTATAAATGTAATATAGTATATATAATAAATGCCCAAACTGGGTGGTTGGGGTGTGTGTGTGTAAAACTAGGAGGCACAGGGCTTAGTCATACCTGGATGAAGTTGGGTGTCATTTCTATTGTTGGAGAGAGACACAATACAGTTCTTGTCTGTCTTCCTAACCGGTGCATCTTTCAAGCCCTCCGTAAAAATTTCCTTGAGCAAAATGAAGGAAAGGCGATATATAGCTGTAATAAATAAATACAGGCACCACAGCCCCCATTTAGCTCAAAGGGATTATGGCCCTTTGTCAAATGTGGGCAGAATTGGCTACATGAATGACATGAAATGAATGTGTGTAGGAATGAAACTAAAAGGTAGCAAAGGGTATCTTGCTCAGCCCTTGTATGTTACAGGGAGGGGGGAAAGCCCCACTGAACTCAATTAGATCCCCCCACCTCCAAATAAGCATGCATGGGGTCAGGCTACACTTACAGACCCTCCAAGTGTCCCTATTTTCCAGGGACGTCCCTGATTTAGAGGAGCCGTCCCGGTTTCTGATTTGATCTTGTAATGTCCCGCTTTTCCTCAGGATGTCCCTATTTTCATTGGAGAAATATTGGAGGGTATGAAGTTATCTGACCCCCGAGCCGTCTCAAAGCAATCCTATACAGGGAAGGTTTTTTAAATGTTTACTATTTTATTATGTTTTCATATGTGTTGGAAGCTGCCTAGAGTGGCTGGGGCAACCCAGTAAGATGTGTGGGGTATAAATAGTAAAATTATCCTTATGGAATGGGACACCCCTATTTTCATCGGAGAAATGTTGAAGGGTATGCACTTAGGTGCTTTAATTATAGTACATTGCATTTTGTACTGTATGAATAAAGGAGGACAGAGAGGGGGAAGAGTTAATTATAGTACAGTTGGGGAATACAAATGCCAAATGGCTTTTATTTCCCAAAGGAATAAAATCCTGTTCTGGGTTCCTTGGTTCTGGTAGATTTGTTTAATTCTTTCAATGTAAATAGTGTAAATTGTGACATATTGAATGTGCTGTATAATTCTACACAATACTTGGTGTATGCTCTGTGTCTATTGCAGCCATGTCGGTACTACCCAATAATAGCTGCAGAAAAACACAGGCCTTGCTGAGCCTTTGCACACATAGCCTTTGCGATCCTTTGAAGCCATTGGGATGTCTGTGACATGCAATGGGATCATGACAGGACTGCAGGCAACAATTTAAAGCTTTGCACAATAGGATACATTCAATATATACTCCCATTTAGAAGGGGGGGGGGCGGGAGATGCCCTGCAGAGAACTGCCAATATTTTGAGACTTATTTTCTTTGAAAAGCCAGGCTGCAGCTGGATTCCCATTCTTGCAACTTAATTATCAGTTTCTTAACAATGGCAGATGTTTCTGAAAGCCTGAAAACTCAGATCGTGACAAAACTATTAAAACTGCTAGACTCAAATTTGGGCACAGTTCAGTCTGACTGAAATGACAAAAAGCATGTGGATGTTGACATGTGGTGCAACATTTGTAAGTGCCTAAAATCCAGTGTGTGTAGTAGGTCCAGATTGCAAAATCCGTCTCCAAAGTAAAATCCAGGGGTCACCTGTACAATGTGGGTTTATCTGCACTGGAATTTATGTGCATATCCCCTATTTGAATGCTAAGCTCATCAAACGGACACCTGGTGACATCAGAGGTCAGACGAGCGGAGGAAAGGAAGGCATGGTCTCACTCTCCAACCCGCAAAGGCAAGTGACTGGGTTTCACCTGGCCTTGCCTAACGTGAAGCATGAAAGTCATAAGAAGAGCCTGTAGGATCAGGCCAATGTCCCAATGTCTCACAATGAGCCAACCAGATACCCATGTGAAACCAGAGGCAGGACCTGAGTGCAACAGCACTTATTCTCCAGACTAGCCGCTCAACACAAAAGCCATTGGAACCTGCAAGCAAGGCTACAGCACAACAGTTTTGTTGTGCAACACAGCTTCTTTGCAGTCAACTTTCACACGCTCTGTTTCACAGTCCCTATTTTTTATTGTTCCACAGAAGAACAAATGCCATTATACATATTTTTAAAAACCAGTTGCAGTTAATGGGATTGGTAAGCAAGTGCTTCATTTTTGCTGGATCATGTTCATGTTACCACCCCCTTTCCTTTCTCCATTTCTCTGGCTTTTTTAGTTCATGCGGTATGAAACCTGCTGTCATGAAAGCTGCCATCTCCATCTGTAACATTGCTGACTGCTCTCATACAATAGCAGCTTTCCCCACAAGATTTCACCCGTTCATAATTGTTATGAATTGTTCATATTGAGGAAGCTAGGTCCAAAAGAAGCACAAAATGTAATATGGATGGTTTGTGGTTTTTTTGTTTTCTAAGTTATTTCTCTAAGGGTGGCGCTGTGAGTTAAACCACAGAGCCTAGGGCTTGCCAATCGGAAGGTCAGGGGTTTGAATCCCCGCAACGGGGTGCGCTCCTGTTGCTCGGTCCCTGCTCCTGCCAACCTAGCAGTTCGACAGCACATCAAAGTGCAAGTAGATAAATAGGTACCACTCCAGCGGGAAGGTAAACAGTGTTTCCGTGCGCTGCTCTGGTTCGCCAGAAGTGGCTTTGTCATGCTGGCCACATGACCCAGAAGCTGTACGCCAGCTCCCTTGGCCTATAGAGCGAGATGAGTGCCACAGCCCCAGAGTCATCCGCGACTGAACCTAATGGTTAGGGGTCCCTTTACCTTTAAGTTATTTCTCTAAGAAACAAAAGTG